TCATTTAGCTCTGAACGAAGATGAATTCATCTTTATTTAACTGTGTGTATGAAGATTAATTTATCCTCATTTAGCTGTTAACGAAGATGAATTCATCTTTATTTAACTGTGTGTATGAAGATTAATTTATCCTCATTTAGCTCTGAACGAAGATGAATTCATCTTTATTAACTGTGTGTATGAAGATGAATTCATCTTCATTTAGCATTTAACGAAGATGAATTCATCTTCATTTAGCTGTTAATGAAGATTAATTGATCCTCCGATTTAGGCTGTTAAATGAAGATGAATTTATCCTTTTTTTACTGTGTGAACGAAGATGAATTTATCTTCATTTAGCTGTTAACGAAGATGAATTCATCTTTATTTAACTGTGTGTATGAAGATTAATTTATCCTCATTTAGCTGTTAACGAAGATGAATTCATCTTTATTTAACTGTGTGTATGAAGATGAATTTATCCTCATTTAGCTCTGAACGAAGATGAATTCATCTTTATTTAACTGTGTGTATGAAGATTAATTTATCCTCATTTAGCTGTTAACGAAGATGAATTCATCTTTATTTAACTGTGTGTATGAAGATTAATTTATCCTCATTTAGCTCTGAACGAAGATGAATTCATCTTTATTTAACTGTGTGTATGAAGATTAATTTATCCTCATTTAGCTGTTAACGAAGATGAATTCATCTTTATTTAACTGTGTGTATGAAGATTAATTTATCCTCATTTAGCTCTGAACGAAGATGAATTCATCTTTATTTAACTGTGTGTATGAAGATTAATTTATCCTCATTTAGCTGTTAACGAAGATGAATTCATCTTTATTTAACTGTGTGTATGAAGATTAATTTATCCTCATTTAGCTCTGAACGAAGATGAATTCATCTTTATTAACTGTGTGTATGAAGATGAATTCATCTTCATTTAGCATTTAACGAAGATGAATTCATCTTCATTTAGCTGTTAATGAAGATTAATTGATCCTCCGATTTAGGCTGTTAAATGAAGATGAATTTATCCTTTTTTTACTGTGTGAACGAAGATGAATTTATCTTCATTTAGCTGTTAACGAAGATGAATTCATCTTTATTTAACTGTGTGTATGAAGATTAATTTATCCTCATTTAGCTGTTAACGAAGATGAATTCATCTTTATTTAACTGTGTGTATGAAGATGAATTTATCCTCATTTAGCTCTGAACGAAGATGAATTCATCTTTATTTAACTGTGTGTATGAAGATTAATTTATCCTCATTTAGCTGTTAACGAAGATGAATTCATCTTTATTTAACTGTGTGTATGAAGATTAATTTATCCTCATTTAGCTCTGAACGAAGATGAATTCATCTTTATTTAACTGTGTGTATGAAGATTAATTTATCCTCATTTAGCTGTTAACGAAGATGAATTCATCTTTATTTAACTGTGTGTATGAAGATTAATTTATCCTCATTTAGCTCTGAACGAAGATGAATTCATCTTTATTTAACTGTGTGTATGAAGATTAATTTATCCTCATTTAGCTGTTAACGAAGATGAATTCATCTTTATTTAACTGTGTGTATGAAGATTAATTTATCCTCATTTAGCTCTGAACGAAGATGAATTCATCTTTATTAACTGTGTGTATGAAGATGAATTCATCTTCATTTAGCATTTAACGAAGATGAATTCATCTTCATTTAGCTGTTAATGAAGATTAATTGATCCTCCGATTTAGGCTGTTAAATGAAGATGAATTTATCCTTTTTTTACTGTGTGAACGAAGATGAATTTATCTTCATTTAGCTGTTAACGAAGATGAATTCATCTTTATTTAACTGTGTGTATGAAGATTAATTTATCCTCATTTAGCTGTTAACGAAGATGAATTCATCTTTATTTAACTGTGTGTATGAAGATGAATTTATCCTCATTTAGCTCTGAACGAAGATGAATTCATCTTTATTTAACTGTGTGTATGAAGATTAATTTATCCTCATTTAGCTGTTAACGAAGATGAATTCATCTTTATTTAACTGTGTGTATGAAGATTAATTTATCCTCATTTAGCTCTGAACGAAGATGAATTCATCTTTATTTAACTGTGTGTATGAAGATTAATTTATCCTCATTTAGCTGTTAACGAAGATGAATTCATCTTTATTTAACTGTGTGTATGAAGATTAATTTATCCTCATTTAGCTCTGAACGAAGATGAATTCATCTTTATTTAACTGTGTGTATGAAGATTAATTTATCCTCATTTAGCTCTGAACGAAGATGAATTCATCTTTTTTTAACTGTGTGTATGAAGATTAATTTATCCTCATTTAGCTGTTAACGAAGATGAATTCATCTTTATTTAACTGTGTGTATGAAGATTAATTTATCCTCATTTAGCTGTTAACGAAGATGAATTCATCTTTATTTAACTGTGTGTATGAAGATTAATTTATCCTCATTTAGCTCTGAACGAAGATGAATTCATCTTTATTTAACTGTGTGTATGAAGATGAATTCATCTTCATTTAGCATTTAACGAAGATGAATTCATCTTCATTTAGCTGTTAACGAAGATTAATTGATCCTCCGATTTAGGCTGTTAAATGAAGATGAATTTATCCTTTTTTTACTGTGTGAACGAAGATGAATTTATCTTCATTTAGCTGTTAACAAAGATGAATTCATCTTTATTTAACTGTGTGTATGAAGATTAATTTATCCTCATTTAGCTGTTAATTGAAGATTAATTTATCCTCTTTTAGCCGTTAAATGAAGATGAATTTATCTTCGTAAAGTAATAGATTTGTACAAGTATACGTATTTATTTCTATTCATTTCTACATATTAAATTGAACGGTTCATTTGCATATCTTGTGTCCATTTGTTTCAATTAATGGTCTGGAGGGACTGACATTCCTTTATGTTCAAATGATAATTGAGTGAAGAGACTGTAGAACAGAGATCGATAATTCAGATATGTGGGTGGTAGTGTGCGGAGATGTGAAAGAAAAATCAAGGAATCAGTTTGAGGAAATTTTGAGGAAAAGTTCGTTCATTTTGAAAAGATATACTGTTTAGAGATCATTTTCAGATTACGTGATAAGGTCATCGTCATATTCGCTCATTTCAATAGGTGACGCACAATGCTATTGACATTAATTGTCCTAGGTTGAATTTTCATCTCCTGCTACCAATATCCCTAATGCCACAAAACATCATCAATTCTCTCCTCAATAGAGCACTCTTGTAATTAATTAAATGTGATGCATACAACTTTGTTATTGCGACTTGTTACAATTTATTTCATTAATACTTAGGGGGTATACAGTAGGTTTTAGAGACATGGAATGTTGTTAAAGGTCAAAGGTCGTTTGATATCAACATGTGAAGTGCCTCAATACAAATTATTTCATTCACCTGGTGAACAATATTTTTTCAATAGACATAATCCAAACTGCATACATTAGTTGTTGCCAGGATGGACAAACATTATGGTTTGACCGACCTAGCAACACTTGATATATGCAGTTTGCATTCTGACTATTGAATTACTATTATGCTTATCAGGTGGATGAAATAATTTGTATTGAGGCACTTCACAAAGACTTGTGCATTAAATTTGGTTACATTACGAAAATAGTCTATTCACAAGATGAGAAGTGATCAGATCGACTAGAATATGGACAAAAGATAAGAAAACAGATCGACTACATTTTAATAAAGAACAGGTTCAAGAATTGTATCAAGCTGGTAAAGACATGCCCAGGGGCTGACATAGATTCTAATCACAACCCGGTGATTGCAGAAATCGAAATAAAGCTAAAGAATACACTCCCCATAACAAAAAGAAACCCTCTTCCAGATGTCACAGCTCTAAATAAAACAGAGGTAGCAGAAAAATACCTGATGGAAGTTAGAAATAGGTATAATTGTCTAGTCACAGCAGAAATAGAACAAACAAATAATGAAGTAAATGACATTGAGAAACTAGAAGTGAAGGGAAAATACTTGAAAAAAAGCATTTAGCATGGAAATAAGATACTACCAACTAATAAGAAACTAGCAAAACAACCATGGATGACAGAAAAGATTCTGAACTTGATACAGGAGGGGCAAAAGCAAGTCAGAAACTCCAAATCATACAGAGACATCAATAAGGAAATTGATAATGAATGTAAAAGAGCAAAAGAAGAATGGCTAACTCAAAGATGTGTTAGAATTGAGCAATTCCCCAAGACAAACCAAACAAATGAAATGCACAGATAAACCAAAAAAATTAAGAAGAAGAAAAACAAGGCAGCAAGCGGATGTTTCAAGAACAAAGATGGAATATCTTTCCTCTTTGAAAAGGATGACATTAAACAAAGATGGGAAGCATATATCAAAGACCTATTTGATGATGATAGAGGTCCAGAATTTCCCATCACTGGCAACGAGGGTCCAAGTATACTTGAATCAAAAGTTAAACAAGCTCTGCATTCACTATGGGAACTTCTAAATCTGAAGGCCCAGATGGGATAACACGGGAAGAACTTGTGGCCTTAAAATAATTTGGGATTGAACATTTGACTAGTATTTGCCAAATGATATACATTACAGGTCATATTCCTGAAGATCTGAAAAAGTCGATGTTTGTGCCAATTCCAAAGAAGCCTAAGGCAAGTGTATGTGAAGATTTCCGGACAATTGGTCTTATGAGCCATGTATAAACCAAGTTGCTCTTAAAGATCATTCTCAACAAAATAAAAATTCAAATTGACAATGAAGTAAGTAAGGAACAGTTTGGTTTTAGATAGGGATGTGTAATGTCCCCATCTCTGTTCAACTTGTGCACAGCGTTGGTATTCAGGGAAATTTCAGATATGAAAGGTGTTAGTATTGGGGGTGTAAATATTAATAATTTACGTTATGCTGATGACACTGTAATTTGCGCAGAGAATGAAACAGATTTACAACATGTATTGGATATTGTAAAAGTCAAGAGTGAAAAGTTTGGTCTAAGCATGAATGTCAAGAAAACTAAGTCCATGATTTTTAGTAGAACAGAGAATAAGCCTAGAATCTGTTTGAAACTCGATGGACATATCATTGAGCAGGTCAGTAATTACATCTACTTAGGACAATCCATATCACAGATGATGCCAGATGCGAAGCAGAAATAAAAAGAAGAATAGAAATTGCTCGGAATACATTTCTGGCAATGAAAGTCTTATTCACAGATAGAAAGGTGAAAGTTGCGCTTAGGTTGAGACTAGTAAACTGTTATGTATGGTCTGTCCTATTGTATGGAACAGAAACATGGATAATAAGCAAGGCTATGGAAAATAGAATAACATCTATTGAAATGTGGATTTACATAAGAATGAGGAAAATATCCTTGAAACGAATGAAAACCAACAAAGAGATATTGCACATGGCAGGGCGTAAACAAATTACACTAATAGGATTAGTTAAGGAGAGAAAAATCAAAGACTTTGGTCATCTTAAAAGGCACCAAAGCCTCTTAAAGGGTGTATTGGAGGGGAGATTGGAAGGAACTAGACCGAGAGGGAGACAGAATCAACTGGGAAGAGGGTGTCAAGAACGGGAGTGGACTAAAACTGCACGAGTGCACCATAATGGCAGAAAAAAAAAGTGAATTGAAGAGATGTTGCAATCAACCTCGGAACCGGGAGAAAATACCTAGATAGATAGAAAGAATTCAAAGAATACCAAGCACCGTAACCAAGAAAGAACCTTTCTCATATCCCCTCACATTGGCAACCATATAATGCAAAGTAAAACAAAACCATTACAATCGATATGAAATTGAAACCAATACACACATATTACATATCCTTCCCATCGTGGATGCCAATAACAGTTTGAAAACATTTAGTAATCAAATTATGAGTTTTTTTTCTTCTTCTCCAAATAGAGAATAACTAGTCCTTGTTTAATGGAAAGGAATTCATCATATCCAAAGTTTTAAGTAGGTGCAACTGGTCCGATGGTTGGTTAGGCCGAGCAGGAGAGTTCACAGTCTTGACAACTACAGCTGCTTTGATTGCCAACAGGTGCGTTACAGTAGAACGAGGTAGGGTTCATGGGCTCCATGCCTACAATAGGTTAAATGAAGAGAATTGACTAAATTAATTTCCTTCGTAAAGCATATCAAGTACTTACATATTGCTAAATATATTACTCATTGCGGATAAAGTATCGAAAATAATATCGCTAGTGATATTCGTTTGTCTCGCAATGTGGTCAATAAGGAATCTAAAAGGTCACGACGTTTCGTATGCTACTGCGATACTTCGTCAGGTGATAAAAACTGTTGTAAGCAAGGGTCTTTTATACTTTACGGGAGGACCGTAAAGCGGTCTAAAATTCGATCGATAATTGGAACAATAACGCCCAATGCCTATTGGTCGACGCACACGGTGATCGACCAATCACCAAGGCCGCTGGTTCGGCCGCTGGTTCGGCTGATGCACCAGGCCTATTGGCCGACGCATACGGTACTCGACCAATCAACGGGCCGCTGGCTCGGGCCGTCTGCTGAATGGAATCGACCGTTGTTGGCTGGCAGGACGGCGAGTGTCATGGCGGCGTATCGTCCGCATCCAAAATTCGGGGATATCGATCCCGTTGTCTCTGTTGAAATTATTAGGATTGAGACGGATATTGATAGCTTCTTTTACCCTCCGTGTATACCAATGCCGTTCCTGGGAAAGGCACTGAACCCCGTCCCAGTCTGGTTGATGCTGGTTGTCCCAAGCATGTTCGGCTACGGCTGAGTTGTCAGTTCGACGGAGTCTGACGTCCCTCTTATGCTCAGTGATTCTTTCTTTTATCGGACGGGCAGTTTCACCGATGTAGGATCTATCACATCCTTTACAAGGGATGTTGTACACAATGCCGTCCCGTCTATGTGGAGGAATTGGATCCTTGGGGCGTGTAAGTTGTTGACGTAGGGTGGTATCTGATCTGAAAACCGTTCGAATGCCATGGCTCTCTAGGCGGCGCTTGAGTTGTTGGGAGACCCCATCAATGTACGGCAAGACTGTAAAAGTCTTGTATACCTTCTGATCCCTGGGTTCCGACGATCTATTCTTGGTATTGTGTATAAAACGGCGTGGGTAACCGTTGAGACTCAGGGCACTGCGAACACGGGTCCGTTCTTTGCATGGCTGTTGTGGACTTGTCACAATGCGTGAAGCTCTGTCAAATAGACATTTCACTAGACCTCTCTTCACCGATATGGGATGGTGAGAGTCAAACGCTATGTACTGGTCTGTGTGGGTAGGCTTCCTATAGACTGAGGTGGAGAGCCTATGGTTGTCGTGTCTATGAACTAGAGTGTCTAAGAATGCTATCTTCCCTTCACACTCTATCTCTGATGTGAACTGGATGGTTGGTTCAAGGCTATTCATGTGTTTAAGTAGCTTATCTGTTTCAGAGATGGGAACTATGATGAAGGTGTCATCTACGTATCTCTTCCAAACACGAGGCAAGCAAGAGAGGGGACATGTGTCCAACGCTTCTTCTTCGAAACTCTCCATGTATAGGTTGGCCACAACAGCCGAGACTGGACTGCCCATGGCTGCCCCTTCTGTCTGTTCATAGTATGAACCTTTATACAGAAAATATGTGGATCGTAGAACAAACTCGAGGAGTTGAGTGAGTTGTTCCGGTGAGAGTGCGGTCCGGGTAGACAAATTGCTGTCTGATTGTAAGCGTTGCAATGTAGCATTGCATGCGCCCTCAATCGGTACATTGGTGAAGAGTGAAACTACGTCAAACGAAACCATGCGTTCTTGAGTACCGATGGTTTGCTCTGCTATGAACTCTGCAAAACCACTCGAATTGGGAATCGTATATTCAGTCAAACCGGTGAGCGGAGAAAGAATTTCAGCTAGGTACTTTGAGAGGTTATAGGCAAAGGAGCCTATGCATGACACTATAGGTCGTAATGGTACTGTGGGTTTGTGTATCTTGGGTAACCCGTATATTCTAGGAGGTTGCTTTTGTGTGGGTTTCAGTCTACGATAGGTCGGTTCATCCATCACATTGTCTTTCTTTAGGTTCAGCAAGGTGTTGGTAAGCTTGCGAGCCAAACGATCTGTGGGATCTTTCTTTAATACACGATACGGACCAGACTCCAATAAGTCGGTCAATTTCTCATGGTATATTGTGGTGTCTAGAATGATTGTGGCACGACCTTTGTCGGCTGGAAGAATAGTAATACTATCATCAGCCTTCAAAGTTTTGAGAGCGGTGTGCACCGTCCTGCCGATGCGTACCATGGGGGCAAAGAAGGCAGCTGAAACGGCATCCCGTCGTTTCTTAAAAGAACGGATTTTTCTAACCAGACGCACTCTTGGCTCGGCCAAGACCGAATATGAAACTTTGAAGGCCGAAGTCATATCGAACTTAGTCCCCCAACATAGCGATGAGATAGTGAAGGTTAATGAAGATATCTACCGAGATGTCTTCATGAAATGTAAAACGAGACAACAAACGAAATTTGATAAACTTACACAGCCAAAGTCGAGCAGGACGGTGCCCTCATTAGCGAATGAGGAGAAGTGGGTTATTAACCTATCCTCTAGAACGATCACTTCTTCGGAAGAAGAGATTCTTAAGAAAGGCCTCGGCTTTGCCGTCTCCCCTAGACGGATTCCAGCTACCGAAATAATTGCGAAAGTTGAGACAGCGGTCAAGTATCTTGATGCGGAGTCGGCCGACGCCGCCCGCAGAGATGTAGACAACATCCTACAAAAAGCACGCCCCCCTAAACACAACATTTCGAAAGAAATGCACACCGCTCTCAAAACTTTGAAGGCTGATGATAGTATTACTATTCTTCCAGCCGACAAAGGTCGTGCCACAATCATTCTAGACACCACAATATACCATGAGAAATTGACCGACTTATTGGAGTCTGGTCCGTATCGTGTATTAAAGAAAGATCCCACAGATCGTTTGGCTCGCAAGCTTACCAACACCTTGCTGAACCTAAAGAAAGACAATGTGATGGATGAACCGACCTATCGTAGACTGAAACCCACACAAAAGCAACCTCCTAGAATATACGGGTTACCCAAGATACACAAACCCACAGTACCATTACGACCTATAGTGTCATGCATAGGCTCCTTTGCCTATAACCTCTCAAAGTACCTAGCTGAAATTCTTTCTCCGCTCACCGGTTTGACTGAATATACGATTCCCAATTCGAGTGGTTTTGCAGAGTTCATAGCAGAGCAAACCATCGGTACTCAAGAACGCATGGTTTCGTTTGACGTAGTTTCACTCTTCACCAATGTACCGATTGAGGGCGCATGCAATGCTACATTGCAACGCTTACAATCAGACAGCAATTTGTCTACCCGGACCGCACTCTCACCGGAACAACTCACTCAACTCCTCGAGTTTGTTCTACGATCCACATATTTTCTGTATAAAGGTTCATACTATGAACAGACAGAAGGGGCAGCCATGGGCAGTCCAGTCTCGGCTGTTGTGGCCAACCTATACATGGAGAGTTTCGAAGAAGAAGCGTTGGACACATGTCCCCTCTCTTGCTTGCCTCGTGTTTGGAAGAGATACGTAGATGACACCTTCATCATAGTTCCCATCTCTGAAACAGATAAGCTACTTAAACACATGAATAGCCTTGAACCAACCATCCAGTTCACATCAGAGATAGAGTGTGAAGGGAAGATAGCATTCTTAGACACTCTAGTTCATAGACACGACAACCATAGGCTCTCCACCTCAGTCTATAGGAAGCCTACCCACACAGACCAGTACATAGCGTTTGACTCTCACCATCCCATATCGGTGAAGAGAGGTCTAGTGAAATGTCTATTTGACAGAGCTTCACGCATTGTGACAAGTCCACAACAGCCATGCAAAGAACGGACCCGTGTTCGCAGTGCCCTGAGTCTCAACGGTTACCCACGCCGTTTTATACACAATACCAAGAATAGATCGTCGGAACCCAGGGATCAGAAGGTATACAAGACTTTTACAGTCTTGCCGTACATTGATGGGGTCTCCCAACAACTCAAGCGCCGCCTAGAGAGCCATGGCATTCGAACGGTTTTCAGATCAGATACCACCCTACGTCAACAACTTACACGCCCCAAGGATCCAATTCCTCCACATAGACGGGACGGCATTGTGTACAACATCCCTTGTAAAGGATGTGATAGATCCTACATCGGTGAAACTGCCCGTCCGATAAAAGAAAGAATCACTGAGCATAAGAGGGACGTCAGACTCCGTCGAACTGACAACTCAGCCGTAGCCGAACATGCTTGGGACAACCAGCATCAACCAGACTGGGACGGGGTTCAGTGCCTTTCCCAGGAACGGCATTGGTATACACGGAGGGTAAAAGAAGCTATCAATATCCGTCTCAATCCTAATAATTTCAACAGAGACAACGGGATCGATATCCCCGAATTTTGGATGCGGACGATACGCCGCCATGACACTCGCCGTCCTGCCAGCCAACAACGGTCGATTCCATTCAGCAGACGGCCCGAGCCAGCGGCCCGTTGATTGGTCGAGTACCGTATGCGTCGGCCAATAGGCCTGGTGCATCAGCCGAACCAGCGGCCGAACCAGCGGCCTTGGTGATTGGTCGATCACCGTGTGCGTCGACCAATAGGCATTGGGCGTTATTGTTCCAATTATCGATCGAATTTTAGACCGCTTTACGGTCCTCCCGTAAAGTATAAAAGACCCTTGCTTACAACAGTTTTTATCACCTGACGAAGTATCGCAGTAGCATACGAAACGTCGTGACCTTTTAGATTCCTTATTGACCACATTGCGAGACAAACGAATATCACTAGCGATATTATTTTCGATACTTACATATTGTTGTTTTGTTTTTTCCCGTATAATAAAATCAGATAAAAGACATACAAAGTAATCATACAGAGAAAAGGGACAACATACAGCTGGTACCCCATGTTCAGCTGCAACTATATTGTTGCTGCTGGTCTTCAATGGGGCCAGTTTATACAATGTACAAAATATATATAATATTATAAATGAACAGAACAAATAAATACAAAGTATCGGTCGAAAACATAGTATAAATAATTATTTAAAAAAGAAGAAAACAAATTGGTAATATCACTATGAAAGAAACCATTATTGTGTTATTATGTATTGAGCTGTTGTTGTTTTAATGAACATCATCATGGTACAGGCCTATTGTGGTGTATATCCCAATCAGTTATATCAGGAGGAGGGACCCAATGGTTACAATGATTTAATGATATCCCTCTCATGCACAGGTGATTTCAGCTAAAGATGATTATAACGAAGCAGTATCTACAGTGTACATGAAAGGGAGAGAAGCAGAGAAAGAGCGAGGAAGGGGAGAGAGACAGAGGGAAAGAAAGGTGTTGAGACAGCAAGCCAGTGTTAATAGAAACGGAGTCGTTAGACAATTTACGATAGCACTCCTCCCACCTCTCAAATATTAATGTACTCATAAAGCAATCGTAAATTCAAGAAAAAAATTGTCATCATAATCATGTAAGAATACATTGGGCCATACTCGAAGGCTATATGCAATGCACGGATGATTTTTACCCTTTACTTGTTGATAAATTTAGTAATGAAAACTTTTAAAGGTAATAGTTAATTAATTACAAAACAAACTTTTTAAATTAGGAGTGTTAGGGTATAGAAGGAGGACTAGAAGAAAAAGAAGGAGGAGGAGAAGGAGGAGGAGGAGAAGAAGAAAAAGAAGGAGGTGGAGGTGGAGGAGGAGAATAAGTAGGAGGAGGAGGAGGCGGAGACGCGGAAGAAAGGGAAGGAGGCGGAGACGAAGAAGAAAAAAGAGGAGGCGGTGGAAAAGAAGAAAAAGGGTGAGGAGCAGAAGAAGAAGTAGAAGAAGGCGAATAGAAGAAATAAAATATAAAGATGGAAAAGAATTTTGAATCAAATGAAGAGATAAATGAGATGATAATTCGTTTTCCACTTACTTTTGTCCATGCCTTCGATTGTTTCTCCTGTTGGTACAACTTTGAAGTCAATATTCCAAGGAATGAATCCATTAGCTGTATCACCAAAGAAGTCAAGCCACCTCTGAGGGGAGCAATCGTCACCGAGATACCCGCCACATATTACATCCATCACAGGTGTATTGCAATGGGGGAACTTAACATCCTTACCTGAAAGAATATCGATTGGAATCTCTCAAATTAATGATAATGATAGTAATAGTAACATTCGTATAACTCTTAATACTATGTTTCTAAACGCTTCGCCATGTTTATATTGTAGTCTAGTATTACCCCGGTTATTTTATTCATTTTCTATTCCCCTTTTGATAGTGCACATGATAGTGCACACGTTTTACAAGCGCAATTTAATATTGAATTTACTCACCGTGTGGGTTAAATCCGTATAAGTTATGACTGTTCAATACTATAAAAAGACAATAATGCGAAACGATTTTGGTTGGAAATGTAAAAATAACTGACTGATAAAGAAATAAAGATACTAAAATGAAACTCGTCGCCCCGACTGCGTGCCAAGCTGTATAACATTGTGGCTTCAGTAATTGTGATTTACTGTAAGTGTTCGATATTTTCTTTATATTTTGTTTACTTATCCTGACCAGCGATATACATGATCAAAGTAATACATTCATTTTAAGCAAGCTTCTCTCGAAGTCACCAAACAAAGAAAAAACAGAAAGAAAAAAAAGGCATCGGAGACAACTTACATGTCACAAAATGGCTACTATACACAGGTAGCCTGTAAAGAGAGGTGGCCTCCAAGACAGATTGGACTTTATTTAATAACGAATTGGGTGAGATGAGGCTTACATGAATCATAGGCGATGTCAGCGAACTCCTGTGCGACGAAGGCATCGAAGCGACGAACGCCGACTCCATCATCGCTTACCAGAAGGACTGTAGCATTGGTATAGAGACTCTGCTGAGGACTACAAACCAGCTGACACATCATCGTCTCAATGTTTTCTAGACAGGCTGGACAACGACCGAATGCAGGCCGCAGTGCAGTCAATAAAGGCTATAAATACAAGCATTGAGATACATTCCTTGAAAGAGAATTTACTTTGAATAAGTTTCTTTGATGTCAAGAAATGTATTGGAAGACGCCTTGGGCAATAGCACAATTCTAACCTTCCCTTGAGCGTACAAAAACAACTATTTCTCTCAAAGCAGTCATTAATACTATACTATTATTGTTATTCATTGATATTATTACTACCTAGTGATACATTTGATAATGACACTGTTTAATGATGATAGTTTTACCTGACTGCTAAGAAAGCATGTATATGCTTGTAAGAACAACCAGGGGACCGAAGGCTTTAAGTCCTCTCTGAGGGACTTAGTAATTAGGATTACTACCTTACCAAAGGGTACGAGTGCATTGACTTGGTTTCGAAGCCGGGACCTCCCGGTTACGAAACTACTGGTCTACCAATGAGCCATCGCGCCCTATCTAATTATTATCTTTAGAACTATGGATCAAAAGCATGGTCGTAGACCCTGGTACATGTAGATACTTGAAGATGTTGGTTACCTGCATGGTTCTAAGTTGGTTAAGATCACAGCAGACTTCATCAGGGTTGTAATCTGGACACATATCACTTAGAAGACGATTGGCTGCTGCTGATCCAGTAGACCGGGCTCCTTCATTGTCCAAGCAATTTAGATCTGATCTTAAATTTGTATCAGGATTTCCCCCGCATTCGCTATACATCATACACCGCCCTTCCTCGTGCAAAAACGCCTATAAAAACAATTAACATGTAAATACGGATATCAATCGAATCATGTGTTACTTTTAATAAGTTGATAGATATTTTAATATGTTTATATGTTTACATAGCAGCATATCAAGGGGAAGATAGATAAGGACGGAGATAGGAAGTACTGGTCCATCATATCACGAGGAACCACAACGACTCGGCTGAAGTAATGTAAGGTAAGTATCAAGAGAGAATGGCAAGTATGCAAACACACTTGCGAGACACTGTCTAATTTTCTTACACCTATATCAGTTTTTGATAATGAAAGTCTATTATGTAATCCCGATAATTAATAGTTGTTTTGTTTTGTTATTTTCTTTTTCGTTATGCATCTACCCGACGTAAGAATTAATCAAAACATGCATATACAAGGACGTGAAGTAACAGAATGTTAATCAGATTTTCGCATTTTCAAACATAAAAAGACGATTGTTATCTCTTGAGGTTTGGACTGAGGGTGCGATTTTCTATAAAATAGAATCCCATAAGAGTAAAGAGAATGTACGTTGCTGTTAATATTTAACATCTTTCCTCCATATAAAAGCAGGTCTATTTCTCTGATTGAAAGAGTTTCATTTTTGCTTGTGATAGTAAATGGAATTTAAAAAAATTAATTAACCAAGACTTAAACGAAATGATTATTTATATCATGCATGTATATCACACTATTATATGAATGAAAGAGAGAATGAATCGGTATTATGCTCACTGGTCCGATGGTTGGTAAGGCCGAGCAGGAGAGTTCACAGTCTTGACAACTGCAGCTGCCTTGATTGCCAACAGGTGCGTTACAGTAGAACGAGGTAGGGTTCATGGGCTCCATGCCTACAACAGATTAAATGAAAAGAATTGACTAATTCATTTCCTTCCTAAAGCATATCAAGTACTTACACATTATTGTTGTTGTTGTTTTCATTTCCGTATAATAAAATCAGATAAAATACATGCAAAGTAATCACACAGAGAAAAAGAACAAAATACGGATGGTACCCCATTTTCAGCTGCAATGGACGGATGATTTCTACCATTTACTTGTTGATAAATTTTGTAATGAACATTTTTAAAGGTAATAGATGATTAATTACAAAACAAACTTTTGAAATTAGGAGTGATAGGGTATAGAAGGAGGACTTAAAGAAAAATAAGGAGGAGGAGAAGAAGAAGGAGGACTAGAAGAAAAAGAAGGAGGTGGAGAAGAAGAAGAAGGATGTGGAGGTGGAGGAGGAGAAGGAGGAGGAGGTGGAGGCCGAGACGAAGAAGAAAGGGAAGGAGGCGGAGACGAAGAAGAAAAAAGAAGAGGCGGCGGGAAAGAAGAAAAAGGGTGGGGAGCAGAAGAAGAAGTAGAAGAAGGCGAATAGAAGAAATAAAATATAAAGATGGAAAAGAATTTTGAATCAAATGAAGAGATAAATGAAATGATAATTCGTTTTCCATTTACTTTTGTCCATGCCTTCGATTGTTTCTCCTGTTGGTACAACTTTGAAGTCAATATTCCAAGGAATGAATCCATTAGCTGTATCACCAAGGAAGTCAAACCACCTCTGAGGGGAGCAATCGTCACCGAGATACCCGCCACACATTACATCCATCACAGGTGTATTGCAATGGGGGAACTTAACATCCTTACCTGAAAGAATATCGGTTGGAATCTCTCAATTTAATGATAATGATAATAATAGTAACATTCGTATAACTCTTAATACTATGTTTCTAAACGCTTTGCCATGTTTACAGTGTAGTCTAGTATTACCCCGGTTATTTGATTCTTTTTCTATTCCCCACATGAAAGTGCACAGTATAGTGCACACGCTTTACAAGCGCAATTTAATATTGAATTTACTCATCGTGTGGGGGTAAATCCGTATAAGTTATGACTGTTCAATACTACAAAAAGACATTAATGCGAAACGATTTTGGGTGGAAATGTAAAAATAACCGACTAATAAAGAAATAAAGATAATAAAATAAAACTCGTCGCCCCGACTGCATGCCAAGCTATAGCCTTTATAACATTGTGGCTTCAGTAATTGTGATTTCCTGTAAGTTTTCGTTATTTTCTTTATATTTTTACTTATCCTGACCACCGATATACATGATCAAAGTAATACATTCATTTTGAGCAAGCTTCTCTCGAAGTCACCAAACAAAGAAAAAACAGAAAGAAAAAAAAGTGGCCAATGCTAAAGGTGGCCTTTCTAGACAACGTACTTCAACACATATTTCTTTCCGGCAACGGAGACAACTTACATGGCAAAAAATGGCTACTAGGTAGCCTGTAAAGAGAGGTGGCCTCTAAGACAGATTGGACTTTATTTAATATCGAATTTGGTGAGATGAGGCTTACATGAATCATAGGCGATGTCAGCGAACTCCTGTGCGACGAAGGCATCGAAGCGACGAACGCCGACTCCATCATCGCTAACCAGGAGGACTGTAGCATTGGTATAGAGACTCTGCTGAGGACTACAAACCAGCTGACACATCAAAGTCTCAATGTTTTCTAGACAAGCTGGACAACGACCGAATGCAGGCCGGATTGCAATCAATAAAGGCTATAAATACAAGCATTGAGATACATTTCTTGAAAGAGAATTTATTTTGAATAAGTTTCTTTGGTGTCAAGAAATTTATTGGAAGGCATCAACGATGGAAAAGAGCTATTCCTTTTCTAAATTCATGAAAGTGGTATAGTAAGCAAATAACTACCGTTGGTGAAGGTGATGGGACAAACTATCACTTCCGAGGCTATCTGGATGTAGCTATCTTTCCGAAGCGTAGCTGAGGAAAGATAGCGTATACATTCTGATCGACGAGGAAGTGATAGTTTGCCATCGCCTGAAACCAAAAGGTGATTATTTGCTTTATATTCCACATCAACAACAATTTAACTACAAAAAGAAAAGGATGTGTATGCATCTACATGAAAGACACCAGGCCCGAATTCACACCAAAAAAGTTAAAAGTTTAACCCAACTCCTTGAGGGTACGGTGCGCGCATGTGTTTGCTTTAATTGCGCTCATTGGTAATGCGCGCTTAATTACGCCTGTTTTAGTGCGCTTTTGGATAATCTTCAGTGAAAGTACGTTGCCCTGTGTAGATAGTACCTCTATTTTCAGTTAAAGTGCGTTGCACTGTGTAGATAGTAGTACTATCTACACAGTGTAACGAACTTTTTGCTTCTCCCATAAATAATGGGCGAACTATCTTTCATCACGTGATTTACTTTTGACCAATCGTAGAGCAAGATTCTTAGTATGTGGAATATAATGGTAATTAACAATCAAGTACATATGAACTGTAATTACATCACTGCCATCATGCCACGATGTGAAACTGATTTGTTTGTCCTGTAGTTTTGTAACTCCTGTCAAATTCCAATGGTAATATCTTTGCAAAGTGAAAGCCAAGAATATTTAGTGCAACATAAAAGACAACTATCTAAAATGAAATACTAAAAAAGGAATCGAAATTGAAGATGCAAATTTCACATGTAAAAGAGGGATTTCAAAATATTGTATTATTTGTTATGTTCATAATTACCATGGTCACAGTTTGTTCGAAGCAAATAAATATGCACATGCTTTAAAGAATATTATGCACTAGGTTTCGAACCCGGTTACGAGACTCCTGGTCTACCAATGAGCCATCGCGCCTTCTCTAATTATTATCTTTAGAACTATGGATCAAAAGCATGGTCGTAGAACCTGACACAATTCATGAGGATACTTGAAGATGTTGCTTATTATACCCGCATGGTTCTAAGTTGGTTAAGATCACAACAGACTTCATCAGGGTTGTAATCTGGACACATATCACTTAGAAGACCAATGGCTGCTGCTGATCCAGTAGGCCGGGCTCCTCCATTGTCCAAGCAATTCAGGTCTGTTCTATTAGTAGTATCAGGATTTTCCCCGCATTCGCTGAACATCATACACCTCCCTTCCTCGTGCAAATACGCCTTTGGAAACAATTAACAAGTAAAAACGGATATCAATCGAATCATGTGTTACTTTTAATAAGTTGATAGATATTTTAATATGTTTATATGTTTACATAGCAGCATATCAAGGGGAAGATAGATAAGGACGGAGATAGGAAGTACTGGTCCATCATATTATCACGAGGAACCACAACGACTCGAATAAAGTAATGTAAGGTAAGTATCAAGAGGGAATGGCGAGTATGCAAACACACTTGCGAGACGCTGTCTAATTTTCTTACACCTATATCAGTTTTTGATAATGAAAGTCTATTATGTAATCCCGATAATAAATAGTTGTTTTGTTTTGTTATTTTCTTTTTCGTTATGCATCTACCCGACGTAAGAATTAATCAAAACATGCATATACAAGGACGTGAAGTAACAGAATGTTAATCAGATTTTCGCATTTTCAAACATAAAAAGACGATTGTTATCTCTTGAGGTTTGGACTGAGGGTGCGATTTTCTATAAAATAGAATCCCATAAGAGTAAAGAGAATGTACGTTGCTGTTAATATTTAACATCTTTCCTCCATATAAAAGCAGGTCTATTTCTCTGATTGAAAGAGTTTCATTTTTGCTTGTGATAGTAAATGGAATTTAAAAAAATTAATTAACCAAGACTTAAACGAAATGATTATTTATATCATGCATGTATATCACACTATTATATGAATGAAAGAGAGAATGAATCGGTATTATGCTCACTGGTCCGATGGTTGGTAAGGCCGAGCAGGAGAGTTCACAGTCTTGACAACTGCAGCTGCCTTGATTGCCAACAGGTGCGTTACAGTAGAACGAGGTAGGGTTCATGGGCTCCATGCCTACAACAGATTAAATGAAAAGAATTGACTAATTCATTTCCTTCCTAAAGCATATCAAGTACTTACACATTATTGTTGTTGTTGTTTTCATTTCCGTATAATAAAATCAGATAAAATACATGCAAAGTAATCACACAGAGAAAAAGAACAAAATACGGATGGTACCCCATTTTCAGCTGCAATGGACGGATGATTTCTACCATTTACTTGTTGATAAATTTTGTAATGAACATTTTTAAAGGTAATAGATGATTAATTACAAAACAAACTTTTGAAATTAGGAGTGATAGGGTATAGAAGGAGGACTTAAAGAAAAATAAGGAGGAGGAGAAGAAGAAGGAGGACTAGAAGAAAAAGAAGGAGGTGGAGAAGAAGAAGAAGAAGGATGTGGAGGTGGAGGAGGAGAAGGAGGAGGAGGTGGAGGCCGAGACGAAGAAGAAAGGGAAGGAGGCGGAGACGAAGAAGAAAAAAGAAGAGGCGGCGGGAAAGAAGAAAAAGGGTGGGGAGCAGAAGAAGAAGTAGAAGAAGGCGAATAGAAGAAATAAAATATAAAGATGGAAAAGAATTTTGAATCAAATGAAGAGATAAATGAAATGATAATTCGTTTTCCATTTACTTTTGTCCATGCCTTCGATTGTTTCTCCTGTTGGTACAACTTTGAAGTCAATATTCCAAGGAATGAATCCATTAGCTGTATCACCAAGGAAGTCAAACCACCTCTGAGGGGAGCAATCGTCACCGAGATACCCGCCACACATTACATCCATCACAGGTGTATTGCAATGGGGGAACTTAACATCCTTACCTGAAAGAATATCGGTTGGAATCTCTCAATTTAATGATAATGATAATAATAGTAACATTCGTATAACTCTTAATACTATGTTTCTAAACGCTTTGCCATGTTTACAGTGTAGTCTAGTATTACCCCGGTTATTTGATTCTTTTTCTATTCCCCACATGAAAGTGCACAGTATAGTGCACACGCTTTACAAGCGCAATTTAATATTGAATTTACTCATCGTGTGGGGGTAAATCCGTATAAGTTATGACTGTTCAATACTACAAAAAGACATTAATGCGAAACGATTTTGGGTGGAAATGTAAAAATAACCGACTAATAAAGAAATAAAGATAATAAAATAAAACTCGTCGCCCCGACTGCATGCCAAGCTATAGCCTTTATAACATTGTGGCTTCAGTAATTGTGATTTCCTGTAAGTTTTCGTTATTTTCTTTATATTTTTACTTATCCTGACCACCGATATACATGATCAAAGTAATACATTCATTTTGAGCAAGCTTCTCTCGAAGTCACCAAACAAAGAAAAAACAGAAAGAAAAAAAAAGTGGCCAATGCTAAAGGTGGCCTTTCTAGACAACGTACTTCAACACATATTTCTTTCCGGCAACGGAGACAACTTACATGGCAAAAAATGGCTACTAGGTAGCCTGTAAAGAGAGGTGGCCTCTAAGACAGATTGGACTTTATTTAATATCGAATCTGGTGAGATGAGGCTTACATGAATCATAGGCGATGTCAGCGAACTCCTGTGCGACGAAGGCATCGAAGCGACGAACGCCGACTCCATCATCGCTAACCAGGAGGACTGTAGCATTGGTATAGAGACTCTGCTGAGGACTACAAACCAGCTGACACATCAAAGTCTCAATGTTTTCTAGACAAGCTGGACAACGACCGAATGCAGGCCGGATTGCAATCAATAAAGGCTATAAATACAAGCATTGAGATACATTTCTTGAAAGAGAATTTATTTTGAATAAGTTTCTTTGGTGTCAAGAAATTTATTGGAAGGCATCAACGATGGAAAAGAGCTATTCCTTTTCTAAAGTCATGAAAGTGGTATAGTAAGCAAATAACTACCGTTGGTGAAGGTGATGGGACAAACTATCACTTCCGAGGCTATCTGGATGTAGCTATCTTTCCGAAGCGTAGCTGAGGAAAGATAGCGTATACATTCTGATCGACGAGGAAGTGATAGTTTGCCATCGCCTGAAACCAAAAGGTGATTATTTGCTTTATATTCCACATCAACAACAATTTAACTACAAAAAGAAAAGGATGTGTATGCATCTACATGAAAGACACCAGGCCCGAATTCACACCAAAAAAGTTAAAAGTTTAACCCAACTCCTTGAGGGTACGGTGCGCGCATGTGTTTGCTTTAATTGCGCTCATTGGTAATGCGCGCTTAATTACGCCTGTTTTAGTGCGCTTTTGGATAATCTTCAGTGAAAGTACGTTGCCCTGTGTAGATAGTACCTCTATTTTCAGTTAAAGTGCGTTGCACTGTGTAGATAGTAGTACTATCTACACAGTGTAACGAACTTTTTGCTTCTCCCATAAATAATGGGCGAACTATCTTTCATCACGTGATTTACTTTTGACCAATCGTAGAGCAAGATTCTTAGTATGTGGAATATAATGGTAATTAACAATCAAGTACATATGAACTGTAATTACATCACTGCCATCATGCCACGATGTGAAACTGATTTGTTTGTCCTGTAGTTTTGTAACTCCTGTCAAATTCCAATGGTAATATCTTTGCAAAGTGAAAGCCAAGAATATTTAGTGCAACATAAAAGACAACTATCTAAAATGAAATACTAAAAAAGGAATCGAAATTGAAGATGCAAATTTCACATGTAAAAGAGGGATTTCAAAATATTGTATTATTTGTTATGTTCATAATTACCATGGTCACAGTTTGTTCGAAGCAAATAAATATGCACATGCTTTAAAGAATATTATGCACTAGGTTTCGAACCCGGTTACGAGACTCCTGGTCTACCAATGAGCCATCGCGCCTTCTCTAATTATTATCTTTAGAACTATGGATCAAAAGCATGGTCGTAGAACCTGACACAATTCATGAGGATACTTGAAGATGTTGCTTATTATACCCGCATGGTTCTAAGTTGGTTAAGATCACAGCAGACTTCATCAGGGTTGTAATCTGGACACATATCACTTAGAAGACCAATGGCTGCTGCTGATCCAGTAGGCCGGGCTCCTCCATTGTCCAAGCAATTCAGGTCTGTTCTATTAGTAGTATCAGGATTTTCCCCGCATTCGCTGAACATCATACACCTCCCTTCCTCGTGCAAATACGCCTTTGGAAACAATTAACAAGTAAAAACGGATATCAATCGAATCATGTGTTACTTTTAATAAGTTGATAGATATTTTAATATGTTTATATGTTTACATAGCAGCATATCAAGGGGAAGATAGATAAGGACGGAGATAGGAAGTACTGGTCCATCATATTATCACGAGGAACCACAACGACTCGAATAAAGTAATGTAAGGTAAGTATCAAGAGGGAATGGCGAGTATGCAAACACACTTGCGAGACGCTGTCTAATTTTCTTACACCTATATCAGTTTTTGATAATGAAAGTCTATTATGTAATCCCGATAATAAATAGTTGTTTTGTTTTGTTATTTTCTTTTTCGTTATGCATCTACCCGACGTAAGAATTAATCAAAACATGCATATACAAGGACGTGAAGTAACAGAATGTTAATCAGATTTTCGCATTTTCAAACATAAAAAGACGATTGTTATCTCTTGAGGTTTGGACTGAGGGTGCGATTTTCTATAAAATAGAATCCCATAAGAGTAAAGAGAATGTACGTTGCTGTTAATATTTAACATCTTTCCTCCATATAAAAGCAGGTCTATTTCTCTGATTGAAAGAGTGGCATTTTTGCTTATGATAGTAAATGGAATTTAAAAAAATTAATTAACCAAGACTTAAACGAAATGATTATTTATATCATGCATGTATATCACACTATTATATGAATGAAAGAGAGAATGAATCGGTATTATGCTCACTGGTCCGATGGTTGGTAAGGCCGAGCAGGAGAGTTCACAGTCTTGACAACTACAGCTGCCTTGATTGCCAACAGGTGCGTTACAGTAGAACGAGGTAGGGTTTATGGGCTCCATGCCTACAACAGATTAAATGAAAAGAATTGACTAATTCATTTCCTTCCTAAAGCATGTCAAGTACTTACAGATGATTGTTGTTGTTGTTTTCATTTCCGTATAATAAAATCAGATAAAATATATGCAAAGTAATCACACAGAGAAAAAGGACAAAATACGGCTGGTAGCCCTTTTCAGCTGCAACTAGATTGTTGCTGCTGGTCTTCCATGGGGCCAGTTTATACAATGTACAAAATATACATATTATTGGAAATGAACAGAATAAATAATTACAAAGTATCAGTCGAAAACATAGTATAAATAATTATTCTTTTTAAAGAAAAAAAAAGATAGGTAATAACACTATGAAAGAAACCATTATTTTATTAGTATGTATTGTGGTTACAATGATTTAATGATATCTCTCTCATGCACATGTGATTTCAAGTATACAGTTAAAGATGATTATAACGATGCAGTATTTAAATGAAAGGGAGAGAAGCAGAGAAAGAGAGAGAGAGAGAAAGAGGAGAGAGACAGAGGGAAAGAAAGGTGTAGAGACAGCAAGCCAGTGTTAATAGAAACGGAGTCGTTAGACAATGAACGATAGCACTCCTCCGACCTCTCAAATTGTACTTATATCAATCGAAGACTGTACTGCAATGCATGGATGATTTTTACCCTTTACTTGTCGATAAATTTAAAAGTGAAAAATTTAGAATAGAAATTAGTTTATCAATTACGAAACAAATTTTTGAAAATAAGAGCTGATACGGTTTAAAAGGAGGAGAAGGCGGAGATGAAGGAGAAAAGGAAGGAGGCGAAGGCGAAGAAGAAAAAAGGAGGAGGCGGCGGAAAATAAGAAGAAGGACGAGGAGGAGAAGAAAAAGAAGAAGAAGGCGAATAAAAGAAGAAAAATATAAAGATGGAAAAGATTTTTTTTTTTAATAAAGAGATACATGAGATAATAATTCATTTCCCTCTTACTTTCGTTCATGCCTTCGACTGTTTCTCCTGTTGGTACAACTGTGAAGTCAATATTCCAAGGAATGAATCCATTAGCTATATCACCAAAGAAGTCTAGCCACCTTTGAGGGGAGCAATCGTCTCCGAGATACCCGCCACACATTACATCCATCAAAGTTGTATTAGCAGCTGGGAACTGAACATCCTTACCTGAAAGAATATCGATTGAAATCTCTCAAATTAATGATAATGATAATAATAGCAACATACGTATAACTCTTAATACTGCGTTTCTAAACGCTTCACCATGTTTTCATTGAAGTCTATTTTTACCCCGGTTATTTGATTCATTTTCTATTCCGCACATGATTAGTGCACACATGATAGCCTTAATAACATTGTGGCTTCAGTAGATGTGATTTTCTCCAAGTTTTCATTATTTTCTTTATAAATTATGTGTCCTGATTCTGACCACCGATCTACATGATCTAATCAATGCATTAATTTGAGGCAAGCTTCTCTCGGAGTCACTCAATAAAGAAAAAACAGAGCAGGTAGCCAAAGCTACAGGTGGACTTTCTAGACACACATTTCTTTCCGGCGAGAGAGACAACGTACATGGCAAATTACATGGCTACTATAGAGAGGTGGCCTCTAACCCTCTAAGACAGGTTGGACTTTATTTAATATCGAATCGGGTGAGATGAGGCTTACATGAATCATAGGCGACGTCAGCGAACTCCTGTGCGACGAAGGCATCGAAGCGACGGACGCCGACTCCATCATCGCTAACCAGGAGGACTGTAGCATTGGAATAGAGACTCTGCTGAGGACTACAAACCATCTGACACATCATCGTCAAAACGTTTTCTAGACAGGCTGGACAACGACCGAATGCAGGCCGCAGTGCAGTCAATAAAGGCTACAAACACAAGCATTGAGATACATTCCATGAGATAAAGTTGAATGTGAATAAGTTTCTTTGATATCAAGAAATTTATTGGAAGACATCAACGATGGAAAAGAGTTAGTCCTTTTCTAAAGTAGAATATTAGTAATGAACAAGTATAGACTGTTATTACATCAATGTCATCATGCCACGATATATATATATATATATATATATATATATATATATATATATATTTTTTTTTTTTTTTTTTTTTTTTTTTTTTTTAATGAATATCTTTGCAAAGTGAAAGCTAAGAATATTCAATCCAACATAAAAGATAACTTTCTGAAATTAAATACTTAAAAAGGAATCAAAATTGAAGATGCAAATTTTACATGTAAAACAGTGAATTTAAAATAGTATTTGTTATGTTTATAATTACCATGGTCTCATTTTGTATGGAACGAAAAATAGGCACATGCTTTAAAGAATATTATGCACTATAAGAAACACGTATTAAGCTGTATATCACTAATACCATTATTGTTATTCATGGTTATTATTACTACCTGATGATGCATGTGATTCTGACACTGTTTGATGATGATAGTTTTACCTGACTGCTAAGAAAGCATGTATATGCTTGTAAGGAAACAACCAGGGGATCAAAGGCTTTAAGTCCTCTCTGAGGGACTTAGTAATTAGGATTACTACCTTACCGAAGGGCACGAGAGCATGGACTTTGTTTCGAACCCGGGACCTCCCTGTTACGCGACCACAGGTCTACCAATAAGCCATCGCGCCTTCTCTAATTATTATCTTTAGAACTATGGATCAAAAGCATGGTCGTAGACCCTGGTACATGTAGATACTTGAAGATGTTGGTTACCTGCATGGTTCTAAGTTGTTGAAGATCACAGCAGACTTCATCAGGGTTGTAATCTGGACACATATCACTTAGAAGACGATTGGCTGCTGCTGATCCAGTAGGCCGGGCTACTTCATTGTCCAAGCAATTTAGATCTGTTCTAAAATTTGTATCAGGATTTCCCCCGCATTCGCTGAACATCATACACCTCCCTTCCTCGTGCAAATACGCCTGTGAAAACAATCAATAGTTAAATACGGATATTAATCGAATCATTTGTTAATTTTTAATAAGTTGATAGACATTTCAATATGTATATATGTTTACATAGCAGCATATCAAGGGGAAGATAGATAAGGACGGAGATAGGAAGTACTGGTCCATCATATCACGAGGAACCACAACGACTCGGCTGAAGTAATGTAAGGTAAGTATCAAGAGAGAATGGCAAGTATGCAAACACACTTGCGAGACACTGTCTAATTTTCTTACACCTATATCAGTTTTTGATAATGAAAGTCTATTATGTAATCCCGATAGGAAATAGTTGTTTTGTTTTGTTTTGTTATTTTCTTCTTCGTTATCCATCTACCCGACGTAAGCATTAATCAAACCGTGCACATGCAAGGACGTGAAGTAACAGAATGTTATTCAGATTTTCGCATTTTCAAACATAAAAAGACAATTGTTATCTCTTGAGGTTTGGACTAGGGGTGCGAGTAAAAAGAATGTACGTTGCTGTTAATATTTGATATATTTTCTCCATATAAAAGCAGGTCTATTTCTCTGATTGAAAGAGTGGCATTTTTGCTTATGATAGTAAATGGAATAAAAAATGTATTAACCAAGACTTAAACGAAATGATTATTTATATCATGCATCATACTATTATATGAATGAAAGAGAGAATGAATCGGTATTATGCTCACTGGTCCGATGGTTGGTAAGGCCGAGCAGGAGAGTTCACAGTCTTGACAACTACAGCTGCCTTGATTGCCAACAGGTGCGTTACAGTAGAACGAGGTAGGGTTCATGGGCTCCATGCCTACAACAGATTAAATGAAAAGAATTGACTAATTCATTTCCTTCCTAAAGCATATCAAGTACTTACAGATTATTGTTGTTGTTGTTGTTTTCATTTCCGTATAATAAAATCAGATAAAATACATGCAAAGTAATCACACAGAAAAAAAGAACAAAATACGGATGGTACCCCATTTTCAGCTGCAATGGACGGATGATTTTTACCATTTACTTGTTGATAAATTTTGTAATGAAAATGTTTAAAGGTAATAGATGATTAATTACAAAACAAATTTTTGAAATTAGGAGTGATAGGGTATAGAAGGAGGACTAAAAGAAAAAGAAGGAGGAGGAGGTGGAGAAGGAGAAGAAGGAAGAGAAGAAGACGAAGAAGGAGGTGGAGGTGGAGGGGCAGGTCCAAGCTATTTGGATTGTGACGTACGGGACATTCAGAGACTTTAAACAAGAAATAACAACAGATGAAATTATTGTTATGGCTATCTTTTGGTATGAGTCTGTGGCTACTATGGACTAGTTCATTTGTGGAAAGTTTTAGTTCTGACAAATTTTTTAATTAATTTTTAATGTAATTAATGTGCAGCGTGACGTACGGTTCACAGCGTCCCGTACGTCACGCAGCACATTAATTACATTAAAAATTAATTAACAAATTAGTCAGAACTAAAACTTTCCACAAATGAACTAGCCCATAATAGCCACAGACTCATACCAAAAGAAAGCCATATAAATAATTTCATATGTTGTTATTTCTTGTTTAAAGTCTCTGAATGTCCCGTACGTCACAATCCAAATAGCTTGGACCTGCCCGGAGGAGGAGGAGAAGGAGGAGGAGGAGGCCGAGACGAAGAAAGGGAAGAAGGCGGAGAAGAAGGAGGAGGAGGAGGCCGAGATGAAGAACAAAGGGAAGGAGGCGGAGACGAAGAAGAAAAAAGAAGAGGCGGCGGAAAAGAAGAAAAAGGGTGAGGAGCAGAAGAAGAAGTAGAAGAAGATTCAAGATTCAAGATTCAAATAAGGTTTTATTCATGACTTGTCAAAAAGTCCGAAGACTAAAAATGCAAGTTTACATCAAACATACAATCATATAAAAAGCATTCAAAAACATATGTACATATAAATAAAGATAACATAGCAAATGAGAACAAATATATAACTATGAATAAATGTTTAAATCAAAACAATAAAGTAGTAACAACAAAAAATCAACAATTTTTTATTTTTTTTTAAATACAAGATATGAAATATTGCTAGCAAAAATGAATAAATGTTTACATCAAAAACAAATAAGAAGGCGAATAGAAGAAATAAAATATAAAGATGGAAAAGAATTTTGAATCAAATGAAGAGATAAATGAGATGATAATTCGTTTTCCACTTACTTTTGTCCATGCCTTCGACTGTTTCTCCTGTTGGTACAAGTTTGAAGTCAATATTCCAAGGAATGAATCCATTAGCTGTATCACCAAGGAAGTCAAACCACCTCTGAGGGGAGCAATCGTCACCGAGATACCCGCCACATATTACATCCATCACAGGTGTATTGGAACGTGGGAACTTAACATCCTTACCTGAAAGAATAACAGTTGGAATCTCTCAAATTAATGATAATGATAGTAATAGTAACATTCGTATAACTCTTAATACTATATTTCTAAACGCTTCGCCATGTTTACATTGTAGTCTAGTATTACCCCGGTTATTTTATTCATTTTCTATTCCCCTTTTGATAGTGCACATGATAGTGCACACGTTTTACAAGCGCAATTTAATATTGAATTTACTCACCGTGTGGGTTAAATCCGTATAAGTTATGACTGTTCAATACTATAAAAAGACAATAATGCGAAACGATTTTGGTTGGAAATGTAAAAATAACTGACTAATAAAGAAATAAAGATACTAAAATGAAACTCGTCGCCCCGACTGCGTGTCAAGCTGTATAACATTGTGGCTTCAGTAATTGTGATTTACTGTAAGTTTTCGATATTTTCTTTATATTTTGTTTACTTATCCTGACCACCGATATACATGATCAAAGTAATACATTCATTTTAAGAAAGCTTCTCTCGAAGTCACCAAACAAAGAAAAAACAGAAAGAAAAAAAAGTGGCCAATGCTAAAGGTGGCCTTTCTAGACAACGTACTTCAACACATATTTCTTTCCGGCATCGGAGACAACTTACATGTCACAAAATGGCTACTATACACAGGTAGCCTGTAAAGAGAGGTGGCCTCCAAGACAGATTGGACTTTATTTAATAACGAATCGGGTGAGATGAGGCTTACATGAATCATAGGCGATGTCAGCGAACTCCTGTGCGACGAAGGCATCGAAGCGACGAACGCCGACTCCATCATCGCTTACCAGAAGGACTGTAGCATTGGTATAGAGACTCTGCTGAGGACTACAAACCAGCTGACACATCATCGTCTCAATGTTTTCTAGACAGGCTGGACAACGACCGAATGCAGGCCGCAGTGCAGTCAATAAAGGCTATAAATACAAGCATTGAGATACATTCCTTGAAAGAGAATTTACTTTGAATAAGTTTCTTTGATGTCAAGAAATGTATTGGAAGACGCCTCGGGCAATAGCACAATTCTAACCTTCCCTTGAGCGTATAAAAACAACTATTTCTCTCAAAGCAGTCATTAATACTATACCATTATTGTTATTCATTGATATTATTACTACCTAGTGATACATTTGATAATGACACTGTTTAATGATGATAGTTTTACCTGACTGCTAAGAAAGCATGTATATGCTTGTAAGAAAACAACCAGGGGACCGAAGGCTTTAAGTCCTCTCTGAGGGACTTAGTAATTAGGATTACTACCTTACCAAAGGGTACGAGTGCATTGACTTGGTTTCGAACCCGGGACCTCCCGGTTACGAAACTACTGGTCTACCAATGAGCCATCGCGCCCTATCTAATTATTATCTTTAGAACTATGGATCAAAAGCATGGTCGTAGACCCTGATACATGTAGATACTTGAAGATGTTGGTTACCTGCATGGTTCTAAGTTGGTTAAGATCACAGCAGACTTCATCAGGGTTGTAATCTGGACACATATCCCTTAGAAGACCATTGGCTGCTGCTGATCCAGTAGACCGGGCTCCTTCATTGTCCAAGCAATTTAGATCTGATCTTAAATCTGTATCAGGATTTCCCCCGCATTCGCTATACATCATACACCGCCCTCCCTCGTGCAAAAACGCCTATAAAAACAATTAACATGTAAATACGGATATAAATCGAATCATGTGTTACTTTTAATAAGTTGATAGATATTTTAATATGTTTATATGTTTACATAGCAGCATATCAAGGGGAAGATAGATAAGGACGGAGATAGGAAGTACTGGTCCATCATATCACGAGGAACCACAACGACTCGGCTGAAGTAATGTAAGGTAAGTATCAAGAGGGAATGGCAAGTATGCAAACACACTTGCGAGACGCTGTCTAATTTTCTTACACCTATATCAGTTTTTGATAATGAAAGTCTATTGTGTAATCCCGATATTAGTTAGTTGTTTTGTTATTTTATTTTCGTTTTCTATATGCATCTACCCGACGTAAGAATTAATCAAAACATGTACATACAACGACGTGAAGTACAGATTTTCGCATTTTCAAACATAAAAACAATATTGTTATCTTTTGTGGTTTGAACTAGGGGTGCGATTTCCTATAACACAGAATCTATACAAGAGTAAAGAGAATGTACGTTGCCGTAAATTTTGTTCTCTTTTCTCCATATAAAAGCAGATCTATTTCTATGATTGAAAGAGTGTCATTTTTTCTTATGATAATATATGGAATAAAAATTAGAAATTAACCAAGACTTAAACAAAGTTATTATTTAGAAAGAAAGAATGAATCCGTATTATGCTAAAACGCGACGTAAGTATAGCTTTACATTTGATTAAATATGATTCTACATGAAGGATCATTGTATGTATCAGTGGCTTAGCGGAGGCTGAACTATTGAGAGGGGTGGGTGGGGGGCACTGACGTCATGGACAAGGGCATCTGAAATAGTAGTAGACTCTAGTATCATTATTACTATTATAATTGTAATATAAAATTACTTTAATATTATTATCTCCTCCTTTTTACGTTGCACTTTCCAATCTCCCTTTCTTTCTTTCTTAGTTTTTGTTTCTTGTTTGTTTGTCTTTTCCCCATTCAACTGAGGTGCCCATGAATCCCTATTCCGTGCACGTGACCACGCCACTGAATACCATCCAGTGTTATCTTGTATATTTACTATAGCTGTAAAGCACGTATCTCGTGCTAGACTGTGCTATGTATTGGTTCAATAAGGGCTAATCCAGACAGAGTGTTCGAAGCGCCATACGCATGCCCAGGGAGTTGATTTGAAAACGGAGGAGGTGCGAGCTAAACCTTAGGGACCTAAATCATGGGATATAAACAAAATGTAGAGGGGGTGATTGTGCTCCTTCTACCCCCACCCGCCTCTGTATCAGTCACTGTTATCAATGCAAACAATGAGACAGAGAATTGTTCTGAAAACAGATGTTTATTACGACAGTACAAAGGGCAATTAAATATGAAGTATCCAATGATTGGTCTAGAGTGGTATTATTCAACAGATAAAATTATATAATGGCTACATTTTGAAGGCCTAGATATGTAACGTAAAACCAGTTATGAGCAGAAGAAGTATTAATTAGATTAGTCTTGAACCCTGTCCCTAAATAATTTTCTCATCAAACCCTTGGTTTGACCAGACCCCCTAGTCGGTCCATTTCATCCCGTCTACCAAGAAAGTGGTATGACTGTACATTACAATACGCAAAAACTGATTAAAATATGCATTGGGATAAATAGGGTAACAATGTTTGTTTTCCTAAATCACACTGACCATATTATGCCTGAAGGGAGAGGTATTGCTGTACATCATAAAACAGAAAAAGAGCTTCAAAACTAAATTCAATTCGGAGAGACCCCTTGAAAGATCCCAAATTGCCCTCTGACTAAACATTGAAAGCTAGGTATACCATATTCATGCGTTTTACAGCAAGCGTTTTAGTTTGTTTTGTTTGAGTTTTGTTTAAATAAAATGAGATAGAATCATGAAAAGTTTTCTTGCAATACAGTATAACTATTTAACTATGTAAACGAAAAGGATAGCATTGGGGGTGGCAATCCCTTAAAAATACCTCAACGATGATTATAAATTCAACATCCAGGTGGGAAATGTGAAATGTAAGCCAAATAAATATTTGTCAATATTTTCTTGGGCTTCACCTGAAAAATCAAAATCATCTATTATATCCCGCATACTAAGAATCTTGCAATCTGATTGGTCTAAACGAGGTCACATGATCAATGATAGATAAGTACAATCTCCATGCGATAGGACTTTTGTAAAGTAATTTTTTGCTGCTGCCCCACTTTCCCATTGAATAAGCATATAGCGCATAGCAAAGTAGGTTACGCGAAATGTCAATGTCAATGTCAAATGAGCGCGCATCGACTTTGTTACATGTATGCATGTTGTGCTTTGTAAAATCTAGCCGAAGCTAAACTGTCTGCAGAATCAGTTCTTTTAATTGTGTAAAATTCACTTTAAATAGACCTTATTGCCGATGTGGGATATAAAACAAATATTAACCTCCTTTACTCGGGCAATAGCCTATCCGATAGGCGTCGGGCTAAATGGCAAGTGTACTAATCGCGTTTGGGAGACTGACATCGGCGCGGGCGTCAGCCCGAGCGCCTATCATCACTGGTCAACTCATCATTATTCATATATGTGTATCGTATGTGTGACGAGCGTATTCTTATGCATGATTCATAAGACTAGCTTTATTTGGTGATCGATCACTTTGATTCAACCAATCAAATATCATCTCCAGGTTCCCCATCGCTCATTGGCCTATTTTGGTCTATGCTACATAAATATTCATGAAGGAGCTTTGCAGGGGGTTCGTAGATTTTCTTCGAACGAAACGTGGTACATAAAATAAAATAAAACTTTTCGCATGTACCAGTGATGAAAGGCGCTCGGGCTGACGCCCGCGCCGATGTCACTCTCCATTATAAACGCGATTAGAATACTTGTAAAGCCCGACGCATATCGGATAGGCTACTCGGGCAATGAATACAAACTATCCTCGCCTCGGTGATGATAGTTTGTATTATATTCCACATACTAAAAATCTTGCTCTACGATTGGTCAAAAGTAAAGTCACGTGATGAAATATAGTTCGCCCATCATTGATGGGAGAAGAAAAATTCGTTGCACTGTGTAGATAGTAGTACTATCTACACAGTGCAACGCACTTTCACTGAAGATAGAAGTACTACAGTGTGTCCCGAAAAAAACTATACACTTTTGAAATGGCTGCCGAATAAAAAATATATGATTCTAGGGGGAAAAGTTGTATATGTATGGAAAGCCCATAAACTCAACTTTCATATGACACCAAAAGTTGCGAAAATAATTCATGCTCGGGTTAGCACTGCTCACTTTTGTAAAGGGTATGAAAATTAGGTTGCGCAGGAATTAGCCTACCAATGTGTGAGAGGTAAATCCTTTGGAGCTTACAACATTGAGGGTGATATGATAAATTCATGATTTACTGAGTGAATTCCATGGTTTATTAAACCAAACTTTTATGCACGGAACAGGAATTTCATTTTTCTATTGTAGCATTGTAACTTTCCCTGGTAGACTCAGTGGTGTGTTCATGAGAGTCAGGATGGGGTGATGGTACACGTTGTAATTTCCATGTTACAAACTGTTATTTTTTTACATTTGTGACTTTGAATAAAAACCTTCACCCCACATTTCAGTTACCATTTACCTGAATAATAAGTAGCCGACATCTTGGACATTCCTTTTTTCAACAAACCGTATTTGAATATTCGATTTACATTATCCCTACCTGGGTATTGACTAAATCAATGAGATGTTCAACTAATCTTACAATAATTGAAATGTGGGGTGAAGGTTTTTATTCAAAGTCACAGATGTAAGAGAATAACAGTTTGTAACATGGAAATTACAACATGTACCATCACCCCATCCTGACTCCCATGAACACACCACTGAGTCTAACAGGGAAGTTACAGTGCTACAATAAAAAATGCAATTCCTGTTCACTCATGCATAAAATGTTAATCCCATAAACCAAACATTTCACTCAGCAAATCCAAACTCATCACAATTGATCATAAATGGCCATATCATCCTCAATTCCGTAAGCTCCAAAGGATTAACTGTCACAAATTGGAAGGCTAATTCCTGCGCAACCTAATTTTCATACCCTTTACAAAAGTGAGCAGTGCTCACCCGAGCATGAATTATTTTCGCAACTGTTGGTGTCATATGAAAGTTGAGTATATGAGCTTTCCATACATATATAACTGTTCCCCTAGAATCATATATTTGTTATTCGGCAGCCTTTTCAAAAGTGTATAGTTTTTTTCGGGACACACTGTATATACACTTTAATATTGTATACGCTGCGTATTGCTCTCCTCTTTAAGCGCTTTTAGTGTTAGTACGCGAACTAAATGGTCACACCACCATACTGCATGCACTGTACGTATCGTACACCGTTTGCTAGCTGTTAATTGATGAATTGTTGCTCTAAAATGACGGAAGAAGTGAAATGTTTCCGATGTGGAATATAAAGCAAATAATCACCTTTTGGTTTCAGGCGATGGCAAACTATCACTTCCTCGGCGATCTGAATGTATACGCTATCTTTCCTCAGCTTCGCTTCGGAAAGATAGCTACATCCAGATCGCCTCGGAAGTGATAGTTTGTCCCATCACCTTCACCAACGGTAGTTATTTGCTTATTATATTTAATTTTTGATCAATGAAATCCTGTTCAGTGATTGGTCAACACAGCATCATGTGACCAAACATAACATTGCTATGATGTAACCGTGACGTCATTCATGGTATAGTGCAAACTATACCATAGCACTATACCATGGATGACGTCATATATATGCGATTGATCAAGATCAATGTGCTATCGGTCGCGGTCGCAGTACTGTCCAGGGGCGTCGCCAAAGGGGGGGGGGGGGTGTGGGGGTGCGATCTGGGTGCGACACCCCTCCACCTGTCAGGAAATTGTCGGTAAAATTGCGCTGCCGTCGGGAAAAAAGAGAAAAGGGGGAGGGGAAAAAAAAGAGGGAAAGGGAAAGAAAAGAAAAAAGAAAAGGAAAAGAAAAGAAAGAAAGGAAAAGAAAGGAAAGAAAGGAAAAGAAAGGAAAAGAAAGGAAAGAAAAGAGAAAAAAGAAAAAGAGGGAAGAGAAGAAAGAAAGAAAAGGGAGAAAAAAAGAGGGAGGAGAGGAAAGAAAGGAAAAGAAAGAAAAGGGAAAAAAGGAGGGGAAAAAAGAGTAAAAGGGAAACAAAAGAAACGGGGTGAAAGAGAGGAGAGAGAGGAGAGGTAAGAGCCTGAGAGAGGAGGAGTGGGAGTAAAAGAGAGAAGGGGGTTGTTGGGTGGAGTCGTCTTGTCGAGGGAGCAAGAAAGACACGGGTAAATATGTTGCTATGTCGGGTCAGCTGTGTCGGTATTCTTGCTCGTTCCTCGTGTACTATATCAATGCAGAAGTTTGAAGTCGGAGAGATGTATATTGTCGGTCGGCCGACAAGTTTTTTTTCACTACGAACTGTGACTTTTTATCCGCTGTGACGACTTCAAGAGTGACTACAACTACAATACTTGTATTTTCTCGAAGTTTCACTTTCCTATAATATCAGCTAAAGAAATCAGAGGTTTAAAATTTTCGGGGAAACTAAATTCAAACAAGGTTTAAGAGTCGACAACGGTACGACGAATCGTCTTCCTATCTCTAATAATTTAATGAAACGTTAAAATTTCACGGGAGGGGGAAGCTTTATTCAGACAAGGATTAAGAGTCGAAAACAGTATACCACATAGGGCTTATTAAGAGTCGAAAACGGCACAAACGAGTCGTCTCTTTCTCTAATAATTTAATGAAACGTCAAAGCTTCCGCGCTTCGCGCGAGAGGGGGAAACTGAATTCAGACAATTAGGGATTATTAAGAGTCGAAAACGGTACAACGAGTCGTCTTCTTTCTCTAATAATTTAATGAAACGTCAAAATTTCCGCGCTTTGCGCGAGAGGAGGAGAAACTGAATTCAGACAAGAATTAACAGTCGAGAACGGTACAGCAAATCGTCTTCTTTTCATAATAATTAAATGAAACGTCAAAGCTTTCGCGCTTCGCGCGGGAGGGAGGGAAAACCTCATTTAGACGAGTCGAGAACGGTACAACGAATCGTCTTCTTTCTCTAATATTTTAAGGAAACGTCAAAGCTTCCGCGCTTCGCGCTAAAGGGGGAAACTGAATTCAGACAATTAGGGCTTATTAAGAGTAGAAAACGGTACAACGAATCGTCTTCTTTCTCTAATAATTTAATGAAACGTCAAACTTCCGCGCTTCGCGCGGGAGGGGGGAGCTTTATTTAGACAAGGATTAACAGTCGAGAACGGTACAGCAAATCGTCTTCTTTTCATAATAATTTAATGAAACGTCAAAGCTTTCGCGCTTCGCGCGGGAGGAAGGGAAACCTCATTTAGACGAGTCGAAAACGGTACAAACGAATCGTCTTATGTCTCTAATAATTTAATGAAACGTCAAAGCTTCCGCGCTTCGCGCGAGAGGGGGAAACTGAATTCAGATGAATAGGGAGTAATAAGAGTCGAAAACGGTACGACGAATCGTCTTCCTTTCTCTATATTGTGATGAAACGCCAAAAATTCCGCGCTTCGCGCGAAGGGAAAAAACTTCATTTAGACGAGTCGAGAACGGTACAACGAATCGTCTTCTTCCTCTAATAATTTAATGAAACGCCAAAACTTCCGCGGGAGGGGGAGAAACTGAAGTCAGACAAAGATTAACAGTAGAGAACGGTACAGCAAATCGTCTTCTTTTCATAATAATTTAATGAAACGTCAAAGCTTTCGCGCGGGAGGGGGGGGACTTCATTTAGACAAGGATTAACAGTCGAGAAAGGTACAATAAATCGTCTTCTTTTCCTAATAATTTAGAGGCCTATCACCCACACCCCCTAATGAGCGCTCTTTAAGTGATTCGCTTGCTCACTTCCGCCCTCCCTAAAATAATATCCTAGCTCCGCGCCTGCATTAAAATATATCAGCTATGATGCTGACTAAGTTGACGAAATAATTCGTATATTTATGTCGTCGAGGAAAATGACTATTTGCGCATATGCAAGTGCTATAGATAGTCCATAGGAAAAACAATTTAGCCTTCGGCCCCGGGTTTATAGGGTTAAATTTGTAGATATTGGACATTTCATTTTGTCGGTAATTGGTCGCTAGTTTTGTCGGTAATCTTTGGCCTCTACACACACACCCCCCCCCCCCACCCCACGTCTAGCGACGCCCCTGGTACTATCGTCTGTGCTGCGCTCACTGCACTCTACACTACTTCAGTGACAGTTAACATAATAATTATTATCATTATTATTTTTATGAAGGTTGGTTTGAAAAATATAAAACTAGTATATCATGCACTGTTTCAAGCCACTAGTTAAAATTATGGATTCCTCGGCGACAGAAATGGCACTATTTTCTTCGGGGCTACGCCCCTCAGAAAATAGTGCTATTCCTGCCACCTCGATCCATAATTTCAACTAGAGCCTCTCAGTGCATGGTATATTTGTTTACCATTTCCCTCGTAGTCGATTAATATTTGCTTACTATATATCTTCTCCAGGAGAGAAAAATATCTCATTGACTATGATGACGTCAGTAATCAGTACTAGCTCGTGCTGTACAGTGCGTCCCCAAAATAACTATACACTTTTGAAATGGCTGCCGAATAAAAAATATATGATTCTGGGGGGAAAGTGTTATATGTATGGAAAGCTCATAAACTCAACTTTCATATGACACCAAAAATCTTGAAAACAATTCAAGCTTGGGTGAGCACTGCTCACTTTTGTATGGGTATGCAAATTAGGTAGCGCAGGAATTAGCTTTCCCATTTGTGAGAGGTAAATCCTTTGGAGCTTACAAAATTGAGGGTGATATGATACATACATCTATTTTTTTTTAAATATAAAAGAAAATAAGTAGAAGAAAAGGGGATGGAAAGAGAAAGAATCCTAAAAATAGTCATTTATGACATGAAATTGTACATAATATACCGGTATATAAATAATTCATAAAATAGTGTGTGGCAAAAATAGTCAACTGTGACTGATTGCCAAATAAAATAAAATCAAGAAGAAGCGGTCACATAATGTTAGGGTAGCCGCACGGCGTATTTTGAATTTGTGGAAACAGAAAACTCCGGCTTTGAAGTGTTGACGCACGGTTGCATTAGGGCGTCTTGCAGCGGTCGTAGGTTCTTGACAAATACTAAGGCAGGCGCAAGGTGCCCGCATGGCGGCCGAAGGGGGGCCATACGACGATCGTACGGCCATACTGATGCTACCGCCTCACCCCTTGGAGTATATAAAATGCAAGCCATCGTACGCCCTAAGTTCGGTCACCGTGGTACCGCTCTATGGCATGGCTACGGCGAACATAGTAATGTAATTAGTTATAACCCCGCTTTCGTTATAATCCCAGCGACCCGTACGGCCTGTAAAGATAGGGATACGCCCTAGGGTGACCCGGAGGCCGCCGCAAGTATCTCTCGATTTCGGGGGCGTACGGCCGCCGTATCCTAGCCGTAGAGCAAATGTGACCTAGACATCAATCTGAAATTAACGACCAACTTCGTCTCTTCTGTCGCATATGTTTTGAATACAAGCATGAACGAGAAAGAGACTGAGTGAGAACTGAGAAGAGACAAGAGCAGCGCGATTAAGAGCAGTGTCCGTAAAAGTTGTAATAAATTTCGTTACAATATATATACATAGCTTTATAATCATTATAATCATTTCATAGGAATATATGAAAGTAAAATACATTTCTGCGATGCCGGTCACTAATTCCTGGCATTAACCTTAAAGAGAAAAGTTTGAGATATATTTCTATTGAAAGAGGCTTTTTTATTTTATTCCAAAACTTTCAATCTTAATCTTGACTTCTTTTGTATTGACACTCATACAAATAAAGAGAATGAGAAGGCTATTCATAAATGCGTTTTTAATGTTGGAAAGATATACGATCAACGATATATATTGTTTATTCTTAGAGGTAGATTACTACGTCGACGAAAAATGAATTTTAACTTACATGGGATCCTGATGCTGTCAAGAATAAAATGGCGGCGAGAAATGTCCACATCTTCCCGCTCATGATGAATCCAGGATCCTGGGGAAAACAGAGATGAAAAAAAATCCTGTCAGAAATCAGCTGGATATTAGTTAACGAATGAAAATAAAGATAGTAGTCTTCAGCTGGGGATCTTATACTTCCCTTTTAAAACCAAAGAAATGATATTTTTTTATCAAATCCAGTAAATATATGGATTATCCTGCTGCCAGTAATATGAAGATTACACCAATCAAATAGCAATTTAATTTAACTACCTAATGGCGTGATGTCTAATAATACATCAAGGTGGGGGCACGTACAAGAATCGGATTGTTTCATCATCATATGATTAATGTTATTATTATTAATGATTAACGATTTTTGTAAATATGTACGAATCTACCAGATAACTTACCAGATAACTTACCGCTCGATTCAGAAAGTCCTCCCATTTACCATCTGTCGAAATTTATCTGCAAGAACTAAACCAGGAATACAAACTCTCACGCAATCTACGGACATCTTCACAATTAAACTTCGTGTCTACTTCGGTGTCAACTCTTTCTTATGGTCATCGCACTTTTTGCAAAGCTTCTGCTGAACTTTGGAACAAACTGTCAAACTCTTAACCATTTCAAAACTCGTCTTAAGACACTTTTATTCAAAATTGCTCTTGATGATTAATTTACTCTGTTCACATTGATTTTTAATATGTAATTGTTCATCAGTCTATTTTGCCCTCTTTGTCAACAATTCTAGAAAAAGTCATACATAAAACAATTTTATTCTTACCTTAACCAAAATAATCTATTATCAGAACGTCAGTCTGGATTTAGACCGCTTCATTCCACAACCACATGTCTTACAGAAATTACTGATTACCTTCTTGATAATATGAACTCAGGTCAGATTACTGGAACAATATTTTCCGATCTTAGGAAAGCGTTTGACGTTATTCCACATAAAATAACACTTGATAAACTATTTTTGTATGGCATGAGTAAACAAGGTGTATGAATAGTTTAAATCTTACTTAATTGGTAGACCACATTGTGTTACTATAGATAATCATTGTAGCGAGTATTTAACTGTTAAATCCGGGCTGCCACAAGGGTCAATTCTGGGCCCCTTGAATTTTTGTTTGTACATTAATGAAATTAATAGTTTAAAATTTCATAATATTTCCAAAATATCACTTTATGCTGACGATACTGTCATTTTTAATAATTCTAATGTTTTTTCTGAAGTTCAAGAAAATTTACAGAATGACTTTGATTTAATATGTAAATGGTTTGATATAAATAAGATGTATATACACCCTCAGAAAACTATGGTGATGTCATTTGGATAAAAAAAGAAAGTTGGAGAACAATCGTCTCTCAATTAACTTAAATGGTAAAAACTTACAGTGAGTCGAAACAATGAAATACCTAGGAGTTATACTTGATTCACAACTTACGTGGTCTGAATTTATAAAATATATATGTACTAAGATATCTCGTTCTATTGGACGTATTCGTCGTATAAAACGCCTAATACCCCGTAAAACTCTTGTAAACCTCTATTTTGCATTACTTTTACCACATATCGACTATTGTTGTACTGCTTGGGGAAACTGCTCAAAGAAAAATTTATCGAAGCTGCAAAAGTTACAAAATAGATTTGCGAGATTAATTTTAAATAAGGATTACGACACACCACAATGAACGCTTCTTACGACTTTAAATTGGCAATCGGTCGAACAAAGATTAAAATATCACTACTGTTTATTAGCTTTTAAAATTATAAATGTCATGGCCCCAACTTATTTAAAATCACTTATAAATTATCGCACCTTCAACTATTGTACCCGCTATTCATTAAATTCTCTTCTTGACATCCCATACCCCGAAACCGAATTTAAAAAAAAGATAATTCTCGTATAAAGCAAGCACCCTTTTTAATAAACTTCCTCCCTCAATAGACCAGTTCACGGTTAGCACATTACTGCAATGACCCCGAATATCCACAGATCTTCAAAACATGAAGAGATCCCACTTTGTATATTTTGAAATAATCACTCCTACAACGATGGAGGTGCTCTATAAATAGCCTTTGTTTCCCATTTTCAAAGTATACCGTACTTGCACCTGTGTATCATCATAGACGTATCATGGAGTGCACTGAATGTGCATGAATGAATAATGATTACATAACTTTCATGAGCACGTATCCAGTATTAATCTCCGTGTATTTCAAAATTTGTTCTGCAATGACCTTCATCTGCTCATGCTCAGACTGCAACCGTGAACTGGTTTATTCAATCAACCAAATCAATTCAAATATTAAGCGCGGATGCCAATTGGCAAAGCATTTATTACAGTATATTCTCCGTTCTTATTTCCCTCTACCGGTATAATTATTTTTCTTATGTAATTATGTTTGTACTCTATATTATGTCAAATATGTCATTGTTTAGTTTTGATAAATGTTATATTTTTTCATATATTCCTTGTATTTTTGTATATCACAAACTTGTTATGTCGTTCTAGAGGGCGTACTTGAAAAGCAGTTTTGTTAAACTGTATGTACCTACCCTCTATTTTAGAGGACACTTTTCTTTTTTTTTGGTCTCGAAATTTCTAAATTTGACATTTTGTCCAGTTGTGGGGGGGGGGGTAAGGTCAGCTTTTTAAGGTCAGCCATGGGCATTTTTTTTTTTTTTTTTTTTTAATTTAAATTTATTTTAAAAAAAATTTAAAAAAAAAAATCTCAAAAGGGGGGGGGGGGGGTTTTCCAAAATGACATACATAAAACATACACATAAAAAAACTCGAGGGGGGGGTTTAACCCCAAACCCCCCCCCCCCCCTGCGTACGCGCCTGATTATATAAGAATCTACCAGATAACTTACCAGATAACTTACCGCTCGATTTAGAAAGTCCTCCCATATTTTGTCGAAATTGCTGAAATCAATGAAATAGCCTTCTTTATGGCCTTCTGGACTCGCACATTGGATACCTCCAGAGAATCAAAAAACTCTGCTACCAGGCTTGTAACACGCACGCGTTCTTGTGAACACATCACTCCAGTACTTCGCAAATTGCATTGGTTGCCGGTGACGTACCGCATTATGTACAAAATCTTGGTTTTAACTTATAAATGCATTCATGAATTGGCACCAATTTATCTGCATGAACTAATCCAGGAATACAAACCCTCACGCAATCTACGGACATCTTCACAATTAAACCTCTTGTCTACTTCGGTGTCAACTCTTTTCTACGGTCATCGCTCTTTTTGCAAAGCTTCTGCTGAACTTTGGAACAAACTACCTTTAAATTTCAAAAACTGTCAAACTGTTAACCATTTCAAAACTCGTCTTAAGACCCATTTATTCAAAATTGCTTTTGATGATTAACTTACCCTGTTCACATTGACGTGTATTTTATATGTATTGTAATTTGTAGGTTTATTTGCACTCTTTTGTTTTGTTTAATATGTAATAGTTTATCAGTCTATTTTGTTTGTTATAGCGCTTAGAAACTTCGGTGGTAAGTGTTTTATAAGAATAGTTTTTTCATTATTATTATTAAATTGCTCCGATAAACTACTCCAGAATGGGAGGTAAGTATTGACTTAACTGCAGTCCGTTATACAAACGACATTTACCAAGAGATGAATTTCTTTCTGGGTCGTTGTTGTCAAAGTCTGGCGTTTTGTCAGATGCCATAACATTTTGTTTTAGAGTCATATTACCCAACATAAGGTTGTACAAATTTGCATCAAAACTTTGAAATCTCTTCAAAGCGTCAGATTTACAACCTTTTATCATACATATACTCAGGCGCGTACGCAGGAGTTTTTCGAAGGGGGTTTTAAAAATTGAAAATCACGCCGAACAGTTCGCAAATAAGCGGGGGAGGGGGGGGGGTAAGAGGATTTTTTTTTTTTTTTTTGGGGGGGGTCCCAAAAATTTCGCAACGACTCAGTCAGCCTCTGCATAAGCGGGGGGGGGGGGGGTAAGAGCACATTTTGTGTGTGTGTGTGTCCCAAAATTTTGAAAATTTGGCCGACCGATATTTTCGTTTCGTTGGGGGGAGGGGTAAGGTCGGCTTTTTGGGGTCACCCGTTACCACAATTTTTTTTTTTTTTTTTTTTTTTTAAATAAAAACAAAACAAGGGAGGGGGGGTCCTCCAAAACACACACATACAACAAATTAAAAGGGGGTAACACCAACCCCCCCCCCCCCCTGCGTACGCGCCTGCATATACTACTATACTTTACTTTCTCATACTGTACTTGTCATATTTGTCATATATACATTATTTGCAATCTATAGATTATGTGCGTTAAACTTAAAATATATAATTGTAATGTAGTTCAAATAAAATTATGGAAATATTATGGTACTTCACAAAATTCTATTACATTGATAAAGATACACATCTTTACATGTATATCCACATTTTGTTGCAGAAAGGGCATTATTGGCTAAGCTGCAAGTGATGGTGAAGGATTCTAATCACCCTCTGCATAATGAAGTGGTTTTTAATAGATCAGGAAGAATTAGGTTACCTAGAATAAGAACTGATAGTTCGGCAGGTCCTTTCTCCCAAGTGCAATGAAAGCGTTTAACAACAATTTATGTAGATGAATAACCCTGTTCACCTCCCGAGTACGATCCCCTACATTCTCGTTCTATCTCTCCTGTTTCTTCTGCTCTCTCTCTCTTTCTAAATATTATTATTATTATTATTTCTATATAATCCTACATGTATCTCTCCCTTTCTCTCTCTCTCTTTTCCTTTCCCTTTCTCACTTTCTCTATTTCGCTCTCTTTCGCTCTCTCTCGTGTCTCTCCTCTTTGCCATCCAGTACGATGTACGTTAAGTTTGTCTGCTATCAAAACAAATTATCTGAAATTTTTAACAATTGATGAACAATTGATTTTAGATCTTGGCTGTGACTTGTTCTATTTATATGACATTGATTGTTGTCATGTACATTTTCTAGAATATATTTAAGTTAGTATCGTATGTTGGGAGCCAGGGGAGTACAAATAATCAAATAATTCCCCTGGATCTCAACAGAGAGGTTAAATTATATTACATTGTTATTTTATTTTTGTTATTTGTAGTTATTTGTCTATGATATGTTAACGTATTGTTATATTTTATACAAATGTGAGCCGTAAGTCGAGTTGTATGTCTTCATTTCATTTTGTGCATGAAAATAAAGAAATTCAATCAATTTCCTTCACTCAAACATAATAATAATGCTTGCTGGGCTGCGCCATCATGTACAAAAGTTCTGATACCGACTAGATTATACTTTGGGTAAATATGACCATAATATTGTATATTCCTTTATTTTGTAAACAGTTATATTATTTATATTATATTATAATCAGTTTCAAGAATGAGACGAAGTAAAAGGGAAACGCTTTCTATTTCACTGTTCAGACGAGCCTACCTGCAAAATGATGCAGTGAGAATTTTAACCCTAATAAGGCCGGGCTATTTGAAGTCTTACTACGGCCGGGGGGGGGGCCATTATGGCCCCCCCCCCCCCTAAGATCTCGGCCGTGAAGCGGCCGATCTCCGCGAAAATTTGCACGCATGTCAAGTGAAGTGTATAGAACAATATGATAATTTCAATTTTTTGAAAAAAATCACTCATTTGCATATTTATGGTAATTTATGCAAATAACGTCATAAAATCACATTTTTACCCATAAATCATATATTATTCATATTTAAGCATTCTTTTTCACTACATATATTCATTAGACCATTTGGAACAATAATAAGACAAAAAAATTGGAAGAGCCAGCTTATTCCTTATGTTATCTATTGTTTTGATAATTTCTTATGTATTTCATTGTTTTTTTTAACTTATTTATGTTATTGTTTTTTGTTTTTTTTCATTTCTTCCTATAATTCAACTATTTTGACTCCCAAAACAACCACCTAAACTTTAAACAAGACCCAAAAACCAATGTTTGATCTATTTTTAGGAAAAATGACATTTCCATATGTTTTGTACACAAATCACAAAATGAGCGATTTTCGGGCTGACATGCAAAGACAAAAGGTCACGTGACCTTGTAACTATAGGTCCAATTTTTTTAATTTTTTTTTTAAAGATGCGCAAGACTCTAAAGAAAAAAGTCAGCGAGCGGCGAGGCGCCATCCATATGCGTTCTCGAACAATCAGAAAAATCGTGGAGGGGGGGGGGGCCATAATGGCCCCCCCCCCCCGGCCTTATTAGGGTTAATGATCGTCCCGGATAAAATGATAACTGTAGAAAATCATTAATGATTATGATTATCAGAAATCGTCAAACTATGAGCAAATACGTCAAAAATGTCAGAGGGAGTAAATGGTTTTATTAGTATTTTAATCCAGGCGCGGATCCAGGGAGGCCGAGCGGGCCTTGCCCCCCCCCCCCCCTTCCCCCTCAAAAAAAGAGAGAGAGAAGGAAGGAAGGAAAAGAAGGAAAAGGGAAAGAGAGAAATGAAAGAAAGAAGAGGAAGAAGAAAAGAAAAGGGGGGGGGAAGGAGATCGGGGGGAGGGCAAGGGCTTGCCTCCCAGGCTGTTGCCTCTCCCCCTCTCCTCCATCAAAAAATTAGAGAGGAGGAATGAAAGTGAAAGAAAAAAGGAGAAGAGGATATAAAGGGAAGTGGAAAAAAGAAGAAAAGAAAGAAAGGGGGATATCAGTTATGGATCGGGGGTAAGGGGGCCAAAACGTCCTTGCCTCCCCCCCCCCCCCCCCCCCCCCACGCCCCGCCCCAAAAAGAGAGAGTAGGAAGGGAAAGGGAATGCGGAGAGCTAAAAGGCAAAAAAAAAGGAAGAAGAAAAGAAAAGGGTGAAAAAGGAGGGGGAGATCAATTGCGATTAATCCCGCCAACAATGTGTGGATCGGGGGGGGGGGGTCGGAGGGGGGGGGGGCAAACCTAAAAGAGAGAGACGGAAGGGAATGGAAAGTGAAAGAGAGAGACAGGGAAAGAAAATAAGGAGAAAGAAGATAGGTAGGGGAGATCAGTTGCGATTTTTCCCGCGAACAAGTTGTAGATAGGGGGTGCACTGGCGTACTGATGGCAGAGGGGGGGGGGGGGGGGGGGGGGGGGGGGGGGGGGGGGGGGGCTTGGAAGGGGGAAGTTGCTCCCCCCCCAAAAAAAAAAAAAAACAACAACAACAACAACAACAAACAAACAAACAAATAAAAAAACGGTAATTTACAAATGTTGCTGAAATAACATTTTCCGAGATTTTTCCTCACTTCAATATTGCTTACATTTTGAAATAGCGCCCTCTCAATTTTCGAAAATGAATATTTTTGAATTTTTATAAATCAGTATTCCTTTAGCTGAGCCGTACCCTTTTTCAAATGTAATAAATTCAAAATATGCGCTTTCTGAAGAAAAAAAACAACAATCAAATTTGAAAAGGTTTATGCAAAGCGAAATGGTAAAGATGGCGTTCTTTGAAAAAAATATGTTAAACTCGTCATAACCTTGAAACCAATATAGCTAGCCCCATGAAACTTGGCAACAACCGTGTTCAAGATCATTTGACAGTTGTGTGCCCATTTTCAAAAAAGTTAGGGGGGTTCAACCCCCCGAACCCCCCCCCCCCCTTTTTTTGTGTGTGTGTGTTTTGAAGGAAACCCCCACCCCCCCCCTTATTTATTTATTTTTTTTATTACAAAAATAAAGCTGTCCTCCCCCCCCCCCCCCCCCCCCCCCCCCCCAATTAAAAGAAATAGGTCCGTTAAAAGAAATATTTAGGTCCGTTAGATAAATGAGAAGAAACATTCTTGCAAGCAGGAAGTAAATCTTTCTTTGAAATGCGAGCATCAAGGTTTCTTAATGTTGAATGTACATAGTATGTATTATACAACACCTACGTGGATCCTTGTCATTTGATTGGACGATTGTTGGTCACATGATATTCAATAGATGGTATATTGCACGGTCGTGCATTTTTGGTTATATGCGCCGTGCATTTTTGGTTATATGCAGACTGCGTACCTCTCTGCTGCATGTGCGCGCGCGTATCCCTGCGTGTATCTGACGCGAAGGCAATCTGCATGTAATTGAGAAGGCTTGACTCGAACTGTAATTTATCTTTATAAGGAGTAAAGCATAATTTGTTGATTAACGTTCTATTAGGTCTTCTTCGATGTTGTATAAAACAAATAATGAATGTTTTTCATTCGTTTAATAGTGCAAATATTTTCATTCGTTGAAAGATTAACGTTAATTCTATTCAACTCGGCTGACGCCTCGTTGAATAGAATGTTAATCTTTCAACTCATGAACATATTCGCACTATTGAACTCATAACCATTCATTATTTGTATACTATTGCATATATATAAATATTGTATGTTCCCTAGATTAGTAGCCTGCCAGAACTTCATAATTGTTATCAAATATAATGCATCAATATCACTCCAGCCAATAAATCTGTTTGAAATGAAACAAAAAACAGGCTATCACTTGCTGCAAAAGTTTGAATTTATTTCATTTATCTTTTGAATTTTAACTGGCGCAAAGCACTGCCTTACAAGACAGACAACAGTAACTATAAGTATAATACTTCAACTTTTTAATGCAAAACAGCTATACATCTTTTCTTGTAAATAGAGTTTAATATTTTTACACACATATCTTTTCTTTACAAAAGCCATACAGAAATTAATAAACTATATGTAGTTTTGAATACAAAATGTACTAATACAGCAAAATACAAACATATTACTCTGAAGAAAATGATAGAAAACACAATAATTTACAAAACAAAGATATAACAACAATATCAAAGACACAATAAATCTGTAGTTGTAGAAAATAAATAAGGTTCACATAATAATACAGCTGCATTTTTAATATGCTTCATTTTATAGTGTATTATCAAATGCAGACCAACATTGTTGTTGTTGTTATGTTTTGTTTTCCCCTTGGTTTTTTGTACTAAAATCATTCATTCCTATTTATAATTCAATAGATTTCTGTGAAATCAATTTACACATACATATCTAATGTCCAAGGAGATGACAAACAGGTGATGGGATATTTCAGAAAAAGTGACTAACGTTGGATTAATACACATCTAGACATATGGAATAGACACAAACTAAGAATTGAATACCATAACCGTCCATGTCATAACAATCTTTTTTAACCAAAGGAACAAACAAAACAACAAAATAGTTTTCAACAAACAATTTTCATGCAAGGCATTGCATTTTCAAATTCTAATGATAAATAAACATAAATTTGTGAACTGTTTGTACTGTACTACAGATACTCCATTTCAAACATTGCTATGAAATGAATGCAAACATTAAGGAATACTGTACCTTACAACCTTCATTAACATAAAGACACACAAATCATCAGATCAAATAAGGGCATTTTATTGGTCACCACTCCTCCACGAGATAGCTTAAAGATATGAAATGGAAAGTAAAGACTTTGATTTTTATAAAAAGCAATTATCTATCAATCAATCAATTATAGGCATAGTAATTCAGACATTGGTGTATGCCTGCCCCACTTAACAAGGCCCCAGATAAGGAAATTACCAAATACCAATCATTCCATAAAGCTACCTTAAGACGATACCATTTATTTATTGAAGAAAAGCAAGCCATACTCAGAAAACCATAAGATTCTAGATTCGTTTTTATTTCTTTGGGAAGACATTCATCTGTGACATTATTGCACTTGAAGAAATAAATGATATTTCATATATACATTAGACATATATTGTTATTTTACAACTCCGGACATGGTCACTCCAGACATGGTCATTTCTGTACTTTGCCTTTCTTCTCTGCTACTATGTCCAGACTTCTCATTCATTGTATGACTATAAAGCAGCCCTTTACTTGGGAGATCCTTTTTTAAATATGATTGGGACACTGAAAAAAGGTCATGTGCTGAATGCCAAAAGGGCCTTAACTCATATAATTGTACACACATAATGCCTTTCTGGCCCTAAGCAGGATACAAAGACAAACAAAATAGGCCACCATCATACCAAAAATCAGAAATCTGCTCGCTCACCCACCCAAAAAGTGCAAAGAGAACCATGAAAATATAAGCCTAATACATCTGCTATTTTGTAATTTTTTATTGTAATTTTGGAAGAAGCATATTCATACGCAACAATCTAGGTTGAGATCTGGCCTACCTACAAAGTTGGCAGCCCCTCTAAGTAGACTTTCTAAACAAGCTTTGCTTTCTGTATGCTATTTATGGTGTGATTGAAGCCCTTATGTCCGTCACTAAGCGGATAATACTATAGCTGGCTCGTTTCCTGTTGTCTTATATCACCGACCTTAAAACATTTACCAATGTACCACTCATATTATCAATATTCAAAAGATGTAGTTCTAAGAATTCCAAGCACCGTAACCAAGTAAGCACCTTTCTCATATCCCTCAAATTTGCAACCATATAATGCATAATAGAGCAATACCAATTAAACATTGATTTGCATCTGAAATCAATACACACATATCCTTTCCATCTAAGCAGGGAAATCTTAACTTCTTTATAATATATTCTTGATATTCTTGTTCGCTTTCTCTTCTACTGCCCTTTTATATACCTACATGTAGATTTAGTTTTTTGCTGCTGCTGCAAGAAGTGTACTTCTCTTTTTTTTCCTTGTTTATATTAATGTTCGCTGTTGATTTTTGTTTTTGTATTGTTGATCTTTTTATGTATTTCAATTTGGTGGCCCCTTTTTATAAGCCCTGCTTTCTCCGGGGTCACCAAACCATCATTGTGTTATTCTAAATTCTTGATGTAAATTATTTTGATTGTATATATATTTTGATGGTTGAACAAATAAATGAAATTGAAATTGAATTGGATGCCAGTAACAGTTTGAAAACATTCAGTTATCAATTTATGAGTGTGACCATATATTTTTTTCTCTAAATAGAAAATAATTAGTCCATGTTTAATGGAACAGAATTCGCCATACCCCCAGGTTTAGACAGCCAACTCCAATCTGACGTGAAATCACCACATATTTTACTGTAAATAATTTCTAAACATTGGCAGTGTAATTGTGATAAACAAATGAATATAAATACATCTTTACTTTGTAAATTAGATAATTTTCATATTGTATTACTCAACCTACACATCAAGCTGGTGGTAAATCAGTTGCAATTTCTATTGAGTAGTAATTGCTCATACTTTGAGCAACAACTTTATAGTGGAAATATCAATGGATTTATTCAAGATTTCGAAGAACATAGCCAGACTACTTCACCGTTAACAAATATGCCTCCCCCCCCCCCCCTAAAAAAAAAAAAAAATTGCTGGAAGCATACATATAATTCACCCATGTTGGATATCTTTCCAAGTCTAGTTATCTGTGAGGTTGATATCCACAGAACAATTTCCCCAGTAGTTTTGTAGCCTATATTTGTTTGTCATCAATACCAGCAATAGGCTCAGCTTCCAGAGACTGTGTAGAGTCTGTGAATGTACATAATCAATGGCACTCTCCACTCAGCTCAGATACAAGGCTATGGTGTGTCTGTGTGTGTATAACCATGAAGCTCCGATGTTTACCTGCTACCACAGACTGAGAAGAGTCTGTGAATGTACATAATCAATGGCACTCTCCACTGAGCTCAGATACAAGGCTATGGTGTGTCTGTGTGTGTATAACCATGAAGCTCCGATGTTTACCTGCTACCACAGACTGAGAAGAGTCTGGGAATGTACATAATCAATGGCACTCTCCACTGAGCTCAGATACAAGGCTATGATGTGTCTGTGTGTGTATAACCATGAAGCTCCGATGTTTACCTGCTACCACAGACTGAGAAGAGTCTGGGAATGTACATAATCAATGGCACTCTCCACTGAGCTCAGATACAAGGCTATGATGTGTCTGTGTGTGTATAACCATGAAGCTCCAATGTTTACCTGCTACCACAGACTGAGAAGAGTCTGTGAATGTACATAATCAATGGCACTCTCCACTCAGCTCAGATACAAGGCTATGGTGTGTCTGTGTGTGTATAACCATGAAGCTCCGATGTTTACCTGCTACCACAGACTGAGAAGAGTCTGGGAATGTACATAATCAATGGCACTCTCCACTGAGCTCAGATACAAGGCTATGGTGTGTCTGTGTGTGTATAACCATGAAGCTCCGATGTTTACCTGCTACCACAGACTGAGAAGAGTCTGTGAATGTACATAATCAATGGCACTCTCCACTGAGCTCAGATACAAGGCTATGATGTGTCTGTGTGTGTATAACCATGAAGCTCCAATGTTTACCTGCTACCACAGACTGAGAAGAGTCTGTGAATGTACATAATCAATGGCACTCTCCACTCAGCTCAGATACAAGGCTATGGTGTGTCTGTGTGTGTATAACCATGAAGCTCCGATGTTTACCGGGTGACTTGGGTTTGTAGAAGATGGGTACCCTCACAAAATGCTTAGCTCTGATGGTGTGGGTGTGGTGCTGAATGTAGAACGGAGCGTCAGGGTTCAAGAATTCAACCTGCAAAATAGAACATTAAAATGACTTTACTGATTAATTTAATAATTGAAATCAACTTTGATGAACTTATACTGAATATAATTGTTTTCTAGCTGTAGTGAAAGCAACATCAAAGGTACATTAAACATCACAGCCATTAGAGTCGAGTAGCAGAAAGGCAATGAGAACAGAGTTTAGAGAACAGAACTTGGTATATAACTTCTTAATGAATGAAGTTGAGATCTATTATACTATGTTGAATCTCTAAGACATTTTGCACACATAATTAATAATAAACACAAGCATGAAGACTTTCAAGAAATCGACCTAAAAAAGAATCAATAGTACTGCAAATCAGCATTTCCAAATGATATGATGCTAATATAAAAATATAATGAATTCTTACCGTTTGGTCTGCTCTGCTTGTGTTCTTACACATCAGTTTCATCATCTGTGATTGACCTACTGAGGTCGGGTCAAAGGTCAGACCATCTTGTCCCAAGACAATGCCATGGAGCGTTTGGTCTTTCTTCAATCTGTAAAACATTAGAATCAACAGTTATTATACAGGATTGGAAGGATACATTTTTGAGAAGAAAAAAAAACAACTAAAATCAAATAACTGTAATGGAAGTCAATATCAGGTATAAGATCAGACACAAGGAAATGAAACCGAGAAATCAGTTATTTTTGTTTGTTCAATATTTCCTTCGTTTGGGTAAAAAGACTCTTTCTCTTGGAAGTACATAAGAGGGAAACTCATATTACAAATGATTCATCATAAGTTAACCAAAATAATTCTGTGAAATTGATATTGCACAACAGATTAAGATGTACATACATTACAACCTCTAGCTAACCCTTAGGATTGGAAAAATATGTTTGCTATAGAGAAAGATGTCACTTTAGTCATCTTACAATATTTTAATGTCATGATGGTACTTACTTGGCAGTAGCCTGAGCTGGGGCAGGTAGAGGAGCTACACTGCTCACAGGCTGAGTTGGGGATCGGTCCTTGCGTGGTGATCGGATTTTTCTTCCTAATCTCCCAGTCAGGCTAAGCAACACTCTTGACATGTTAGTGTAGAAGAGTGACCAGGTGTTGGAGCCAGGCTCTATGTCAAACTCTAGAAGAGGGTTAAAGTGTACTTGATAAAATACAGATGAACCACCTTAATAAGGACAACGTTTGTAAGCAGTACTAGTAGTAATTCAGTTTTGTAGAAGGTCTACTCTGTAGTAATACTTTTCTAAGGTCACAATATATTTCAGATGAGCAATAGTGAAGACTTGGCCAGTTTTATCTTGAAAAAACGAAAATTAATTTCAATACCAAATATATAGACAAATAGCCAAGAATAAAGTATGTTCACAGAAAATCATGTCACTTATACATATTCTTTGTAAATGCACAAATGTAAAGGAAGAAAAGGTTGGAGAGTTATATTATATTTGAATGGGTTAAAGTAGACTGTGAGGTAAATATCTTCCTGTTTTGTTTCTTAAAATATGAAATTTGTGCTGACTCACTTTCCTTGCAGTGTTCTTCTCCCAGAAACCTGACATCAAATGACACACCTCTCAATGGATTATCAGGAGACAAGCCAGCCTGACGTGATGTCATTTCACTTGGAGACAGCCTGAAGCAACAGAGATCAAATATACATGACCAATCAGAGTTGAACACAACAACAACAACAACAAAGAAAGTTACGGCTTTCCCAGAGATTCATAAAGAATTCATTCAATGTAAAACTCTTGACTCTACATGATGGAAAATCCTCAAAATCTTTCTAGTTTCACCATCCCATGTCCCCCATTGTTTACCCATTAAAGGGATCCGGTAACTTTGTCTCAGATTCTGAAACAAAATCCTGGATTTAGCTCATGCTACAATGATAATTATAAATTTAGGTCAGTCAGGAACCCAATGACTTTTACAAGCCGATCGCCTGTGTGATTATCAAGATACTTATGATTGGAAATCAAAACCAAATTTTGCGTTTGCTTAACGGTTTTCATAACACTACAGTCTATTGGGGAAAACTAGTATGGTAAAACCGGTCACTCAAAGATTTTAAACTTTTTTGAGGCACTTCTTGATCATTTTGAAGCGGGATTAAGTTTTAGGGCTTCAATATTACACCATATCACAGACACTGATGATGGGATAGGGCCGTGCATCTCAGATTTATCATTGTTAAACGATGCCTTTAAGTTGACGATCACTTTAAAATGTCTACTTACCTTTTAAGAAGTTTTCTGAGGACTTCATCTCCATAGAACAACCCCACCGCTGCCACCTCTGTGGTCTCTAAGGCACTCAGGATATCATCTTCCTTAGGACTGAAGATCACTGTCAACGTCTTACTCATCTTAGGTGAGATCACAAACTCACTAGGCTCTACATTCAGATGACTGCTGGGGAGCTTTACCTTTGCTCTGGAGTCTGCAGGAATCAAAGTTCACAGAGAGGAGAATAAAGACAATTGCTGTTGTGATTTGAAATTCTGACGGTCAACAAGTAAAATCCAACATACTTCTTCAGATTAAATAGAAGTGTTATTTCTGTTAATAGCATTCAACATACTTCATTACTTGTAAGCTAGATTTCTCTCATGTAAATTTTCTTCAACTTTCCTATGAAAATTTGTTTACTTTATTAATTTGTAAACAGTTATTAGCCCCAACAGGAATATGTAGAGATCCATTTGATATTTAAATGGAGTGATATATAAAACTTCTTACCATTGAAACACAGTGCTTTCACGAAGGCAGCCCTGAGTCCAGTATTGCGCACTTTGAATGTGAGTACAGTGTGTCGACCTGGGGTCAAAGGTCCAAAGTCATGCAAATATGTGTCTCCCCTGAGATTAGCGTCCTCCAGTACAAGATTGCTCACACCACCATAGCCACTTAAGGGTATCTGTTTGAGAGGAATGAAGTCATGAATTACACTAAAGAAAGTCTGATACAAATGCTGCCTACTTATATTTTGTCCATATCTACTTCCTCCTACGTTGCTGCTCGCTGTCTCTTTCTCTCATCAATCTTACATTATAAACTGTGTATTCCTTAAGATTACTTTGATAAATCAGTTTTATATTACTTAAACACCAATATATTTCATTCAATAGACGACTATAAGGCCAATACATGTACTTTAGAGTACTGGTGCTCACACTCATCATTATCATATATTAGTAGTAGAAAAAAAATTGTACTTTTTTAAATAAAAGAAAAAATAGCTTTGTTTGACATAAAAATAATGAAAACATGCAACACTTGCTTTAAAAACTTGTTAATTGGTACAGCACCTGGTGAGTAGCATGCTCTAATGTGAACAAAGAAGGAAGACTTGTCATGAATACATACAAGGTACTTGGTAGAACCATTGATGGGTTTGACGTCTAGGGTTCCTTTGAATGATGAGAGCTTTGAAGGGTTGAAGACAATGTCGACAGGGAAATCTTGCTTAGGTTTAATCACAACCTGACGTGAGCTGGAAAACTTCTTCTGATTCCCATGAGAGCTTTGCAACTGCCAATCAGAGAAAAGACGACGACTATTATTTATTTAACAACTTCCTTAAACAAGTAACTGATCAACGTGCTCTACAGTAAATTATTTCATTTCATTTCATTTATTTATTTCACTCTCTTTTAAAAAACATCAAAAGTATATACATGTTCGTTCATTATCAACATAGATAAAAAGTGGGGAATCATGATAGCCAAAATTGGCTTGATGAGAATGATCCCCAAATAAATACTAAGCATAAACAAGATACAAACTTATTTTATCTTGATCATTCCATTCAATTACGACACTGCACTTAGCGTATACCCACTCCATTTTTATGGATGCAAACATGCTCATCCAACGTCATTGACATTTGTACTCTACTCGATACCCATTGAATACTTAGTTGTATTTCTATTGAACATCTTGCTAGCATATTTCTTGCTACCATTATATTGATGTCAATGTAACACCTCCCTTGACTAACAGCTGTTATGCAATAATATGCATATTTGATTTTATTTGATTTGATTTATTGGTTTCTGCATCTTTTTTCTTTTTTTCATCAAACATTTTCATGAACATAATATGGCTTGATACAATATTTCAAGTGTATATAATTTTATACAGATAATAAACGATATTAAACAAATATATTGAATTTAAACGAATACATTGAATGCATGATTAACATACATTAGATACAGGAGGGCTACAGAAATAAGCAAAGTAGCTTGACGTGCCGGCAGCCCTCAACTTAGATACAACAATACAAATAAAAATAAAAAAGAGTGACTTGCAGAAAAGAAAAGGAAAGGGGAGAGAAGGAGGAGGAGGAGGAGCGTTGGTAATAATACAATAAATCTCATACATCTGCTGATTGAATGCAGGTTCATTCATGAATGAAAAAACGATGCTAGGTCATGAGATGGGGTCATTTCCCCAGTGCATTAAAGAGCCTTGAAGGATATCTTCAAACCGCTTAGAGGCAATATGCAATTTGCGGTATACAAATATCTTATTATTAGCAGCAGCATGTCTCTTAACATAATATTACCATCCTCGCTAAACTTTAGAAAAGAGTAAGTGACAATGAGTAAAGACAAATTTTCAAGGCTTATTTTTTCTCACTTTAATACTCCAGTATGTGGCAAACTTCCATAGTAAAAGATGGTTCAGTTGAAATCATGGTCATCAAGAAATAAGATTGAATGATAAGATGTGAAACTGACCTGGTAATCCTCACAATCTCGTATGGTGAGTTTGAGGGACACAATCTCACTGCTTGGATTCCGAAGTGTCGCACTCTTTTTCCTGAAGAGAGAGAGAGAGAGAGAGGGGGAAAATGATCAAATACAGAGAATCAAATTTGTCAAGCTAAGAAATATAGATTATCATATTGTGAATCAAGAGTTTGACAAATTTTCTTCACAAAATGTGTGAATAACTTAAGGTGCATCTATTGACAAGGTAAAACAAAAAAGGAACAGCCTATGCTGTAGAGGTGTTGTGGACTAGTGGATAAGTCACCTGACTGCAGATCACAAGGTACGGGGTTCAAGTCCCGCCGCGGCACTAATGTCCTTTGGCAAGACGTTAATCTAAATTTGCCACTCTCCACCCAGGTGTAAATGGGTACCTGATATGCTTGAGCGCTATTTGGCAGCTCGGCTACGACCAGGGTAATAAGTGTAAAGTGCCATGAGCGTCAGAACCTGACGGATACTGGCACTATATAAATAACCATATTATTATTATGCTAGCAATACATATCCCTCTATGTAAATAGATGGGAAACCTCATGCAAGGCCATAATAATCAACTCCTTTCAGTATAGGCATCAAAAGAAAAAAACAATACAGATTTTCGTTTACTTAGGGTAAATTGAATGAGGATGTACTTACAAAGATTTCCCCAGTGGAATTCCTCCGAAAGATATATACTGCTTGTTGCATAGGACCTGGGCATATTGTTTGGGCTTGACTCTCTGTTCAGCAGTCTGGATCTCTCCACGTAGTTGAAGCTCATAGTTTGGCCCGTCTGATTTACCTTGTATGAACAGAGGCCTATGGAAGGAAGACAAACACATGACAATATCATTAATACCCCTGTATTAACTCAGTCCACTTGGTACTTGGTACTTGGTTGGGTAATCCGTTGGGAAGCTCACTCAGGAAGCTATACTGGGATGGTAGGTGAGGCGCGTAGCTACAAGGAGTGTCATGAATTGCAGGAATGGTGTGTGGACAAAGCACTCGTTAAGTCCAGTGCAAGTAAAAACTAAGCTAGTAAGCTTATATGATGTGGGAACCAACAGGAGGCTGTATCAATCTGGTGGAGGGTAGAGCAGCCTCCTTGAAGTTGGTTATTCATGTTGCATTGACTGCTGAGCCTGCCTGGCAGATAATTCCAGGTCCTTATTGCTCTTGGATATGTACTCTCTCCATTGTTAATATTAAGTCATGTACATGTATGTGATAAATTGATAATTCACATGTACATTAATAGCACATATTGAAACAAAGAGCATATACATATCTACTTGTTATCCTAAATTTGCATGCACAATACAAGCTCTCTTATTACAACATCTCTCCAAGCAAAACTGCTTTCTACATAGGCTTATTTCAAACAGATCTTGCTGCATGTAAATGACCACTAATTAAGCTTTCAGAGAACCACTCTTGGTAATGCTAGATACACTAACGATAACAATTACACGATATCATCCTATGAAAAGACTCACGCTTCAACGACAGCCATCTCTTCTTTTGGTGTGAATCTGACCAGTATGTCCCTCTGTTGACCAGGCTCTAGGACCAGCGTGTCTGGGACCACCTCAAATGAATCGATACCCCTTGGTAGTCTCAGTCTCATATCAAGTCGGACGTTCCCTGCGTTTTTCAGCAGCAGGTTCCTACTCGCTGTCTGACCAACAGTTGACTTGAACAGGAAGGCCTCTTGCTGTAGGGTCAAAGGTCACATATATTACCATCACAATGAATTTAAGATTTGCATCATTACATATTCATAGACACGTCAGCCTGAATTTCAAATAATGATGTACAAAATTATACAATGTGAAAAACCAAAAAACGGCCTAAACCTAAGTAAACAAACAGTCCTTTTGGGACTTGCTACACAATATGTCATTCAAAGCTTTCCTAAAAAGCACACTGATATCAACTCATTCGCTGATTGTTTGTTGATTATATTTTGTATGGAAATGTAAGGGATCACCTATCATGTAACTTTATATAGTCCAGATGCTCTTTACAGAGAGGCTTGTGATAGGTACCTTAGGATGAACAATTGTAAATAATAATCAACATATTTCTATGATTTTAAGGGGAATTTGTTTTAATCATACAAAGTTACATGCAATATTTCCAAATATTCTTAGTAAAGCATTATTGCTACTTACAGCAAGAGAGTCTGGCAGATGGAGTTTGGCCACACCTACTCGAGCACAAAGGTCAACATCAGCCAATGAAACGGAGCGCTCCGGGACGTCAAGCTCCATCTTGAGATTGAGATGGATGTTCTCAGGAGGACCAAGAGAAGCTGCTTTGAGATGAGGTTCACTCCGCTGAGTTGTGAGCTTGACTGTGATTCCAGCTGGTGGTCTCATCACTTCACCATCGATAGTGGTGGTAGAATGAGCCTGGGGATTATCAACGATTCAAAGTGATTACTATCATGGCAGGTTACTGATTTGTACATGGTATACAATAACCAATTATATTCATTCCAAAACCAAACACATGAAACATATACAACTCAAATATTGAAACAATAACTGAGCGAGAACAAGACAGACAGTGATAGAGAGACAGATACAAACAGACAAAGAAGAGATCTAGAGTGAGATAGAAATTCAAGGATGGAGTCTGAGGGGAAGAAGGAAATAAAATATGCAAGATATAATAAGAAGGGAGAGAGAGAGAGAAGTGGGATGGGAGCAAGATCAAGATAGAAATAGCCTATAATCTAGGCAGAGTGCCGAGCTTTTTTCTTTGCTGCTAGACTAACCCTAAGCAGAACGTCTGATACGGCGAGACTACGAACCGTGAGTCGCGAAGCGGCTCACCGCCTATAATCACTGGTCTAGCTTTAGTCGTTGTTTTTTTATTATCGACCTTGAATCCGTGCCAGTTTTCGTACGAAAAACTGCCGCGGATTCAAGGTCGATAATAAAAAAACAACGACTAAAGCTAGACCAGTGATTATAGGCGGTGCGCGGCTCACGGTTCGTAGTCTCGCCGTATCAGACGTTCTGCTTAAGGTTAGTCTAGCAGCAAAGGAAAAATCTCGGCACTCCGCCTAGATTATAGGCTAAGATAGAAAGGGAGAGCATTGTTAGAAAAAGAAAGGGAAGGGAGAGTGAAGGGAGAGTGATGGGGAAGAGAGAGAGATTCAATATCAGCTTTGATTCTTACTGGTAATGTGAGATGAAGTGGTCTAGCTGGAGCTGCAGATGTGCAGAGGTCTTGCCCATTTTCAGCAGTGATTGTTGCTGTGTACCACACTGCTACCATCTGAAACACAAATCAACTCAAACAATCTCATAATCAGTCTTTAAAAATGTACTTCTTTTTTTTACAATGCAAATCTTAATTTTGTTTATGTTGCTGTTAATGCTTTGTATTCCTTTTTTTTTTTTTTTTTTCCTACAATGATTTTCTCTTCTCCTTATATTTCTATTGCTAAAGGATTTTTACCTTTCCTTTCTTTTTAACTTTCCCTTGCTGCATCCCTCCCATCCTTCGATAAATATTAGTTTTTGAGCAAGTAAATCCTTCATCGCTAACTTCATGAATCACCTCTGGAAAGAACCCCTTTGGAAATGCAAGTATAGTTAAATTAAATTAAGAGAAGGTTGAGTTCTGGGAAGAAGTGAAAAATAATTTGTGAGCGTTACCATTGTATTATAATGCAAGTGTGGAAGATCATCAGACAAAAATGTTCCCTGAAAATATTCTAAATATGGCATGTAGCATCATAAAAATCGGGACAGATTTTTATGCCACATGTTTGTGTAGTCCCATATACATCTTTCTGTGTACAGTGATTGTAACTTTACCAAGACTGGGCCAAATTTCTCATCATTTTGAAGATTCAAGAACCTTGCAGTACACACAAATACTGATATTTTAGAAGATCAACCTTTTCTGATCAATTCCACAACGTTTCTTTCACAATGCAATTGCATGACCAGAACTAAACTTTATCTTTAATAGATCATACACTACTTCATGCACCCTCCACATACACATCTGTTATGAGGGTACATGATTGGGTTAGTGTTATGAGGGTACTACCTTGTTGACAAAGAATAGTCTGACTGGAAGTGAAGAGCGCCCTCTGTTGATCAAACGAACAGTCTTTGATCTTTCCATACCAAACACCATCTCTCCCAAATCAAGTCTTCCTTTAACTGTACCTTCAACCTGACATGAATCAATAGAAACAAAAAGACTGTTTATAAAAACATCTCAAATACAGAAGCCTCATCTCCTTACAAATGTGTTGTGGTAATGTCAATAGTTTTCAGCTCTAGAATGTTGTATTTTCATGGAAATATCAACAAGGATCTTCAAATCACTATAGCTTCTCATTTTGTTTTAAATCTTGTGATAACAATGAAAATGTAAGGACACATGTCCACTGACTTTCATGTTGTTAATCAGAAGATGTTATCTAAGTAACCCTTCACACACAGTTCATTTAACTTTAATTCATTAAGTCTTTGTTTTCCCCTCATATACATGGGAAACTATTAACCAGGATTCTCATACATTCAACAGTGCTGGCTGATACAAAGATACATACTTCTAATTAGATTCCAGTTCATACCTCTATTTCAGGCAGCTCTGCAACAGCCCTCAACGTCATCATAGGTGGCGCTGTGACACGTAGCAGACCAGCCTCACTATCAGCCACCACAGGACTGGATCCAACCTGTATCTTAGCTTCATGAATGCCTGGTTGACGGGGTGCAAAGGTTATCTTGTGTTCCTCTGTGGTGTATGGTCCTATGATGATACGAGGTCGCATGAAGAACACACGCGAGGAATGGTCCACCTGCAACATAGGAGGTAAACATCTCTAGCATTAGGAATGGGGATGGACTCTTCAAGCATAATAAATGATGGCAAAATAATGGCAGCCATACTTGCCGAGGTAGAAATTGTGGAGCGCCGAGGTGTCAAGTCTGACAGACATAAGCGCTCTACAAGACCCCACAATTTTTTGTATTAGTACTTTTAATTGTATTTAAATGTGTCCAACATAGTGGGGAATCATGAACAAGATTGAAGCAAATTATTGGTGAATTATCTCACCAAAGCGACATTTCAAAATAATGTCTTCTCAGCTTAATGGACAATTTGAACGCACCAATTCTGTAAGGTGGTGTCACTATGGCTACAAGGTGCCTGAACTGATATGAGCTGCATGCTACATACTGTGCTGATCACATTGGATTTACCATCAACATGAACAGCTTGTCAACAATTTACCATGTGAGGTCATTCCTTACCTCCTCTCCATTGATAGACAGGGAGACTACTTCTAGGAAGCACTGAAGCCACCGAGACGAAGGATTCTGTAGCTGGATAGAATCTTGAGCTGCGATACCGATGCAAGCAACATCTCGGAAACGATGTTCATAGGGAACAATCAGGTTGGACACTATTGAAGCTGGGGCACCTACATCATGACAAATGAATTAGAATTTGACACCTATAAACGTTTCTCATAGGCAGAGAAGATATACAGTAATTAGAATTAGAAAGATACAAGATTCTTGATAACTGGTTTCTTAAATACCCACTGTACACAACTCTTGTACACAAAGAACTCATACATGGGATGATAAAGCAATAGGTTTTAGTGACATTTCCTACATCTTCTGATATTAGCCACTTTATGGTCATCCAGAAAACACAACCATCACAGGTAAATTTGGTATGATTTCACATGCATTTAATTCAACAGTATGATAAATCATTTCACCTATTCAAAAACATCTATATTTAGTGATAAACCAAGAGCTCAAAAGCTACTAAGATTGTTTGCTACTCACCGGTAGGATGACTCAAGGGGGGTACAGGAACTGTTGGTCCAGAATGAACAGCAGTTTCAAGAAGTCCTGCCACACCATTAGTCTTGGTATCTTGCATATGATATGCTGGCCATAACAAGGGGTTCATAGAATGGGGTTCAACTGATCGAGAGCGAAGACGTCTCTGTGGCTGCTGCTGCTGCTGCTGATGTCCCCCTAGTCTTGCTGCGTAAGGATCCGGGTGTAGGGAAGGGGCACCGGATCCACCTGTCGGGTCCATACCGTGAGGGGCTCCATAGGGATTCGATGCAAGGGGTGCGGTTTGTCCAAGATACAGGCCAGGCTGGCGAGGCCCATGAGGTATTCCCAAATGACTAGCTGAATGTGGCTGCAATGTTTCATGAAGGCTTGGAATATTTGTTGAAGAGAGTTTGGATACTGGTCTGTCATTCACATAGTGCTGGAGGAAATTAGTCTCTGATAGAGCTTGATTGGTATAGAATGTTGGTTGTTCTACGTAAGATGGTAAGACCAGTCTCCTGGTAGGATTAGGTATCGACGATGCAGTAGCTGCTGAGCTGGTGTATTGTTGGTGGTAAGGAGGAGGAGCAAGGTGATGAGTGCCAGCAAAACTTGGCGGGTTTTCAAGACCCTTGTTAGTATTGTCCATTTCTGGTTTTGTACCACGCTTTGGGGTTGAGCAAGATCGGTCGCTGCTTGAGGATGCACTCTTGTTCATACTACTGGCAATGCTATGAGTACGTGAAGATCCACTACTTCTTGGGCTCACTAGCTCAGGGGTTTCTGCCACTAAAGTTCTATTGGTAGACTGTGCAAGAAGCGTCCTTTCAGCATCTGAACCTGCTGATGTGTTTTGTTTTGATGGACCAACTGGAGACTGCAGAGGTGATTGCCTCGGGGAAGGAACTGGAGAAATAATTTCAGCATTTATCGCTGAGAAATTATGGCTTCCTTCAATATCATCAAGAGTGACAGGTAGTTCTCTTGACCCCTTCCACATTTCTTGTACATGAGCAACATTTGATACAGTAAGCTGAGGTGCATTACCAAAATGTGGTAATCTATGTGGGTGTTCACTACTGAATCCAGAATCCACTTCAGCATCAACAACCACATCTTTCCTTTCTCCTAGACAAAAACCTTCCACTCTTTGACGATTCGTAGCATTCTCAATTCTCCTGTCACGCGGTGTTTGTATGATCCTATGCTTTCCCAAAATGATATCAGCTTGACTGTCCATGGAGAAGCGAGATACATCCACTTCCCTCATAACTTCTGCATCTTCAAGCCCTTCAGGAGGTCGTTGTTGACCCTTATTGCTCAGTGCATCATGAATGCTGGTTGATTCATGTCTTCGACTTTGTGGAGCTGCAGGTGCATCAGGTCTTTTGAAGACATCATCATCCCTTGAGGCAGTCTTTTGTGAGCCATTTTTTCCAAAAGAAGCACCATCAATTGTCCTTCTCTGTCTCAAGGACTCTTTTGGTCTGCAGGGTGATCCATCCAAGGAATTTCTCTGAATCAGAGAACTACTGGCATCACGCCTGTCCTTTGGTGGGGTCTTCTTGTCCTTCTGCCTCGGTGAGGCACTATTTGACCTTTGCTGAGTCAAAGAAAGTGATGTAACTTGATCCTCAAGATCATGTCCAGTGACTGATGGGGTCCTGGATGTCATGCTAGGTTCTACCTCTGTAGGTTCCCCATCTGGAATGGCCTGGCTTCTTGGTTCTACCATTTGACCCAACTCAAGATTCTGTCCATTCCCTTTCCTCTTGGGGACATTGTACACAGATCCTCTGGATAAGATTTCTCTGTTAAAATCATCTCCTGGAGCTACTGTCCGATGAGCAAGGTGACTGTGGGACTTTGGCATCTCTAAACTATCTCTTGATTTTCTATGCTTTGATACAACTGGAATACTCTGTGACTTTAGTGGACCAATATTTTCTTTCAATGCACGATTTGTTCTATTCGATGCACTTGACAGATTATCTCTACTTTTCTGCTGCAGTGTCCTAATATCCTGGCTAGAGTCTTCCACTCTGGCATACATGTCAGGATGCCTTACACTAGAAGAATCATGACCTTGTCTTGAAACCTCTTCATTTCTTGACAATCGATCAAATTGTCCGGCATTTCCATTAGATAATTTTTTCTTCTGTAGCTTCTTAGAGTCATCAACCGCTACAATTTTTCTTTGACTCTCCAAGTCTTTCATATCTTTGAGTTTATCTTGGGAACTTCTAACACTTGTGCGACTCTGGTTTCTCTTGTAATTTTCATTATCATCCTCAAAATCTTGAAAATCAATTGTATCTGATATATCTGTCCCTCTGACAGGCAGTCCGTCTCTTGTTATTTCAGCAAAGTAATCATCACCTAGTTGACTTGCCCTTTCTGTGAAATCTTCTTTTAATAAGGACCTATCACTATTGCACTTTTCATATGATCCTGACATTCTTTTCCTATTTATTGCTGGTTGTTCATCTATTCCCTGTGACCCTCTAGATGAGCTTGAACTTCTGCTCTGCTGCCCTGATCCACCTGAACCATCTAAAGATGATCGCTCCTTCAACTCTTCGTTATCTTTCAATGTCCTGTCATATCCTGATAACTTTGGTCTACCATTCATACGTGAAATTAAAGGTTTCTGTTCTTCTTGTTTTCTGCTATGTGCTTTATCTCTCAATTGAGATGTTGTATCGAGCTGATCCATCGTTTTTCTTTCTCCGTGCTTTGACTTCAGAGGATCGACTCTTCTAGTCTGTGAATGCCTAGGCTTGGCTGCATCCTGCTTGGCAGCTTTCTGTTTAGCTTCTTCTTTAGCTGCTGCTACCTTGTTGGATGCAGAAAGGATCATCTTAGCAAGCTGCTGTGGATCTGCCGTGCTGGAAGCCTGAGCAATGGCTGCAGTCAGGAAGCTCAGGTCCATTGGAGGTGTCTGGTATCCTTCAGGAGGATCCACAAGGGAATCAGAAGCAATCTCATCTACCACCCTTGTCTTCTCAGACCTATTCTCCTTTCTACTCTTCTCACCAAATGGAAATGCAGAGGCCCTGGATGGAACATAGACTCCAGACCTGTTCTCTGGTTTCTCCTCCTGTCTTAATACATGACTGGCTTTCTGACTCTCAATTCCAGTGGATGATTCTCCTACTTCAACTGGCTTTGGTAGATTTTGGAAGGATCTAGATACATCTATAAGATAAATAAAGGAATAAATACAGTTATAAAGTTACAACAAGATTTAGTTTACAATATTGAACAATGCTTTTGTTTTCCTACTTGTAAAACAAACATTTTTTTTCTTTCTCAAATGTAAATGTGTGGTGAGTTACATGTACATGTAGCTTGAAAAGCTGATGTTGCCATAAAAATTAATTACACTCCTGCATAAACCTATTTCAAACTCCATTCTGAATGCAAAAATCATTCCATCATTCTTATCAACATAAACATTCTTTTTCAAATCTCTGAACTGGTTTAATTGGTAAACGAGTGACATACCATGAGTATTTTGTCCAACCCCAGCTTCTCTCTGAGATGCTGGATAGATGTCCTCATCCTCATGGTTACTAACTATCATGGATCTATTGATCAGGGGATATGAAGGAACCGGTGGAGGAGAGATGATTGTGCCGTCTCCAAAGTGAGGCTGGGTGGATGAAAAGAAAAAAAGCAGAAGATGAATGATTTACATTGCAATTGAAGTGGCATGGTGGCTTAGTGGTAGAGCAGTGGTCTCATAACTGGAAGGTCCCAGGTTAGGTTTGAAACCAAGTAAGTGCACCAGTGCCCTTTGTTTAGGCATTGATCGTCAACACATTCCTCAGATATGACATACATCTGTAGATCCCCTGGTTTGTTATTAACAAAAAAAATATACTTGCTATCTTTGGTGATAGGTTACCATCATCATCATCACCCTCACCCTCACCCTCATCATCATCATCATCATCATCATCACCACCACCATCACCCTCATCATCACCACCACCATCATCATCATCATCATCATCATCATCATCATCATCATCATCATCATCATCATCATCATCATCATCATCATCATCATCATCATCATCATCATCATCATCATCATCATCATCATCATCATCACCTCACTCATCCTTACCTTAGCTCCACCACAATCACCAGAGAGAGAACCAAGTGCCTCAGACCTCATAGCAAGGAGCATCTCAGCAGAACGATTATAAGATTTCTCATCGTCCCATGCTACAGCAGCCGATAGGGAGAGGGAATCACGCAGGGTCATGTGACCACCATTAGGCAGGTCCCATCCTGATTGGACATCGTCTCCCATGTCACGTGACATGTCCTCATCCTATGAATGATGACAATAATCATAGAATGTTTCCTATACATGTTTGCACTTTGAATACTACCAGCCTGGCTTTGGCCCTTGGCAATGAAATGAAATTTCCTTTGTTCAAGTTTACAATAACAATTGTTCTGTCAAAAAATACTGTGTGTTAATGATATCAGTAATTTAAACAGGTTGGCACTGAAATCGCCCCAAAAAACTGCTGGATAGGGAGAGGGAGAGAGGGAGAGAGAGAGAGGGGGGAGGGAGAGAGAGAGAGAGGGGGGAGGGAGAGAGAGAGAGAGGGGGGGGAAGAGGGAGGGAGAGAGAGAGATTTAAATTTGAAGTACTCACTGGAATTATTCTATTGTCAACTGGCTGTTATGGTTGAATATGGTATTGATTCCTATTGACAACTACACTTTCATATTAAAGGTAATACAAAGTTTTGGGAAATTTTGAAAATTGGGTGGATAGTGATTCTTTACAATTTTGATATATTTGGATGCCCCTGTGGATGTATTATAAGCACTAGAAAACTTAGCCCTTAAACTACTTCTGCTTTCGAGAAAAATTGAATATAAAAATTTACCGGTGCTCCCGGTAAATTTTGATAAATTTCAAATAGCGCCCACGGCCGTACAATGGTAGCTGCAATCGTGAAAATCTCAGAATATGTAGTTGTGATTTATAATTTCCGAACGGGAACAACTAATCGGTAGATTTTAGTCAAGAAATATTGTTTTATAGCTTGATTAAAGGGATCGTTTAACAATGTTAAATCTGAGATACACGGCCCTACGTATTATCAGTGTCTGTGATATGGTGTAATATTGAAGCCCTAAAAAAATCCCGCTTCGAAATGATCAAGAAATGCCTCGAAAAAGTAAAATTCTTTGAGTGACCGGTTTTACCATACTCGTTTTCCCCAATAGACTGTAGTGTTATGAAAACTGTTCAGCGAACGGTTTTCAAAATTTGTAATTCTAATCATAAATATCTTGATCATCAGACAGGAGATCAGCTTGTGAAAGTCATGGGGCTCCTGACTGACCTCAAGCTTTATAATTATCATTGCAACATGAGCTAAATCCAGAATTTTGTTTAAGAATCCGAGACAAAGTTACCAGATCCCTTTAATATCTTGACCTTGAGAGGAAGCTATACAACATACAGAGTTTATTATTCACAATTTCATAACTTAGACTTGATTTCAACCGCGACAACGATCACTGAATATTGTAGGACCGCATATGCATCCAATATGCATCCAATATGCATCCAATATGCATCCAATATGTTCTGTAATATTAACATGACTTATTCACATAACTGCGACTTAATTAATATTTTCCTATTGACATTACTGTTTACTAGGTTAATGATATATGTTTATTTTGCAAACGAGTATTATTTTTGTAACTGTTCTGTATAAATGTTATAAACGATGTAAATATGTTCATTCAGGGCCCCATGGAAGACCACTACTTGTTGGTGAATGGGCTACCCTGTCAAAAGAATAGAAATAAATAAATAAATAAATAAATATGTTCATTTGAACCAAATTCATGACCCCATACCAAAACTTTGTATTACCTTTAACCTAGGTTTAATATAGTAACCTGTATTACAGGCAATAAGTAAAAGAGAAACTGACCTGTCTAAAAATATTCTCTCTTTCACACTCTTCTTGATCCTTGTCGATCAGTGCCGCAGCATCATCTGAAATAACAACATCATTCAATGAAACAATGTTTGGGGTACATGAAAGTGCATGTATGTTCTTAAAAGATAAAATTACTTTGAAATGGGAATATACACTTTGTTGAAAAGAACTGGGGGAAGAATTTGATGTGACAAATGGAAAATAAGTGAAAGCATAAAAAGATGAGAAATACAAATGATACATAACAACATCATTGCTGAATCCATAACTATCAGATCTTAAGGCTGTATGACAATGTTTTTAAAGCTTTTAGATTTAAAAGAAGAATTGCCATAAACGTGGCATACATTCCCAAGGAAAAAATAACATTATGTAGAGCATTTTTAACGCTACACAATCTTGTGTATGATATGTGTGACCACAAGCCTACTCTATGATAATTGACTTTGTTCAGTTGACAGAAACAAGGCTTGTATATGTATTTGTCAAAATTACAAGCATAGTCAATTCAATTAACCATTTCATGTGTCAGTACTTACATATAGATTTTGATGACTATAATAACAAAATATTTATTCAACTGAATCTTACCTTCACCAAAGAATTCATCTCCACTTCCAAACCCCATGTCTGTCATTGGAAGACCATTCTGATCTGGAAGCGGACCACTGTCAAAGGGATTATATGCACCATCTCCTATAATTTAACAAATTACACACAGTTAGCATTCACAAATTTTTAATCCTTCAGGGTCATAGAGTGGTTTAAAATGGCCCCTTCTGTCACAATCATCTTCGTTACATAAAATTTAGAATGAATACATCATTTTCATCATTGTCAAATACAATCTGAATTTGTATTTTAATGTAATGAAGTAGTATTTTCCCATATTTATTTTTTTTATAGATACAAATTTTTAGAAAGACAAAGATAATGACCACCATATACAAAAATAAATATGATTTTTCTTCAAACTTACCAAAATTATAAGCTTCAGCTCCATTCAGGTTTCCTGTCTCTTGAAAATCATCACCAAATCTCTGTAAAAAAATCATTAAAAAACACACATAATATATCATAATATATATATATATATATATATATATACCATACCGTATATATAAATATATATATATATCAATACCTGTCAACAAAACTGTTTGTTATTTCTTTTTTAACTCAAGCTTTAAAAAATGTCACAATAGAACTATGATTAGCATTAACCCTTTGATGAAATTGCCGATACAGATCTTGGTGAAAGGCTGCATATCCATTTGAGTAAAAGATGAACACATTTCAGTCAGTGTCTATACGAAATGCATGCTATATCAATATCAAACCATCAACACATCAAGATAAAAATATTTTGAAAGATTTGAATGCAGTTTCATTGTATGAAAAACAAACATAGATACTAAACGCTTGCATTACTATATAATTTTCTCTTACTTTATCATCGTAATCTATTTACAGCTACATGTCAACACAATTGTGAATCCCCAGGAAATCAAGATGTGTCACATCGTCTAAGCTTAGAGATCGTGTCTCAGAGAAAGAGGAGGTAGCATGAGGTTACCTTATGAAAGCTTGTTGAACCGTCACGCGGGAGGGATACATTGTTACTAAAGTTCATTGACCCTGCTCCTTGCTGCCAGATATCCGTCTCTCCAATTGGTTGTACTCTGGACTGTCCCTTTAATAGGAAATGAAGAAATGTAACAAAACAGTTTATATCAGGAGAGCACAGTACAGTCTAGATATTAGGAAGGAGCATCGCTCCAAGGGGATGCTCATATTCAAACCAGTTCAGAAAGATACTCCCTAAAAGCTCATATTTTAAGGTTTACTTTTTAATTTTTTGGGAATTCAAAACACTTCTTCCCTCTTGACAAAGCACATGCTAGCAAATGCTACAATCATAAATTGCACCATTGATAGTTGGTCAATAGTTGGACCAGAGAGCGAATGACACTCTGCTAATCATCATGGCAAGTATGTACAAAGTACAACGGTAGTAATTATGATGTGATGTGATGTGATGTTTGTAATTCATACAACGGCCAAAAAGAAAAAGTATTATTTAGCTCCCATGAGCCAGCCTTGGATAATGCCTTACCAAAAGAGTACTTGATTCTTAATGCCTTTAATATCAAAGAGCATTAACGCATCAACTTCATTTTGCACCAGGCATCTATTAGTTACAATTTTAGTAATCTACCTCTTGAGTTAAACACACCTCCACCAACTTCACACTATTAGGAAATACAACATCATTCTGATACTCACTGAAAAGACTCCCATGTGTGGAGCTCCATGATCACCCTCATCATCCTCATCATCTGCATCTTCATCATCATCAGCAGCACCCCGAGCCATGGCTGGACGGTCCATAGCACCACTCCCAGAGGTCATTGTCCATTCTCTGCTGCTCCTGTTAGCCCCCTGTCCTTGAAATGCCAGGAGGGTAGACTGACCAAAGGTGACCGGTGCATCTGGCAATCCAGAGCTGGTGGTCTCTCCATCACTCATACCATCACCACCTCCACCACCATCTCCAGGATCTAAGATAACCTACAAACAACAAACTAAATTTCAAAAGCAAGCACTCCTCTACGCTTCATACTTTCTATAGTGCGTATGTTTCAGAAGCACATTAAAATAAAATTAGACTTTGTAAAAAATTAGCCAATCATAATAAACAATTTAGTTCTAACTCAATAAAAGGTGGTTACGTTTCATCAAAATCACAAAGATGTTAAAAGCAGAATATCAATGTTCTTCCATGTAGAAGGTTTTTTAGTAGCAGCCCAAACCATGGCTGGACTGTCCATAGCACCACTCCCAGTGGTCACTGTCCATTCTCTGCTGCTAGCTCCCTGTCCTTGGAATGACATGGGTATACTGACCAAAGATGACCGGTGCCATAACGCTACTATATTTCTTGACTGAATTTTATCACAGTATATTTTCTTTGATTCTTTTTGTATTCATTCCCAGATGAAATGGCATCTTTTCACTGGACACATTTGTGAGTATGCTCACTTAAAGAAAACAATGTACTTTCTTCATGTGAAACATACAGTATATTAAACGCAGAGTTTGAGAAACAGAATATGATGATAAAGTGAATGTAAAGTGAACTTACCACCTCTCCCTCAGCTGACTGCCTAGGTTCAGTGAGTGGAGCCCTCTGATGATCATCTTCTGAGCTTCCTCCATCAAGCTGGAGTCTAGATACCTGATTATCCAACAAGGGGTCTCGTGAACCATTGAATCGTTGATTCCTATAATCATCATCATCATCACTATCATCATCTCTGCTCTCTCCTACCCCAAGCCTGTCAGCAGGATCAGGTACATATGGCCTGGTTTGGGCAATTTCCTGAAGAACAAACACAGGCTTATAAGTAACCAGGATAGCTTTTGAGGGTAGCAAATGTTCACATTGTATTGTGCTACATAGTGACATGGTCTTTACCTTTAGTATTATGATTGTGATCATGCCAAGAATTGGAGACTTGATAAAGAAACACAAAAGGAAATTTCTACCCTATGTACCTAATGAAACTTTAGATGATTTATCTCAACCTTCAGACAAAAATATCTCCTTGACCTTCTGAACCTTTCCCCTGCTGTTCTCAGCCGCACTAACACTACTCTAATTCTAAATTACATCCTTGGACCTAATAATATATCAAACCTTAACCCTTTACATAAACTGACCATAAAATCCCAATTGCAGTTTGAACCCTAATCCCATCTTTGACAACATAGAACACGAGCAATGTTGATATCACCTAGGTAAGTTTTGTGGTATAATGTAATGTGTAGCTATGTAACATATAATGTGGCTAGATGTGTCAAGATGATAGTTGAAGGGATGGGTATCTTTGTCTCAGATTCTGAAACACAATCCTGGATTTAGCTCATGCTGCAATGATAAACCTTTAGGTCAGCCAGGAACCCCATGACTTTTACAAGCTGATCGCCTGTCCGATTATCAAGATATTTATGATTAGAAATCGAAATTTCAAAAACCGTTTTCCTAACGTTTTTTTATAACACTACAGTCTATTGGGGAAAATGAGTATGGTAAAACCGGTCAGTCAAAGATTTTTACTTGTTTGAGGCACTTCATGATCATTTTGAAGCACAATTTTTTTTTAAGGCTCCAATATTACACCATATCACTGACACTGATAACACGTAGGGCCATGCATCTCAGACGATGCCTTTAAGTGTTGAATGCTAACCTGTCTGACTGCATTGAGCTCATCTTCTGTGTCTATCTCACTGCTCCTTCCACCCTCAGTCCCTTGTGTCTTGGATCTCAAAACATGAGCTGGAACTGAAGCAACAAAATAGATAGACAACATGTACTTTCTTACAGAAAATGAAGGTTGTTGAACAATTTTGGAAATAACCTATTGTGGGAATTAACAAAATGATCTGGTGGATAAACCTTTTCCAGTTAACACAGAGACAGAGTTTCTAGATGGCATTGACTACAAGATAGTCAAAATAATTGAAAAGTATAGATATGTGTAACTCCAAACAACGGAAAACAAATGGAATTTGAATTGTGTACATGTACACTACATTCAGTCTAGACCTGCTTGATAATCAATGTTAGATGATACCCTGCTTTAAAGTCAGGAATAAATCACTTGTGTTGTACATGAAAAATTCACATTAAAGTCACTTTTAGGTGTACCATAATTCAGACATCAAATGAGTTTGGCTGCACCCATGATTCGTTTACAACTCATCCTTGACATAGCAAAAATATTTTCTTCCAATCAAGGGTTTGATTAATTATTATCATACAGTTCATTGGTTTCCTCACATTGTTTCCACAATACACAATAATAATATAATCAGCTAAAACAAATAAAAGGAAGGTATGTCATGATCCCCAAACCAGTGCTTGAAATCAGGATGTGTTCATAGTATATTTATAGCAACAAAGAACTACAGGATACAAATATGAAGAACTACCGGTACATATAATCTGATGTGAGCCCGAAGAGGGTTCACTCTACCGGTATGTAAAAAGATTGAGTCAATGCTCTTCTGGCTCTCAACAGTAGATAGATAAAAGTGACAAATGAAAAACAGTGAAACCTGTCTATAAAGACCACCCAAGGAAGACAAGAAAAGTGGTCTTTATAGGCAGGTGGTCTTTATGTACAGGTTCTTTTAGTACATGTGTCCATGAGAAATCATGTTCAAGGGAAACAACAAATGTGGCCTTTGTAGACAGGTGGTCTTTCTAAACAGGTGGTCATTGAAGCAGGTTTGACTGAAGTACTGTGTACATTGAGATCAGTTAATCTTATATGGTACATGTAGCGCTTAATTCAAAGTACTAATCTCTAGAGTCCTAACCTGGGGTAGCTTGTTCATTAGCATCTGAGAAATCACTTGCAATGCCTCTATCTTCATCCTCTTCCTGACTATCAAAGAACATGATAGAAGCAGCACTCATCTGTGATACCGCCATACGAGACCTACCACCACCTGCCCTGTGGTTTGGGGATGGGTAGGAGGGCTGAGGGGTGGCCATCTCTTCACCGTCACCAATACCAGAACGAGGAGAGTTGATATCTTGTGACAGGTCCATGAAGTCATCGTCTAACTCCTCAAGACCTGATGCTGCAAGATAACATTATCCAATGGAAAACAGTCTATAAAATATAATTTGAAGAACTTTTTTGAAAGATGGGTGTAAAGTTTACCCTCACAATATATCATCAAACTTCTCAAGGCTTAAAATTGTGTGAAAGAAAGTAAGGTAAAATGTCATAAATCTGTCTTAAAGCTCCTTCAAAGTGTTGGAGCCCCAAATTCGCTAAAAAAATTATGGCAAAATTTCACTTAAATTGTGTAATGAAGTGAAATAGGATGTCATATAACACTCAATTCTGTGAGGATTTTTCACAACAAATATGTTTCAAGATGAATATTGATGAAGGAAAACAAAACTTGGGTTTTGTGTTGTACGCAGAAAACCTAAATTCTTTCCTCAATATTCGTCTTCAAACACATTTATTCTGAAAATCCTTGCACAAGTCAGTTGCAAATGACATCCTCTTTCACTTCATTATACAATTGAAGTGAATGTTTGCCATCAAATTTGTTGGGCTCCCAACACTTAGAGAAGCTTTAAGGAACACAAACACTACCCATCCCCAGGCCCCATGTCTTGACCAATCTTAGTAGTTAGGTTTTTCCTGCCTGAGGAAAGAATTTGTTGAACATATCTACTGGGCACCAAGTTCAACATATTGTATGCAAAGTTGATCCTGAAGGTATCAATTGAAACATTTCACTTTACCAATTATCATGCTTAGTTTATTGCAATCATGATTTCATCTATAATTTGTACAATTTAAACACTGTCAGGGCTGTCGTTTAAAGCCGGTAACCGGTAAAACTTGCCGCCTATTCACTCGTTTTTTACCGGCTATAATTCCTATAATAAACCTTGCAAAAATCACAGAAAGTAGATCTAAATCAATGCTAATCCAAAATTTCCTTAATTTCGTCCAAGATATAATTAGTGCCGCACATACACGGCCGCAGTCGACGAAATCCCTTACGATCACGAACGCGACGTCGTCCGTACTTACCTAGACCTATCTATCTAACGTTACATCGCAGTTCTCCCCCCACAGCGCGGCGGCCAAGCCCGCCCGTCCCTATCTCATTGCGATCCCGATGTGCATGCGAGAAGACGATGCACTGCACAAAATATATACACACTGATCATAACAAAACTGAAGCTAGCTCGCTGTAACCAAACTATCCGTTGCTGATTTGATATTTGAAGATCACGGAAACCGGGGCCTATACATGTGCGTGCAATGTCTAGAGACAACGTACTTTAGATTCTGAGATGCGCAAATCGGCAACAGAGTTTTGAACTCGGCTGAGTTTAGGCCGGCCACGGCCGTCCCCGGCGGACCCCCGCAGCTAGCTCGCATGATATATGCAGGCTCGCGCTCCGCGAATATTCAAAACTAACTTCCGATCGCAATCGATCTCGAGGCCGCGATATAACATTATAAAATGAACAGGAACTGAAGTAAATTCTTAAATGTATTCAATAATTTCATGTCAAAAAAAAATAATTAAATGAGAATTCATATGGGGAGCCACATAAAAGTCACAAGTAAAAAAAAAAATCAAAATCTAGCCTCTGCTGCCCATTATTTAAATACTGTACATGTATTCAACAAATCATGATGTAGAAAGATTGAGTATGGTGCATCATCTCAGTTTAATTAAAAATTACAAAGTAATGGTACAAAGTGATAAATAATTATCAACTTAATAACTTTTCTTATGAGTTATGATGTAATATTAAACATGAACAATATGTGTGTTTATTACAATATATGTGTAATACAAGGTAGGAAAGATAACTACAAATTTTCTTCTTAGGTATGCACCAGATTGCACGATTTCAAGTGGAAAATCCCAAAAGGTCCCTACCGTGGGAGGGGGGAAACCCCCCTCCCACACCCTCCCCCCCTCGATCGCTTCGCTCCCTCGCAGTGATGGTACCTCCTATAAAATTCAAATTACCTCCTTCAAAAATAATTAACAAGACCCCTGACTGTATATATATCATTTCCCATGACAAATACGGTGGGCCTCATATATTTACCTGAAATTCTCTCACTCTGCTCAGCTCAATACAGAAACCAATAGAGGAACTAGGCAACGTTACACAATACCACTTGATTTATGTCCTCATAGAACTTATTTCCTCAGTCTACTGCAGATTTATCGAGTTTTCTTCATTACAATATTTCATTATATTTCTCATCTAATCAAGCTGCCACTAGTGACAGCAGGATTACAATTACTCAATAAATGTAAGTTTTCATCCCTTTTAGTTTCTACGTTCTATTCCTGGCAAAGCCTTTTGATTATATCTACAGTGTATATTACTGACTTCCTCCATGTAAGATCCATGTTAGACTTTGCACTAAACAAACTTTGTGATTGTTAAATACACATAAATTGGTGACTTCCTGAATGTTAAAGAGAATGTTCACTTCTGGCAGGGCCAAAATCTAACTATGGGATCTTTTTGTAGAATGCCAATATTAATATCCATTCAATTTTGGTTTATTGATTTCATATATAACAATGTGGTAATTCACAGACTAATCTGTTAATGCTTACCAAGTAAAATTGACATACATGTGGGAATATTGATAAAAAAAATTTATAGAATAATTAATTCAAAATAAATACACACTTTGAAAGAAACTTGCATGTATTATTGAAAATGACATATTAGTAGACAAATTTACAAACTAATAATAATTCATAAAAAATAATAACAAACCATAGTTTGGGCTGGTATGACTTTTGTGAATATCTGTATTTGTGTTTATTTGGTGATTTAAGAAAAGTTCAGAATTTTTGTTTTGCATTATTATTAACGAATTGAATTCAAATTCCCACTTATATTAATGACAATTATTCTTACACAAAGATGTAAGACTTACCCAGGTCATCAAGGTTAAGGATGCCTAACGATGTATCGGTCATATCTGAGGGAGCAAAGCTGACCCTTGACCTTGCACTATCTGGTACTGCATCCCCATTCTCTTCTACAGCAGCTCCCTGCTGCATACTCTTTGTCAGCTGACGAAAGAGCTGTGCATGGGAATCCTCTAGATCTTGTCCATCTCTGAAGGGGTAAAGGTATGGAGTTTAAGAAAAGAAATGGTGACTGAATTTTAAAAAGAAATAATGTAATGTTTGCTTGTGGAAGAATTTTCTCGAGATTATTATTTTAGGGCCTAAATGTAGTAACATTACCTATTCCAATGTATGTCAAGTATGCAATTTACCAACTCTTGAAGAGAGGAGACTTGCACTCTGTAGAAAATTTGCAAAATCCCTTTTAAAATCGCTCTATTTGTCAGACCTGGTTACCTCAGAAAAAAATATATGTCTTCGCCGTATTCCCACTTATTAGCAATTTCAATACAAAACAAAAAGCTTTGAAAATAGCGCACTGTCATTTTTAGTTGATTATACTCAACAAAACTTTAAAACTTTTTTTGTTTTTTTAAACTGTTAATGTAATTTGTAGGTATACTGAGTGTTTGTCTCCTCCCCCCCCCCCCCCCCCCCCCCTCCCTCCCCCGAGTTGGCTGTTTTGAATGAACCTACTTGAATCCTTTTACCATGCTTGTATTGACTTTTATGATATAATACATGTAGGAAATTTGTAAATGATAACAGCTCATGTTTTGTTGTATTTCAGGTAACTTGTGCAATGTTTATATGGTTTTAAGTTACAGAATCTTAAGTCCTATTTTTTATGCTAGTTTTTTACATGTATATCTTTAAAAGTGTTATTTATTTCAGCCATGGCTGTCTTTCACGTAAAATTGTATTTGTATGAACCATGTTTGTGTCATAATAAAAACCATTTTTGATTTGAATTGAAGGTGTGGGCTCTCCTACAAACAGTATCTCCATTCATTGTACATGTTATTTTAAGGACGCAATGTTTCACAGTGCTCCCTCACCTGTGTCTATGGAACGGAGGAGGGGGGATGTTTGCATGCCCCTCCTCCTAAAATACACCTGAAATAAATTTGAATACCGGTAGTTGGGTCTATAACATTGTCAGGGAGACTACATGTACATGTATGTATCAACTCAATCAATTTGCTTCCTCTGTGTTCAAAATTATTTTGACTTTATATATACAATAAAATAGATTTGAATATCCAACTAATGCTTTATTTTTCTAAAGATCTTCGAAAGATCTAAAGGTTCTTGACAGAACTATATTAACCACTTTATCAAAACCATCTAAGTTCTTGGACATCCAATAGCAATATATGTTATAGCATTAAAATGCACTTATATAATAATAATAATAATACATAACATTTATTTCTTTTAAGTACTAACACATAGATCTCTCCAAGAAAGAATACCCTAATCCTTATAAGGACTACACACATGGTGTACCCATTTAAGCTTTCTTCACTCAAAAAACTGTTTCCAATCTTGTGCAAAAATTGCACATGAAATTTGTCAACTGCCCATACATTTCATGCAATATAAGACATGTAGTACATAATTTGTAATTTTAAATACACAACGTTTATTAACACAAGATTCATTTCACACTTTAAAAGAGCACCTGGGGGCGGTTTCTCAAAACCGTCTAACATCTCGGACATCCCATTCCCATAGAAACATGTGAAATAGTCATATAATTAATATGCATTTCTATGGGATGTCCGAGAACTAAGATGGTTTCAAGAAACTGGACCATGGAGTGAGGACGGTACTAGCAAAATATCTTTTGAGTTGTTTACCTGTGTGTTGGAGGCAAGAGAGGTCTAGCGACGGAAGAGGCTGCCATGGGGGATCCTATAGATGATCTCAAAGTAATCTCCTCAAAAGGAACCATGCTTCTATCATCCATTGAAATGAAGGAATCATTGTCAAGGAAACGAAGCACTTTCTTCTCCTTGTTATTCATCCTTTATCCACTCTCTAAAGCAACAGCAGGCATCTACATGAATGGATTAGAGAAGTGATATATAATTTAGATGCTTGTATATCTAGTAATCACACATAGGCTTTGCCGTGTCAATAGTGTTAATATTAACCATAATAATTAAAAAGTGCTTACCGGTAGTGAGAAAATACATGAATTGGAGGAAGAGTGGTTTACCTCTAAAAATGGGAAAACATCTCTGACAAACTAAATACTTGAAATCACACACCTTCAGCAAAATATATCCTTATAAAACACAACAAAAAACAAAAAAGAGAAAAAGGAAATAAAGAAGAACTCCCATGATCCCAGGCCATGATGAGTGGGGAAAAAATATGAATCAATTTCCTTCACTGGAAGTACAGTATGACGAACATGCCTGACAACATTCTTAGTTTCATGCACTTTATATGACACTTAGTCTTTAAGTTAAAACTTATCAACACAAGTGTGACTAGGAGGGATTAGACCACACAGCGAGGTCACTGACAGGTGGCTATCTCATCAACTCAGCTCTCAAATAACATAAGAAATAGAGGATCATGGGGGACCAACAGGCACCAATTGGGGAAGTTTTCTATATAGAGAGAGCAAGTACATTGTAGCTACAAGTAGGACAGTGGGGCTTTAAATATCAAATTTCAAATACCGGTGAACCCATAGCTATTCTTTGTCTTACAGTGTATGATTTAATTTACAATGCGAAAAAGTTTTTTCATGTACACTGCATTTATTTTAATTTCAGGTGGAACCAACATTGCAAACTCTTGTAAGACTAGGACTGTGGTCAGCATTTTAGAAATATACTTTGCATGTTAGCTGATTATCATCAGGAACACGTGGAACTGGAAGGTACCGTAAGCAAATGGATCACGTTCACTCAAGTATCAAAATCTCATTTATTTGTTAAATTCGTGAAGAAAGAAAAGAAAATCGGCTAGTTTTTGCATGCGGCAAGCTACATGTAGTGTTGCCGTCAGTTTCATTAACTAAGAATTTCCCATACAAAACAGTTATTTCAATCATCATCATGATATGAGGAGAGGTACATGTAGACTAGATCCTGTAATCTTCACTCACTTCAAGCAAGGGTTGTTAATTATGAATTGTTTGCACTTGCGCAGGGTTAGGACCGTTCTGACTTTTTATTATACTAGTACAAGAATGAGGATCGTCCGCATAAACGAGGACATCCTCTTATACACGGACAAAATGCGTCCTAAAAAATAAGGATCGTCTGCGTTATTGTGGACGTTTTTTTCTTCGGCGCTCTGCGGGTTTCGGGTTGCCGATCAGAGCGCTGCTGATGTGAAAAACGGATTCTCCGTATAAAATACCCCCAGTTTACCATCTACTTTTACACGTAGAACTTTAGCTTACATTTAGCGCATGAACTTGATGAAGTAGAACGTTCATCTGATCCCAGCAAATTGCAACCTCATTTTACTAAATGACCATAACAGACAACAAACAAGTCAAAGGTATGGACAAGAATCAGTGAAATTTTGCATGAAATATCATCAGGAAAGCCATCTAAATTGGTCACAAATTAGAGAACACACCAAATTCGGCGCTGCAATGTCAATGTCAATGACTCACAAAACAGCATAAAATTCAACTATCATCCACCAAATGAATACGAACAATTGCATTATGATTTATATACAATCTTCAAAACCTGTATCACCGTTAATCACAAAAAATAAAATCACAATCTAGATCTAGACTCTGTATCTACGGCTAATATAGACTCAAGTCAACATGGTCAAGACTAGACCGAATTTTCCGTCTCTTTCGTTCGTTAGCCTCTTATTGGGGTAGGGTCGGCTCTCTCTTTAGAGACGGAAGCCGTTTATACACATGTCCGTGCTAACGCCACGGCCAGTTCTGGTCGTAGCGTTTTGCCCCCAAAATCCCCCAAAATGTCATTTTACCTCGAGCATGTTATATTGTAAATTAGGCCTAGGCTATAATAAATCAGTTCCACTTACCAACTTGACTGAAATAATCAGTTTAATAGTCCCTTTTTAGGAAATTATGGGTCAAAATCGGAATCCATGTTGAAAAAGATTTTCAAAATGGATTTCGATTTTGACCCATAATTTCCTAAAAAGGGACTAGATCTATTAAACTGATTATTTCAGTCAAGTTGGTAAGTGGAACTGATTTATTATAGCCTAGGCCTAATTTACAATATAACATGCTCGAGGTAAAATGACATTTTGGGGGATTTTGGGGGCAAAACGCTACGACCAGAACTGGCCGTGGCGTTAGCAAGGACATGTGTATAAACGGCTTCCGTCTCTAAAGAGAGAGCCGACCCTACCCCAATAAGAGGCTAACGAACGAAAGAGACGGAAAATTCGGTCTAGGTCAAGACTAAGTAAGGAGAGAGAGAGAGAGAGATGAATTCAAATCTGTAAATAATTGTAAAGTTGTTATTTGAATTTTGTTAGGTTATCCTATACTAGACCTATAGTAGGCTATACTTTAGTGTGTTTTATTATTTTGGGTTTCTAACTTCAGTTTAACCCTAACCCTAACCCTAACCCTAACCCTAACCCTAACCCTAAACCCAACCCTTACCCTAACCCTAACCCTACCCTAACCCTACCCTAACTCTAATCCTAACCCTAACCCTAACCCTAACCCTAACCCTATGATATGCACGTAGTCTAGAGCTGTTAACTGAAGTTAGAAACCCAAAATAATAAAACACACTAAAGTATAGGATTGCCTTTTGTTAACTTATAACTCACATAAATAATGATATAATTAGTCATTCAATGAGAAATTCTACTTGCAGTTGTAAAAATCGAATCTGCACTGTTGCTAATGCTTCTATGAGTTTGAGCAAAGAGTTTGAATGATCAGATTTGTCCAGTGTGTTTACATGTAGGCCTACGTACGTTACGGGCCTATATGTATAAAGTACACTCGTCTTCGCGCTTTCGTTGAAACTGTAAGGAGGAGGCTAGCCACCGATAATGGAGCCTGTAGTGTCTCTAAATCACAAAATCAAAAAAGGAAAAAGAAAATTTTGCACTTGTCTGCTGAAGGTAACGGCAATAGGAGTAAGACATTAGATTTGGATGTATTAAACACTATCGTTTGATATTCAACTTACAGAATGACTGACATCATTGAAATTTGAGATCTTACTCTTTAATCTCATATATATCACATGCCAAAGCAATTTGTCTGGGTATTACTGTTTCAGATTTAATCTAGGGCTCAAACCGGCATATACGGGGTTTATTCGGGCATTTTGAGTATTATACTCCGGGATTGTACTCAAAATACCCGAATATAATAGTGGACAAAATGCGTTTCATAATTTGAAGGCAAACTGTCGTATAACATTTTAACTAAATAATGACTGGCATCATTTGAAAGGTGAGATCTTATCCTTTACTCTCATAATCAATTGCCGAAGCAATTTTATACGTTTTATACGTTTTAAACACTTGAAATGTGCCAGTTTATAAGGTATTTGATCCGATATAATATGCCACGTTTTATTGTAATTCAAGACTACAGTAAAAGCTATATCTAATTTATCTTCTCTTTATCACCCATGTTACACAATCATTTTTCGTTTTCCTTTTTGAAGACACCATAGCGCGATTTATATTGTTTAATGGGCTACCTTCGTCCGAATCCTTCATCTCTTACTACGCGTTACGGTCAATTTTATTTAATTTAATTTCCAGGAACAAAAAGGGGCGGAGTCAGAGGCGGCCCTCCCGGGGGGCAGGGGGCACAGTGCCCCCCCCCCCCCCCCTTTTTCAGATACCCCCAAAATGCCCCTTTTTACATAGGAAAAGTGCCCCTTTTATTTTGTAAGAAGTGCCCCTTTTACATAGGAAAGGTGCCCCTTTTACTTTGACAAGTGCCCCTATTACTTAGTAAAAGTGCCCCTTTCCCCTTTTCACCTCTGACGAGTGCCCTTTTTATTTTTGACACGTGCCCCTTTTCCTTCGACATGTTCCCATTTTCCTTTGCAATAAATGTTCATTTTCCATTCTCATGAATCTTGAAATTATCTTGAATAAGTGCCCTTTTTAATATCTAGTAAGTGCCTCTTTTCAGGTACGAGAAGTGCCCCTTTTCACTTTTAATAAGTGCCCCCTTCACCTCTGATGATTGCCCTATTCAAAACTGAGAGGTGCTCTTTTTACTTTGACAACTTCCCCTTTTTACCTTTGTAAGAAGTGCCCCTTCTCCTTTTAATAACTACCCCTTTTTTAAACTCGGATGAGCGCACCTTTCATTTTAACATGTGCCCCTCTTATTTTCTAATAAGTGCCCCTTTTCCTTATGATAAGTGCCCCCATTAAAAAGAGAGAGCTCCTTCCCCTTCTCATAACTTCCCCTTTCCCTTTCTAATAAGTGCCCCCATTAAAAAGAGAGAGCTCCCTCCCCTTCTCATAACTTCCCCTTCCCCTTCTCATAACTGCTCCTTTTAAACATCTGAACGGTGCCCCCTTTTCATTCAACAAATGCACATTTTCCTTTATTATAAGTGCCCCTTTAACATTTTCATAAGTGCCCCTTTTCATATCTGGTCAGTGCCCCTTTACAACTCTGATAATTCCCCTTTTAATAATGATACGTGCCCCTTTTCCTTTCTAATAAGGGACCTATCCCCTTTTCACCTCTTATAAATGACCCTATTAAAATCTGAAGGGTGCCCCTTTTCCGTCAACAAATGCCTATTTCCCATTTTCGTAAACGCCTCCTTTTCATCACTGGTGAGTGCCTCTTTTCAAGTGAAAAAATGCCTCATTTTCACCTCTTATAATTATCCTTTGTACTTATACACGTGCTCCTTTTCTTTTCTAATAAGTGTCTTATCCCTTTCGATAATTGTCCCCTTTTCATGTAATCATTAAACGTGCCCCTTATTTAAAGCGACTAAGAGCAGTTTCCCCCAAAGTTTGCTCGCTGCGCTCGCTCGCATTTAAAGATTATATAATTATGTTACTTATCAAAGGTCTTTTCAGTCTTCCGTTATGAGAATGTGCTTATAACCCCATCACGATTGGCTTTTTTCCTCTTTATAAGATGTAATTTTTCGCACTGCGACCTCACAGATCTTTACAAATTTTCTCGCTCGCTTCGCTCGCTCGTAAATGCATATTCAGACATCACACCCAACTGTAAAGTTTGATGCTTAAGCGATATCTTGTATGATGTATGAAGAGAAACAAATATTGAAATCATCCCTGATAATGTAATCACAATGTAGGGGTATATACCAATGTCTAAAAATTGTATATTTTCGCTTTGAGATTTCCCACTGTAGGTGCCCTTTTTTCCAGAAAGTGCCCTTTTTTGTTGGTGCCCCCCCCCCCCCCACTTTGAAAGTCGCTCGGCCGCCCCTGGGCGGAGTATAACAATAACAAATAATGCAGCCCGTATTGTTTCAAATGCAAGAAAATATGATCATGTGTCTCCCTTGTTTAAACAACTACACTGGTTACAACGAAATGTTGACTATATAGTTTAAAAAACTAAATTTTCTTTTCTAAATACATGACAATTATATAATAAAATGTAATTATGAAAGTTAATTGACCTCTCTTTTTAAATTATTTGTTTTTATTGGTGTCACTGTATATTTTGGTTATGTCTCGCACTCAAGTGCGGAACAGCTATGGTGGCTCGATACCTTTGGGATACTTTTATCTGATAACTCAAAGGAAATGAAATTAAGTGTGAACTGAAAGTAAATCTTTGACGAGGGAATTGTTTGCACTATAGCAAAATCAGCAAAAAATATGGGCTTTTGATGAAAAAATAAAACTGAATCTGAAATGATATGGAACTAAACAAAACGAAAATATTATACATATTATATCAAATAAATAAGGCACATATCCTTGAGATGCCTCTATAGACTTCTCAAAGTCCGGATCGCGGGCCATGTCAATCCGGACCGAGTCTCGATCTGTTTTTACTTCCGATTTTTTGTAACCAAAAAAGGCCGGGGGCAGAATCCACCGTCCATCACGGCCTCCTATTTTTTGATACGTATCAGTGGCGGATTCAGGGGTGGGGCCGAAACGGCCGCGGCCCCCCTATTGGCGGCGCAAAAAAAAGGGAAGGAAAAAAGAGGAAGAAAAGAGGATAAAAAAAAAAGGAAAAGAGAAAAAAGGGGAAGAGAAAAGAAAGGAGAAGAGAAAAGAAAAGAGAAGAGAAAAGAAAGAAGAGAAAAAAAACAGAGAGAGAGAGAGAAAAAAAAATTAAAAGCAGAAACAGCCGCGCTCCCCCCCCCCCCCTATTGGCGTTGCAAAAAAAAGGAAGGAAAAAAGAGGAAGAAAAGAGGATAAAAAAAAAGGAAAAGAGAAAATAAGGGAGAAGAGGAAAGAAAGGAGAAGAGAAAAAAAGAGAAGAGAAAAGAAAGAAAAGAAAAGAAACAGAGATGAGAGAGAGAAAAAAAAGAGCACTCTTTGGTGAGAAATTTGAATAGGGCACAATGTTTTAGATAGATGTCTTTTGAATAGAAACTATATTATACTCAACAGTCAAATTTTTAATTAACGGTAGAGGGGCCGCTTCACAACTCTTATTTTGCCCTTCATTTGGCTTCAGCTCATACCAACTCGCTTGAGTTTGTATTTGAGGTCATGTTGGTAGTAAAAGATATATAGCGGAAAGAACGTACATATTGGCCTTCGGGATTTCCTAGATTGCATAATGTCAGCATTCAACATTGCAAAACCTCGCTTGGTCGCTATACGCCCCCTCGCCCAATAACAAAAAAATATGATTTGACACTCCGCCCACGCTCCCGGCCGTGATTTATCCATGGTTGGTGTAATAATTATGTTTTTTTTTTTTCATTTCTTCTAACATTATTGTGTGCTATCACAATCATGATTGTTTCATTTTCCATTTAAAGCAGGGGCGTAGCCAGGGGCGGGGGGCAGTAAGAGGAAAAGGGAATTCAGACAAGGATTAAAAGTCGAGAATGGAACAACGAATCATCTTCTTTCTCTAATAATTTCATTAGAGGTCAAAGCTTCCGCGCTTCACGACGGAGGGGGTGGGAAACCAAATTGAGACAGGGAAAAAGGGTCGAGAATGGTACAACGCGTCGTCTTCTTTCTCTAATAATTTCATTAAAGGTCAAAGCTTACGCGCTTTGCGCAGGACGGGGGGGGGGGGGACACAATGCACCTCGAATGCATATCGATTGCCGTCGGAATCTATTTCATTTTTTTTGTACTAAAAGAACCCATCTGTATTCCACTTGGAATACAGATGGGTGACATGCGTATCAACAACATCAGATATGCAGATGACACCACCCTGATGGAACTCATATTTGAAAACCTCCAAATCTCAACAAATGAACTGGAGAAGGCTTGTAGAAGATGGGGTATGAAAATCAATGCAACAAAATGCAAAGTCATGACAGAGGATCATCAAGATATTTCACTTAACAACACCAACATTGAGAAAGTGGAAAAATTTGTCTTTCTCGGCAGCACAGTTCCATCCATAGAAGAGGACGTGAAGAGACGTACACGACTGGCTGCTTGGGCATTCGGAAGACTGAAAAGTGCCATCTGGTCCAACCAAGATATTTCTAGGAGTCTCAAAGTCAGGATCTACAGAGCACTTATCCTCCCTATTGCCACATATGGAGCAGAATCCTGGACTCTCCGAAAATCTGATAGAAATAAGCTTGAAGTATTTGAAATGAGGTGTCTCCGGACCATCCTTGGAGTTCACCTAATGGACAAGATTAGGAACGAAGAGATCAGGCAGAGACTGAACATCCCAAGCACCATATGCGAGGAAATAACCAAACGTTGCTTGAAATGGTTTGGCCATGTTTTACGCATGCCGCATCACCGCCTACCATACCAAGCATTCCAAAATGACTTTAATGGACGCAGACCTCGGGGACGCCCTCCAAAGAGATGGAAGGACCAGGTTCAATACGATGTGGGATTATCCACACAAGAGGCAGAGCAACGAGCCCAGGACAGATCAGACTGGAACATGATTTCTCGTAGGGGAGCAAGGGGACACACCGTCCTATGCACCTAAGTCAAAGTAAGTCAAAAGAACCCAACAGGAATGCACTTAGAGTGCCGTCGGAATCTTTCGATTGCCGCTCGAATGAGGTTCGATGCAGTTGGAACGTCCCAACTAGGATGCAAAAATGCATCTCGATTGCCGCCGGAATGCAGTTCGAATGCCGTCGGAATCTTTAGATTGCCGCTCGAATGTGGCTTGAATGCAGTTGGAACGTCCCGACTATTTCTTTTTAATCAACACCCTTCCTGCCCCCCCCCCCCATTCTTGAGCAAAAAAGTACTTTTTTTTACGGGGGCGGGATCGCGCGAATCCGCCAAACCCTAGTGCGTATACGGCCGGGGTTTGTACCATTCCTTGAATGGTGGAATCTTCACACATATAAATTGAAAGTTGCATAATTATATACCACTTGCATCTTCGAAAAGAATGATGATAAAAATATAGAAAATTAAAGACTCGTTGCCTTGCTTACTGTTTTTTCAAATTTTTTGGAAAAGTCATGAATACTTTGTGTAATTATTTACTCAATTGTAATTGTCTTCTTTCAGAGCAGTTTGGTTTTTGTGAAAATTATAGTACTGATTTGAGCATTGTGAACTTATCAAATAATATCCTACATGAAATTAATAATGGAATGTTTTGTTATTATCATAATTTATGGTGCCTCTTATTTTCTGCGTCGAAGCGCAGTCCTGGTCGTTCCGCCCTAGTCCAGAATCTGGCCTATTTAATTTTGATCTCCACCACCAACGCTAACCTCTCCCTACTTACTTGCTCCCAGCCGATGATGGCGTGATCATGAAATTAGGACGCCCAGGCTGGGCTTGTGAGCATAATTATGAGTTTGTTGATAACGCCATCTTCGACGGCTTGAATCAAGTGTAGGGAAATTATAAAGGACCGTGCAGATTCTGGACTAGTTCCGCCCCTGCATCTTTTCTAATTAGTTAAGTTTTTGAAGAACAAAACCTTCTTTCTGTTTTGGAGAGGGGGCGAAAGATGGTGTACACACGTTAAATGACATCATGTAATCAATAGCCCTATTTGAAATGAGGCCGAAATTTGCCATAAATCTAGATATGAACAGGGGGTTTCCCGGGTGTTCAATTATTGACAAAGCCTGGGAGCCCCCCCCCCCCCCCCCCCCCCCCACTCTGGAGGGACCACATTCGTGTTCCCAAAATCTCCGGCAAAGGGGTACCGTTTCGCCCGACAAAGTTCGGCCCGAGAATCGTAAAAAAGGGGGTGTATTCGACTTTTAATCCGGAGATTTCTTTAAAAAGGGGGTTAAACTTTTTTTCTTCTTCGATCTCTCTCTCTCTCTTTCTTTGGATTCCTGGGAAATCTAAAAAAGAGGATATAAAATATCAAAAAGGTTTTTTTTTTTGTTCTCTCTCTCTCTCTCTCTCTCTCTTTGGACTCTGAGAAATTTTAAAAGGGGTTATAAAATATCTTGAATATCATAGATAGGGCGGCAGGCGCGTATGAAGGGGGGGGGGTCGGGGTTGGGGGCTTAACCCCCCCCCCCCCCTCAATTTTTGTTTTGGCTGATTCGTTGCGAGTATTATATAAGAGATGCTTTTTAGAGTAAATAATATACCTGAACCTAGCCGTGTTTTACAGATTTGTCAAACATCGATCTGGATCTTCAGGCCAGACTCGAAGCTAATAATTATTTCTAACAATCCGCCCTTGGCATATCATACATCGTTGATTTATGGAACGCCGAGCGTACCGTAGACAAAGTGCACCGAAAACAAGACAAACATCACTTTCTAAAAAATGTCTTCTCACAATACCATTCTCCCAAGACAACTTCAAACTTCATTATTACAAGCTTCATCGCGTTTGTATGAATCAGCATGTCCAAACTTGGGTAGAAGTGTAATGTGAGTATTGGTAGCGTGATTCCTGACATATTTACAAAGTTGGTTCGTCTGTACCTAACGACTGTATGGTCCCACACCTAGTATTTCATGCAGGCTTGCAGTGCATTGTAGATCTGACATTAGAACTTAGACTAGAGTTAGAAAGTGATGCCGTGGGCTCATGGCTAATGTTAAACAACTAACACCTGATTGCATATATATATATATATATATATAAACTAATAAAATACTATTCACAAAAACGTAATTGTTTGTATCTTTTTTTAAATGTATTCAGAGTTGGGCTTGCTTTAACAAGTGAGATATTGTTGACCAATAGGAAGTTCAGTGTTTGAGTCAAGAAAGAATATATACTGTACCACTGCCATGTGTACTATGGTGTAGTGTATAAATGTAGTTCACTTTGGATTTGAGTCAAGTCACTTTACAATTGACTATGTTTATAATCCCCCTTTGGATTGCATCCCAGAATCTGGTTTTGAAGAATTCTACTGAATTCCAGGCAACAATGTTTGGGGAAGTAGATTCAAGACCTGAATGTTTCTTTGAAAGAAGGCGAAACAATAGGCATCCATGTTGTGGATCTTGTGCAGTGATTGCCATTGTAGTTCACTCTACAGGTCTGTTCCATATTTTCAGATGACAAATCTTGTTCCTTAGTTCTGAAGTCCCTCTCGTTTTTGTATGTGTTTGCTTAAAGATTCAGAATTCAGAATCAAATGAAACTTACACTGAATGTTCAGGATCACACACATAAATGCCATTTGCCAAACAATTTTGGTAGGAAATGTATACTGGCTGAGTAATGACCATAGAAAGATAAGGAAATCAAGGTAAGTAGGCCCGACGCCATTTGTGTAGTCCATCTTTCTGTGTACAGTGCTTGTTACTTTACCAAGACTGGGCCAAATTTATTATGATTTTGATGACTCCAGAACCTTGCAGTGCACACCAATACTTACATGCTACACGATCAACTTTTTCTGATCCATTCCACACCTTTTTTTCACAATGCAATCACATTACCAGAACTCACCTTTATCTTTAATCTTGTGACTTGTGTCTTCAAGGAGATATTTTGTATACAAGTGTTTTAATTCTTTTACTGTCATACAATACTTTTAAGGGAGGTTATTCCAGAGAATTTGGTCATTATAATACATATCTTTTGAGTGACTGCTTTCATATGTTTTGTTTATTGTTATTTGTTTATTTTAGATCCAAGGTACATGAATTTACAGCAGCTAAAAAGGATGGTAAGGAGTATGCTTTATAACCTATATTGTACAATATTTCTCTTTTTAGTGACTTTCTCTCTCTCTCTCTTTCATATCCCTACAGGTCATTTAATTGTTTATTTGTCTACTCTTTCTATGTACTGAGAAAACTAATGAAGCAAATGAAATTAAAAATCCATTTGGAGTTTCTCCAAATTTGATTATATTATTTCAAAAGTGAGGCAATGTTGTCTCTTGCATCTCACCATCAAGAAGTCATTTTCTGAGTCCAAATGGCAGCCAATTAATGAAAAGACAAAATATTATATATTAGACAAAATAATGTATCTGACCATTTTGGAAACTGTTATATCTTCCTTTTTTCTCAATCATAAAATGTGTTTAAGTTGCAGATTTTACTATTTTCCATGTTAAATAAATGAATTTTTACATATCGTACTACTTAATAGAGGTGGTCATTCCCTCCTGTAGACACAAATATTAGTCTCTGTTGGACCAGTTTATTTTGCCAAATTTAAGTTATGATTGCATTAGCCTTGCATATGATAGTAGAGGTGATATTTATGAATGTTTTGGTGTATTGTCTTCCAAGCTACGAGACAGCACTGCATACACTGCCATAGTCCCTTGCATCCAGGTGTGTGTAGGGTCAAGCTGTATCCCAGGCCTCGGATAACAAGAGAGATTGAACGTCTGAAGAAGAGACTTGACAATCCCAGAGATGGCTCTCTCAGTTCTACTCAGAAGAAGAAGGTCAAGAGATGGATGAATAGCAAGAACATCTTGGTGAGTCTCAGAGAATCAAGCGCTAGCTCACACCGTAGTGGATATAAGGGAGTTTTTCTTTTGACCTCAACCCCCCCCCCCCCAAAAAAAAAAAAGAGTATGAAAGGAGGAGTATGAAGCGAAAAGAATAGATTTGAGATTCTGAGCCGAAATGTGGGATTCATTTTAACAGTGTACATGTATCCAGCATTTTCTGATGTTGAGAATATAAGTATTTGCTGAACTCACAAACCAATATCATGACAAACTTTATAGCAGCTGTGAAAAACATAATGTTATAATGTTACCTTCACAAAATCATGACTGGTCACTATAAATTTGCTGTTCATATCTTGATTCAATAACATCAGTTGTTTTACCACATCCATATATTTTATGTCTTTCTTTCACATTTTCCCCTTTCATCCTATATAAATTTAATTATCAGGTTATTTGCTGCAGCTTTTGCAAGAAAACTAATAGAATTCCATGTGCCAAACGATCTGAAAGACCACAAAGTTTAGAAAGCCAAGCTTCACAGAACGTCTCGTTTCAAGAGTAAGTTGAAGTAATATTTATAAAAATGATGAAAGCAGTATGTTAACCTACCAGCATTATAGAATCATTCATACATACTTTGTGTGTCTGTATACACATCATAAACATGAATTAAATATATTAAAGAAACATCGAAATTTAAAAGGTTATGAGCAGGTGTTTGTCAAGGTCTTGCTGAAAATGTGTTTTATTGTGTATATGTTCAAATCTGTAATAATTTTTATCTTAATAAATTTGTCTTTAAAATCTCATTTAATCTGTTTTCTCTGTTAATGCTACTGTTCTCCTTTGTAAAACCTAACTCCAAATTGTAGTTATTTTGAGGTTTGTAACATGAATCCACCTTTATCCATGCATTGTAATTTGTGACATAATTCCATTATGCAAATCAGTAAACTTCATTGGTGGTGAATAATGTGATCTAAAAAATGCAGGCATTTCAGAGCAAACTTTTTAGAGTCAGGAGTCTCCTTTTTTCATACTAGTTCTGCGTCCAGAAAACGTAAAAGGAGATCAGAATCCACTGATCCACTCTCAAAATTGGCAACGTCATCGACTGGGGGAAATTTTGTGAGGTGAGTGTGGAGTAAACATTTTTGCTCTATATTTTTAATCCATTACTGGACATGGTGAAGGCATTCAGATTGTAAATATTTTTAAGGTTACATAGGGCACCTGAATAATAATCTAATAATAATCTGGATTTATATGGTACTTTATATGAAATACTATCTCTAAGCGCTTTACAGATATCTTTATCCCGGACATCGGATTCATTCACGCACAATATGCACCATCTCCGCTCCCTGGGGTATATGCCTACCATATGGTCATTGTGAGGGCACATGGCAATCACTAACACAAAGGCTTCTGTCATCCTGCCAGGTCCCCATTTCTCTCCTGGGTATGGAGTGGCAAATGTAGATAAATGCCTTGCCAAATACATATACTGTCTATTCTAGGACATTATGATGTCTTTTCTTCCTTACAATGGTGTATATATTATACCATTTGCTGACTGCTAGAAGGTCCTTGACTCTATGTCAAAGTGTACTAGGTAATAGCCTTCTAGCTCTTAGCAGATGAAGCTCAGGAATATTGAATTCTGTTTGATATGCCTTCAGATAATTGCTTGATTACATCTTTGTTTTATCACTTTTATGAATCCTGTCCCAAAATTCCATATGAAAATTGTGTATGTTTGGCAAAGAAGTCATGATCATGTAAGATACAATAACCAAAATATTATTAAGTGTCTGATTTTTTGTTTTGTTCTTTTCACCTCTAGTCCACCATCCAAAAAGCAGAAAAGACAGTCTTCCTCAAGTAGTACCTCACTAACATCATCAACACCAGGAAGATTAGTTCATAGGTGAGTTATCTGGGAATCATCAGTAATCAAATTTAGGAAATATTTGTATGATTTACATATCTTTTTGTAAGAACAACTTTGTTTATAATCCATTCACATTTACATTGGTGAAATGACCCATAACTGTTTTTGTGTGGTATTTAATTTTATTCCTATAATGCAACAAGCTATTTCAACTTTAAACTAGGTAGATATATATAATAATAATAATAATATGTCTTGTTTATCCAGGGTAGCCTCATCAGTATTCATACTGTTCTCCCTGAAGGCCCTGCAATCATATATTATAGTTTTCAATGTGACATTTTATTCATGTTGAATAACTTCAATACATTATATTGAGATAAGAAGTGAATGTGTGCAAACCATTTTGCAAATCTGCAGGAATGACTGATCAAATAAGAGAAATGGTTGATCTTATCTTCTTCTTTTTTTACTTCATTCAATTTCTCTTTTATTTTCTTCCTTTTCCATTCAATCCTCCCTCTCTTATCCTTTTGTTATTTATTTTTTTCTCTTATTCTCTTTTTCATTCTTTTTTGTTCTCTTTCTTTTGATGACTCAGTATTGATGCACCACACCCCAGCCCATCAGGAAGATCAAGTAGAAGTGCTAAGAAAGACAAATACAGACAGCTCCAAACCATGTTGAAATCAGCCAAACAAGAGCAGCATACCAAAAATCAATCGCCTCTTTCAAAATTTCTTACATCGTTATAACTGTTATAACTTAATATGTGTCCATTCCCTTCATTGAATGGCTCTTATGTACATGTATATGAACATGTGATGCATCAGTTGAAAAAACACCCATAAAGCTTAGCCCATCGAACTTACAATGATTTGATTTTGAAAGAATTTGTAATAGCATATCATGTTAACATTCAAACATGTGAGATTGTAATTATTGTGGTTCTGAATAGTCATATGCAGGGGCGTACGCAGGATTTTCTCGAGGGGGGGGGGTTTAAAATTTGAAAATCAAGCCAAAAATTTCGCAATGACTCAGCCAGACGCTGAATAAGCGGGGGGGGGGGGGGGGGGGGGGGGGGGATCAGATCACAGGTGGATAGTAGGTTTATATGTGTCTCATATCCAACAACAGAGCAAATGTGATTGCTCTTCAGAATAATGAAGTTTATTTATTTATGAATTCATTTATTCACATATATTTATACAGGAACAAAAGATCAGTATGTTACTGTTCTCCATCCTGATATCAAATATGAACAATAATGAATTCAAAAAATGTGCTCACCCACTTTGCTTGTTTATTTTTTTAATTTCTCTGGGAATAAACTTCAAGTGTATATCATTAGGAGCTTTTATCTCAGTTGTTATTGTGTGTAACCCAACTGACAAAAATAGTGCAATCATGATTTTTCATTTAAGGACATGAACAATAGAAAGGAAGAGATTTCTCATTTGAAATAGCAAAATACTATTTAGGGCCTCTGCTTTTGACAAATTTTGGTTTATTTCATGCAATGTAAGAACATAAGTTTCTTTCAGTTCTTATAATAAATCTCAAAATCTCAAAATCAATGCACTTATGTCCATTTATCTACTTCCATTTGTCTGTTGGTTTGTTCCATATGTCTCATGGTTGATGATTTGATTCATAAACTGAGTTTTCAGTTGTCGATTCCACACCCTTTCTTTCACAATGCATTCGCATGACCAGAACTCAACTTTATCTCGAAATAACACAGATATTTACAGATAAATATGTAAGGCCTTTAAAAAAAAAGATGTTGTATTGCCCTTTAGGTGCCAAAACATGGGTTGATGGAATGTTTTTTTTTTTTTCAACTTCCTTTTTGGGTTTCATTTTTGAATGCTTTAATACATTTTATTTCTAAACAAACGATTTAAAAAAACAACACTTTTTATAAAGCCGACCGTAAGTTTCAAGATTTTTGGGTCAGTCGCAAAGGAAAATATAACCTCTTTTTTGTTTAGGCCTAACCCTCATTCTCTCCTCCCGGTATAACTAATTTGGGGTGTGCAGGTGGACCACAACACCGGGGTTTTCCCCTTCTCTCATACTAATAGTGCAGTGGATTTTTTTTCACTTTCATCTTTTGCTTTTTAAACCCTTGGTTTGTTAATATTATGGAAAACTTGCTAAATGACTGGAGTTAAATTAGAAAATAAAAAATCTGGAGCCCCAGAAACTTAAGGGTTTTAGGATTTTAACTACGGACAGATGAACATATTTTGATACCTTATTTGTGGCATATGGTATTATCTGGTAGGTCACTAATTGGTGTGGGGCCAGGGGACAGAGCCCCCAGGAGCTCAGGGGTTTTAGGCATTAAATTACCGTCAGATGAGCATCCAGGTGCCTGACTTTGGGCCCTAGGTGAAATCCAGGGGGCAGAGCCTCCGGAAGCCCAGGGGTTTTAGGCATTAAATTACCGTCAGATGAGCATCCAGGTGCCTGACTTTAGGCCCTAGGTGAAATCCAGGGGCAGAGCCCCTGGAAGCTCAGGGGGGTTTTAAGGCTTTTAGTCACTGTCAGATGAGCAATTTTTTTTTTTTTTGCCCGGAAATTGGAAAATTACTTCGCAAGATATTTAGTTCAGTGGCTTGGGGGGGGGGGGGGGGGGGGGGGGGAGGAAAACACCGAAATCTGACTCTCTTAATTTTCATAAATGTATTACATGTAATTAGGAATAATATGTTTATTTACTTATGTACATTCCATTCCATGCTCTCTCTCTCTTCCTTTCTCCCAACCTCTCTCTCTTTCTCTACTCAATTCGCTCTATCACTCTCACTTTCATGAGCCATATACCTTCCCCTGCTCTTGTATATCTCCTGCTAGTACATCCTTTCACTTAATGTACATAAACGAACGCAATATAATTCTGCTGTATTGTCATTATGTAACTGATTTATTTACTATCTTTCGTAATACTATTGTACATGTAATACTATCGTAATACTATTGTACATCACTGTACCTTTATAAATTGACCCTTTCAGCCTTGTGCTGTTGGTCGATCATTATATACCAATAAATAAATAAAAAATAAATGACATTCTATAATCTGATATTTCTTTTTTTGCCATTTTAAGAAGTCTTCATTCATTTCATTTCATCTCATTTGTTCATTAATTTTCATCATCATTACAATATTATACTTTTTTTTTTTAATTACATGCAATCATACATATTAACAGTAGCAAAGACACCAAATTTACAGAAAATGAGAAAAGGGGAACTAAAATAAGGCCAAAGGGCCTTGTAAAATAAGTTCCCTTAAAATATAAAATTATCATTTTTTTTCTTCAATTTATTCTGTTACTGAAAGACATGTAAACAAATTAAACACAAACAGTGTATAAAAAACCAAAAGAAATAAGCCAGAGGAACAGCTAAGTGTAAAATATGGTTATGTTTTACGTCAGTATTTGGACAAATAATAAATGTTCAGATATTTTTTGAATAATCTTTGGTTATTGCAAAGGGGAATATATTTTGGTAATGAATTCCAAATCACCGGGAGATTACACCAAGGAGATTTTTCTTCATACATAAACATAGTTTTCCAACGATGAAAATTGGTTCGATTTCTCTTGTTATAATTATGAATACTAAGATTTGTAGGAAACATGTTCGAAATTGTATATGGAAGAAGATTATGAAAATAAAGGAACCCTAGCACTGCTGTATGATACTGGTATAAATCAAATTTTTCAAGGTTTTGAGATTGATAAAAAGAGGAGCGGAATGAGCAAGATAATGGCTACTGGTACAAATATGCAGTACCGGTACTTTTTCTGTAATTTAAATAAGATGTTCATTTTTAGTTTGCCACAATTATACCCCAGACACTGACACAATATGATAAATGTGGTAATACAAGTGCATTATATAATGAGAACAGAGCATGATCGATCTGAAAGATAGTCTTAACGTTTGTTTAACTCAAAGTATTTAGATGTTTCATTAACCTCTTCCAAAAAGCATTTTTAGATCTTTTTGCTCTTAAATCATATGGTACACTATTCCATATTTTCATGCCCATAAATGATATCTAAAATTGACCTTGTGTGGTTTTGCATTTAGGCAGATTTAGTTGTCCGTGTTCTTTGCGCCTTGTGCTATATCTGTGCTCTATTTATTATCTGACAGTATTCAATTAAGGAGTGAGGAAGATTGCCAATAACTTATAGATGAAGGTTGAGACAGATAGGAAATGAAGGTTGTAATTATTGAAAAAAATTGTGTCTTTAGGAACAGGGGTTCTGAATGGGTACCTCTTGGGCTAAAGGTTATTGCTCTCATCGCCATTTTCTGGGTAAGGAAAATACAATTCAAATTGGTTTTGTATGTGGTTCCGGATACCTCAATTCCATACAAAATATGTGGCTGGATTAACGCTTTGTATAAAAGCACTTAAATGTTCTGTGGAACATAATGCCTTATTCTGAACAAAATTCTGACTTTTTAACGAATCTTTTGATTTACTGTACCATTTTTATATGCTCAATCCATGAGAAATACTGATCAATCTGTTGGTCTTTGTGTTACGATTGGTGCATGTTTATCACATATCTCTTGAAATAACTTGTAAAACATGTCATATGCTAGAGTGCCGTAATGGCTGCCTTGCTAAAGCCAGGGTAATAATCAGGGCAGCGCCAAGAGCGTCAGTGTGACGGACATGTGAGCTATAGAAGAAGCCACCATTATCATTATTATATGCTTTATTCATGTCTTTTTGTTTGAAAATAAAATCCCATCTTGATATTGATAATTCATCCTGAAGCTTTTTATCTTCATAATTTGTAAAGCTACAGTAGACAATTCTCCTATTTTATGTATCATTACTAGTAACTGTACATTGCTCAAAAATTACAATGATAGAAAAATGGTCAGATATATCAGTTTCTATTACACCTGCATGAATTTTTTGAAGATTTAAATTTGTATATGCATGATCAATCAAAGAAGAAGTCAGTTTTGTAATCCTTGTGGGGGTTGTAATTAATTGCTCTAATCCTACGCAATGCAATGCAGTTTTGAATGTTCGACCTTCTGATCAGTATCTAAAAGATTGATGTTAAAGTCTCCCATCAAAATGCAATTTACCTTTTCAGATGTGAAGTAACATTTAACAACTTATCTTGGAACTCATCCACACATCAGTATTTGGTTTTCTGTATATTATACCTACAATTACTCTTTTCTTGTCAATACACATTTCAAGCCAAAGGCTTTCTGCATGTGATACTTCAAAATTTAGAGTGGGATATTTTAAAGATGAACAGATATATGCCCCTGCTCCCGTCCCCTTGAATCTTTTCTACACTTAACCTCTAAGGTAAACTCAGTAGTGACGTGTTAGACACATTCCAACCTTCTGAGCAGGAAATTATATCAAATTTAGAATCTAAGTTATCATAGAGAAGGGATATTTCATCCTAATTTTTCTGTAGTGACCGAATGTTCACATGAAACAAACTTACTGAATTTGGAAAGAGTTATCTAAAGCTTTTATCAAATATATCTGGACATAAATTGTAAGAAGAAACTACAAAGTTAGAGTCTTCGTGTTCCATTTATTGGTTATTTAGGACATGATATTCAGACACATCTTAATTAAGCCTAATCAATGAGATGAAGCTGGAACTCTCTGTACTTGACATCGTCCAGGCCTACATCTAAGAGGTCATTCGGGGTGCAAAGCACCACATGGCTACTGAGGTCGGGTCAAAGGTCAGCCCATCTTGTCCCAAGACAATGCCATGGAGCGTTTGATCTTTCTTCAATCTGTAAAACATTAGAATCAACAGTTATTATACAGGAATATGATTGGAACGATACATTTTTGAGAAGAAAAAAAACAACTAAAATCAAATAATTGTAATGGAAGTCAATATCAGGTATAAGATCAGACACAAGGAAATGAAACAGAGAAATCAGTTATTTCTGTTTGTTCAATATTTCCTTCGTTCGGGTGAAAAAGACTCCTTCTGTTGAAAGTACATAAGAGGAAACTCATATTACAAAATATTCATCATTAGTTTCTGTGAATTGATATTGCCTAACAGATTGAGATGAGCATACATTACAACCTCTAGCTAACCCTTTAATAGGATTGCTAGTAATGTTTGATCTTCTTGGTAATGTAAGTAATGATAATTCCATTAGTAATATTGATTTTTCTTGAAGTAATCTTGATTTGTGTACAGCGCTTTGAAACTTTTATGTCACAAGCGCTATATAAATTTTTTGTATTATTATTATTATAGAGAAAGATGCTATGAAGTGAAATTATGTCACTTTAGTCATCTTACAATACTTTAATGTCATGATGGTACTTACTTGGCAGTAGCCTGGGCTAGGGCAGGTAGAGGAGCTACACTGCTCACAGGTTGAGTTGGGGATCGGTCCTTGCGTGGTGATCGGTCCTGTCTTCCTAATCTCCCAGTCAGGCTAAGCATCACTCTTGACATGTTAGTGTAGAAGAGTGACCAGGTGCTGGAACCAGGCTCTATGTCAAACTCTAGAAGGGGGTTAAAGTATAATTGATGAAATACACATGAACCATTTTAATAAGGACAAGGTTTGTAAGCAATAGTAATTCTGAATTAGCTTTTAACTCTAATAGAATGTCTACTCTATAGTAATAATTTTTCAAGGCCCTATACACTGCGTCCCAGAAAAAATGAAACCAAGAATTATAGATATTTTATCATAACTTAGTCACAATTATAATATTAAAAATGACACATATTTGTAAAGCTTAGATCCTCCTCTTTCATTTGATGCAACTCATATGATATGATGCATATTTCACTTCTTTCAAAGTTCAAATCAATTGATAGACACCAAAACCCTCTGACGCAATGATAGATCGAGATACACCTTATCATATAATTTCAACCAATCAGTGAATAATAATCTATGTATGAGGTATACAGTGCATCCCAGAAAAAACAAAATCAATAATTATCAATGTTTTATCATAACTTAATCGCAATTATAATCAATAAATGACTCATATTTGTAAAGCTTAGAACCTCCTCTTTCATTTGATGCAACTCATATGATGCATATTTCATGCATGAGTGATTAAAAACAATTTGAAGACAGGAAGACAGGATTATTAACGTATTGTTTTGTCCCCACCCCTTACAACCTTAAAAAAAAGCATTTACAATAAATTACATAACATGCCCCCCCTAAAACAGAAAAACTCACGACAACAAAAAGAAAAACATTAATAAAACTTATTTACAACATGATGCTATGAAGAATCAAAAAGGCTTTGTAATACGAAAGAAAAGAAACTTGAAAAACTGACTTATCAAGAAATAAACATAGACACAACAAGATCTAAAGTTTTCTCGAGGTGCCATTGACGTTTATTTGGAACACTTGGTGAATTTAAAATGTTTTAGATATAGATATTTGTTTACATTAAAAATTATTGTTACACAAAATGTTTCGTTTAGATTTGTTAAACGATGCGAGCATGTTTGGGCATGCATTCCTTATTTCATTTCATTTTTTTCTTTACTGCCGATCAATGCTTAAGTCATGTATCAAACAATACAAATGAACAAAATGGCATATGACCATAGTACGCGCATGACCATAGTACGCGCGTGACCTCAGTTCGCTATCTCAAAAAATCTAAAAGATTTTGAAAATCTGATATCACCAACAGAAAGAGGAACATAAAATTACCCAGAGATGAAATTTTCTTTGGAATTGGGTGTGAAATTATGAAAATATTGACTAATTTTGCAGTCATTTGAATCCGTTCCGAAAAATTATTCACTTAGGCCCCCCAAAAAACTTGTTTGGTTGTCCTCGATTGCTTTTCTGGAGTAGAGACGGGCGGGCGGATCTTTTTTTCTTTTTTTTTTCTTTTTCTTTTTCTTTAACCAGCCGTTAGGAAAACATCTCATTTGAGCTCTGCTCACCAGTTCACCACTTTTCCTGGTGCTACCATAATCTGATAGGAGCACTGATCACTGATAAAGGGATTACCAGTAGGGTCCATGGGGAGAGAGACAGCGGTCAATCATAGCCTAGTTACTGATAAAGGGATTACCAGCTGGTATCTGATATCCAATCCAGATTCATAGTCTTCTCATCGCAGACCCTACACCTATATTGATAATAGGCCTGGATTCAGTGTGTCTAAAGTCTCACTTGTTATTGATTTTTTAGCAAGTACTAGCTATTTAAGTTTCTTTTACGTATAGAAGAGGACATTGATGTGCTTCGCAATGGAAAAATGCAGAAGGAAAATATAAATGGAGGATAAAATAGGAAAAGACGGGTGATAATAAGGAAAGATGGAAATGGAGGGAAAGAAGGAAGAGAAAATAAAGAATAGCATAAGGAAAGATAGAAAAGGAAGATAAAAAGTTTTTAAAAAAATACATAAGGAAAGATGGAAACAGAAGATAAAGAAGGTTAGAAAAAAAGAAATACATGAGAAAAGATAGAGAGAATAAAACGAGAGGAAAATAGAGGAATACATATAAGGAAAGATGAAAATTAGAAAGATGAAAAAGATAAAATTAGGATCAAACGACACGGCAAATTTTTAAGAACACTAAAAGTAAATACACTGAAAAACGGCCGCTCAGAGTGCTGGGCGCATTCACGATACTGCATGTGGCAAGCTGTTCCAAATTTGGTGGTGGAGTATACGCCTTTAACAGAGGCTATATTTGTCGACCTTACCCGACTTTCAAATGGAGAATCTCACTTTTCGGTGAACGGGGAGCGAAATACCCCACTTGCGTGTCTGGTATTACAGACCGCTTTCTTTCCCGATATCTTCGCGTACACCAAGCTTCGTGAGAATGAGCAATCTCAGAATCTGGATGAATGTTGTCCTTGTAGTGTGAGGTTCATGAGTAATTATTGTTATAAACTACGACATATAGTATGGATGATAATGTTTGTCAAGTTTATTGCGGACTATGTCATCATCATAAAAGTATTAGATCAAGTAAAAAGGCTTCAATTAAAATAGTTAAACATGAACAGAAATCATTTCGATGTTAAGATATTTTTGACGCACTTCTCGTCATGATATTGAATTTATAACATACAACGAAACGAGGACATCATAATCATAAAGACGTTCGTTGTGCAGATATGTACATACAGTAACAACAAGAATAATGCGCTATAATCATGAGCAAAAAACCAAGAGGTTTCGGAGAAAGGTAAAAAATCATCCGAGCAGTTATTAGGCAATTCTTCAACAATCTTTAGTATAAAAAAGTTAAAAGGTTTAACTGTCGTGATAAAAATGAGCTTGTCATAGAGATTTATTATGCAAGTGAGCATCGAAATGTTTCTTTAACGAACTGCTATAAAATTTTGAAACCAAATACTCTTGTGCTGAAATTTCATATCCTCAGTATCGAGAAGCATAATGTTCCATTATGGTTGCATCAACTATTGTAAAATAGATTAAGTCCCTCGATGTCTTGTAATGCCCTAATCACTCAGCTAATTATTATCTTTCTAAAGGATTGTAGATTTGAGAGTTTCTGTTTCTTTCGTGTTACATGCAATGGACATTCAATCATCACGGCTTGATGTGTTGTGGGGAAATAAATATTGTATCCTATACGTATACAGATCATATTAAATCGAATAAAAGTTTGATGAAATTCAATTCTTATCTTGCCAGAATCATCACTTTTTTAAATACCGTCTTTATAACGAATTCCAAGAAATGTGACGTCTGCCTAAACAACCACCCCCCCCCCCTATTTCAAATTTGACGTCTGAGCCCCGGCCACTCCCTATTTTCAAATCCTTGATCTGCCGTTTGGGGGGGGGGGGCAAGAAATAGGCAATAAGAAAGTTGAGTAGACCTTCAGATTACGCACGGAATAAATGTAACGTAAACAATATTTACAACATTCTATTCTTGCTTTAATACCTCAAAAATATTTAACGGTCAAACCAACAAAATTTATGTTTTCCCGGCCTTTCCTTATAGGCCTAGGCCTACTCCATTTTTCTAAACGCGTTCGAGTTTATTTCGTCTATGCGAATAAATTTGGTGGTGGAGTAACGCCTTTAACAGAGGCTAAATTTGTCGACCTTACCCGACTTTCAAATGGAGAATCTCACTTTTTTGGTGAACGGGGAGCGAAATACCCCACTTGCGTGTCTGGTATTACAGACCGCTTTCTTTCCCGATATCTTCGCGTACACCAAGCTTCGTGAGAATGAGCAATCTCAGAATCCGGATGAATGTTATCCTTGTACTAGTGTGATGTTCATGAGTTATTAATTGTGAAAATGGGAGAAAGATAGATACAAAAAATAAAGAATAACATAAACAAAGTTATAACAAAATGATGAAAGGAGGTTTAAAACAAAAAATAAAATAAGGAAAGATGGAAACGGAAGAAAATAGAAGGTTTAAAACAAAGAATAACTTATGGAAAGATAGAAATGATGGTATTACAGACCACTTTTTTCCCAGATATCTTTGTGTATATAAACCAAGCTTTAATTGGGGTGGTCTTGGAGAATCCGAATTAGCAAGCTGGAGAATCTGGATGAATGTTATCCTTGTACTAGTGTGATGTTCATGAGTTATTAATTGTGAAAATGGGAGAAAGATAGATACAAAAAATAAAGAATAACATAAACAAAGTTATTACAAAATGATGAAAGGAGGTTTAAAACATAAAATAAAATAAGGAAAGATGGAAACGGAAGAAAATAGAAGGTTTAAAACAAAGAATAACTTATGGAAAGATAGAAATGATAGAAAAACAAAAAAAATGATAATGCGGAAAAATAATATAAAGGAAGGAAGAAATAAAGGATAACATACGGAAAGATGGGTGATAATAAGTAATTATTTTTAAAGAAAAATGGAAATGGAAGATAGAAGGTATGTAAAAAAAAAAATAACAAAAGGAAAGATGGAAAAGGAAGATAAAAGAAGGTTTAAACAAAATATATATTAGGAAAGTCAAAAATATGTGTTGAAAGGAGGAGAAAAATAAGGAATAACATTAGCCGGAAGATAGACCAAAGTTGATAATAACTAAAAACATAAGGAAAGACAGAGAAAATAAAGAACAGCATAAGGAAATACAGAAATGGAAGAAAAGAAAAGAAGAAAATACAGAACATAGTAAAGCTAAATGAAAAAAAAACGGAAGATGAATGAAGTAGAAAACAATTAGGAAGATACAAGAAGGAGCCACTAAAGAATAATGTAGGGAAAGATGGAAACGGCAGATAAAAGAATTTGGAGGTGGAATAACTATGGTGGCTCCTAAGGGACACGCAAACGCAAAATTCGACGTATACCTATGCAACAAATTTGTGGATTTTCACGTCAAAGACGTGAAAATCCACAAATTTGACGTATACCTTTGCAACAAATTTGTGGATTTTTACGTCAAAGACGTGAAAATCCACAAATTTGACGTATACCTATGCAACAAATTTGTGGATGTTCACGTCAAAGACGTGAAAATCCACAAATTTGACGTATACCTTTGCTTGGTAATTTTTTCGTTTTTTCTGTACTCAATGGCCCTGAAGGGACACGCAGACATGAAAATCTGCGTCCGATATTCATGTCTGCGTCTCCGAAAAGGGACACGCAGACGTGAAATTGGACGCAGATTTTCTTCTTCCTCACGTCTTGGACGTAAAAAGACAATAAAACCCTTGCATAGGCATACGTCAATTTTGTGGATTTTCACGTCTTTGACGTGAAAATCCACAAATTTGTTGCATAGGTATACGTCAAATATATACGTCTACGTCGGCCCAAAAGGGACACGCAGACGCGAATATTGGACGCGAATTTTTTTTCAGTAAGCTGAGCACCAGGAAGATAAGCGTACATGGGTTTGTTTGCCCCTAGTTACTGATAAAGGGATTACCAGCTGGTATCGAATACTCTGTCCAGATTCACAGTCTTCTAATTGCAGACCCTACACCTAACTTATTCAGTGTAGTTTGCAGGCACAAATCCTGGTCAGTCGTAAAAGAGAGTAAAGAGAGTCTGCACTATAAGACTACCATAGGCCATGTACTATAGCTGCTCCTGACACAACCAGTAAGTAGCTGGGCTAGGCTTCTCTCAAGGCACAATGATTTTTTGGGGGGTAAAGTGTCAAATTAGGGTCTGTGCTTGCAGACTATATTCAGTGTCTCTAAAGTCTCACTTGTTATTGTTTTCAGCAAGAATGCACTTGGCAATGGAATGGTACAGGTTGCAACGTACATGTTATTCATTCACTATCGTTATTATTGTTTGAGGACAATCAGATGACTAATAGAGGAAGTTATGAAACAATAACAATACAAAATTGGTACCATAAATTATGTGGACTTCATTTGTTTCATTAATTTAGTTACCAACAGCAAATAAATACCGTAGGCCTACAATGATTTTTTTGTTAAAACCATTTTCATGACAAAATCGTATAGAGAGATAAAAAAATTTAAAAAAGAAGAAGAGGGAAATAGAGGAGTGATAGAAACGGGAAAAAGAAGGTGAAGAGAGAAGGATATGTTAACAGAGAGCAGTAGAGTAATGTACGTGGCTCCTAAACATCATGTCTACAATTTCAATTCAGACAAAATGAGACAACAAAATCACAAAGAAATGCAAATGCATTGAATATAGCTCAAATTGTTGATTTTCTTCTTCTCTCATTACCAATCAATTACTTCTTTTTGTGCTTCTTGTTGCCATTTGCCCCCCTCCTATCACCCTTTTATTTTCTCTGTATTTCTTTCCATCTCTCTCTCTCTCTCTCTCCCCTTCTCTCGATCTTTTCCTTTCTCCCTCCCAATCTGTCTCTCCCTCTCTCTCCTCTTTCTATCCCAATCTGTCTGCCCCTCTCTATTTCTCTCTCCCAATGTCCCTTTCTCTCTTTCTCTCTCTCCTTTTTATCGTTTCTCACTCCCAATCTGTTTATCCCCCCTCCCCTCTCTCTCTCCTCTTAATTCATCTTTCTCCCAATCTGTTTATCCCCTCTCTCTCCTCTTTCAACGTTTCTCTCTCCCAATCTGTCTCTCCCCTAGCTAGCTCTCTCCTTTTCTCTCTCGATCTCTCTCTCTCTCTCTGTCGAAATTCGAATACACATAGTACAGAGAGAATGGGAAGGGAGGATGGACAGGAGAGATAGAGAGAGATGGAAAGAAATAGAGAGAGAATAAAAGGGTGTGATAGGAGGGGGGGGGGGGGGGCAATTGGCAACAAGATGCACAAAAAGAAGTAATTGCTTGGTACAGGCAAAACAGGCAAATGTCGAGATAAAGCTGTTTTAAACATAGCTGAACAAACCCATATACACTTATCTTCCTGGTGCTCAGCTTACTGAAAAAAAATTCGCGTCCAATATTCGCGTCTGCGTGTCCCTTTTGGGCCGACGTAGACGTATATATTTGACGTATACCTATGCAACAAATTTGTGGATTTTCACGTCGAAGACGTGAAAATCCACAAAATTGACGTATACCTATGCAAGGGTTTTATTGTCTTTTTACGTCCAAGACGTGAAGAAGAAGAAAATCTGCGTCCAATTTCACGTTTGCGTGTCCCTTTTGGGAGACGCAGACATGAATATCGGACGCAGATTTTCATGTCTGCGTGTCCCTTCAGGGCCATTGAGTACAGAAAAACGAAAAAATTACCAAGCAAAGGTATACGTCAAATTTGTGGATTTTCACGTCTTTGACGTGAACATCCACAAATTTGTTGCATAGGTATACGTCAAATTTGTGGATTTTCACGTCTTTGACGTAAAAATCCACAAATTTGTTGCATAGGTATACGTCAAATTTTGCGTTTGCGTGTCCCTTAGGAGCCACCATAAATAACGCCTTTAACAAAGGCTGTATTTGTTGACATTACCAGAGTTTCAAATGGAGAATTTCAATTTCGGTGAGCACAGAGCCCAAATAACCCACTTGCTTGTCTGGTATTACAGACCACTTTTTTCCCAGATATCTTTGTGTATATAAACCAAGCTTTAATTGGGATGGTCTTGGAGAATCCGAATTAGCAAGCTGGAGAATCTGGATGAATGCTATCCTTGTAGTGTGAGGGTCATGAGTTATTATTTGTAAAAAATATGACTATAGTATAGATGTTGATAATTGTCAAATTTACTGCGGAATATTTATCAAACAAATATTAGATTCAAAATAGTTGAACACTGGAACTGATATTATTTCGAGGTTCAGATATATATCAAGCCTAATATTTATGCGCTATAAATCATGAACAGGCAACCCAGAGCAGTCTAGCGTATATTATATCCTATACTATTTGTATAATGCATTATTATTTATATCACATTTACTTATGTCCATGCATTCCAAACTAGACAATGATGATGAAAGGAACATAAAGGAAAAGCAAGGGAGATGAAACTGACAACTCCCAGGTATAAGAATGGACATAATCCGAACCTATATCAGACTGTGAATAAGACTAGAGTTTCATAGAGAGAGTTCCAAGCAGTACTTATCAAGGTTGGGCTGGCGATGTCCTGGCAAAGTTTGTTTACACTGGAGATTAGGGACTTTTCTCTCTCTAGCTCTGTGGTGAGCTTCTTCCCAAACTGCACCCCACTTTCGGGTCCAAAGTGGGGTGAAGTTTAAATGGACTGTTTTCGTCATTTTTGTGTGTCTTTTTTTTCTTTTTTTTCTTTAACTAGCAATTTTTGTGTGTCTTTTCTTTTTTTCTTTTTTTTTTACAAAAAGAATATTTAAATGAGAATCTTACCCCAAATAGTGATGTGGGACACAATGACATCCTCTGATTAGATGGAGAGGCAGGAGTACGTGACACAATAGCATGTCCACTGGTGTTATTGTTGCTGTTGGCGTTTAGATGCCGCTCTTCAATCTTGTCAGATTATCTGCACCACAGCATCCTTCTTTGAAGTTCATCTTTTCGAACTTTTGATCCTGGCTCACTTTTACTGATGTTTTTTGGCTGTCTTTCCAGATTCCTGTTTTTCGGGTCCAGAGTTGGCTCACCTGTCTCACCTGCACGGCTTACACACACTAAATATTAAAGAGAAAAGGCTGGACTTCACCATTCCACTAAGAGGGGTGATGGGAAAGTCACAATGAGGGACAATTCAAGGTATGACAAAAAATACCTTGTAACTTTGCAGTGTCAAACTGCAAAGTTTCAGGTTACAAAGATTAACTCAGTAGTCTGCTCATGCGCCCAAAACATCTGTAATTTTACATATTAAAGGTACTACATGTCCCCTTTGCAGCCAACATCAGTCTGTAGAACTTTGCAGGAATTATGAATATGTCACGAATGTCTGTGAAATTTAAATGTTAGCAGTGTCCTAATATTCAAATTATGCAAGGAAACCCGTTTACTTCTAGACTTTACTGTCAGACACTATTGAGTGACTAAATGACTTCTTTTTTTTCTTTGGTAATAACATACAGAAAAGGATACATTTGTCTACATCAATAACCCACTTCTTGTAATGGCCCAAATTAAACTGATTGAATCTTTGCGCAGCACAAAACGTACAACCATTCAGTACAAGGGTCTGAAAATCAGACTATTACTGAATGGATTGCAATCACTAAAGTTGATTTGACAACTAATTTTCAAGCCCCTTTTGTTTTGAGGAAAGTTCTAAATTAAAATTATCTTTAAAATGCCATTTGAATTTAAACTTTTTTTAATTGTTTGGCCTGCAAATGGGACATATTACCTTTAATACCCATCAGTCTAGGTTGAGATGTGGTCAACCTACAAAGTTGGAAGCACCTCTGAGCAGACTTTCTAAACAAACTGTGCTGCCCATATGCTATTAATGCTGTGGTTGAGGCCAGAAAGATGTTAACTACTTATATTGACATTGAATCACTGCCCATATGTTCGTCTCTAAGCCAGTGCAAGACACATTTTCATTTAGTGGCATATCGAGCATAGCATTTACCCGGTGTAAGCACCCCCCACCCCCCCCCCCCCAAATGAAACTGAACATTTAGTATGTATAAGGCAGGTTCATTCTTTCATTGCGTCTCCCGTTCCACCCCTTTGTTCATTTATTTAAACATGTCACCAATGATGCACACATGTTATCTGTCTGCATTGCCTTTTCCAGCTCTTCACCGACTTTTATGGCGATTATTCGCCTCCACACCCCCCCCCCCCCCAAAAAAAAAAAAAGATTTGAAGAAATACTGTTCAGGAAATGCAGAGTGTAACAACAAAAATATCTTGACATCTCCCCTCTCCACTCTTTGGGTCACTAATGACCCGGTGTACAGAGCCCCACCCCGCTCTGTACTGTGATGGACTACCTTCGGTTAAAGATAAAGACCAGTTATGGTCATGCGATTGCATTGTGAAAGAAATGTTGTGGAATCGATCAGAAAAGATTGATCATCTAGCATACAAGTATTGGTGTGTACTGCAAGGTTCTGGCATCATCAAAATGATAAGAAATTTGGCCCAGTCTTGGTAAAGTTACAAGCACTGTGCACAGAAAGATGTTTATGGGACTACGCGACACGTGCCCTATATCTATCAGGTCCAAATAAATATATTATATCAATTAGTAGGCGGTTTCTCAGCAAAATTTGTATCATCACGTATTAGTGAAAACATATTCTTTCACATGATTGGTAATAAGAGCTTCCATTTCATTTTTTGAGAGGGGGACATTTCCAAAACTGGTCTTTACCTTTAACCGATAATTCCACCTCCAATCATATGTTATTTATTCTACCAATCAAAAATTATACAATCAGATAATACATAGAAATTTCATAATACATGCAAACAATTTTAGGAAAGTGGAGAGAAGAGAATTAGGATACAATCTGCTGTTAGGGGTGACAAAAGCAATTGAAATTGCTATTACTCAAAATCATGTAACCCCCCCCCCCCCCCCCCCCCCACAGGCTGTATCCTGGAAAATAAAGAGTGAAGAACAAAATAAGAATTCACAATATGAGATAATAAACATATAATAATTTGAACAATTACCATTATATCCATCATTACTTTCATTACATTATTTTGTCATTACAATTTATATTCATCACATAAAACTAAAAACTTTCATGTCAATAACAATAATTTCTAACTTTCAAACTAAAATGAATAGAATTGTAATATGAAACCTCATATGAACAGAACGAAACAAAGAAAAGAGTTTACAATATTTTTTTCTTTTTCTAAGTGACAAAATATACATAAATTAGTCATTTATGATCTAGGTGAGATATATAATTATTAATTGGGGTTTCCAAAAAGGCACAGGAAAATTACATATCGGCGGCTTTTAAGTGGAAATCACATTTTGAGAATTCACTGCATGAAATTGAGAATTAAAAAACTTTGTTGAGTTTGCTTGAAATCAGACACGAGTTCAAAATATTCAAGGTACTACCTGTACTAAAATAGCCATTTACATGTGGATTTGTATAAACTGTTCTACTAACCGAAATGGCAATATACACGTGAACATGAACAAAGGTCCTACTACTGTAAACGCTTTTTTTGTGTGTGTGATTAATTTTTAGGACTGAGCGTCCTCAAATCATATTCGCTGGTTCTTAAATTTGTGTGGCACGCAATTCAGCCCGTTCAAAACATGCATAAGAAGTCATGCTTATATATTTGGGAGTTCTAAATCTGCACATTTAATGTACTACAATGGTACAACTACCCAAAATGACCATGATCACGTAGGCCTGTAGAAAGGTACTACCAACCAGAATGACTTTGTTCAAGTGGGCCTGTATAAAGGTATTACCAACCAAAAATGACTATGTTCATGTGGGCCTGTATAAAGATACTACCAACCAAAATGACTATGTTCATGTGGGCCTGTATAAAGGTACTACCAACCAAAAATGACTATGTTCATGTGGGCCTGTATAAAGGTATTACCAACCAAAATGACTATGTTCATGTGGGCCTGTATAAAGATACTACCAACCAGAATGACTATGTTCATTTGGGCCTGTAGAAAGGTACTACTAACCAAAATGACTATGTTCAAGTGGGCCTGTATAAAGGTACTACCAACCAGAATGACTATGTTCAAGTGGGCCTGTATAAAGGTACTACCAAGGTCCATTGGAGGTGTCTGGTATCCCTCAGAAGGATCCACAAGGGAATCAGAACCAATCTCATCTACCACCCTCGTCTTCTCAGACCTATTCTCCTTTCTACTCTTCTCACCGAATGAAAATGCAGAGGCCCTGGACGGAACATAGACTCCAGACCTGTTCTCTGGTTGCTCCTCCTGTCTTGATACATGACTGGCTTTCTGACTCTCAATTCCAGTGGATGATTCTTCTGGCCTTGGTAGATTTTGGAAGGATCTAGATACATCTATAAGAAAAATAATGGAATAAATACAGTTAAAAAGAGATTTGTTTACTTCTCAAATGTAAGGGCAGGGCCCATGGAACAGGGGGGGGGGGGGTCTCAATCTCCCCTTTTATTAAAGTATGTTAAAGAGGAATAGAAAGAAAGAAAGATGCTTTTAACGGTTAAATTGTAAAAATCATACTTAATGGAGATCCTGGAAAAGGAAAACTTACATTGAAACGCATATGAAAAGAATGGTAGGTATAGGCCGTATGCATAGCAAATCATAGACATGGTAATTAAATGCCCATAAAAGCGGTCTGGGTGAAGGCCGATATGTTTTAATGAACTGACTTGATGTACCGTATAGAATTAATTTAAGTCTCTCTGTGTTAAGAAGGCTTAAAGCATAAAGGGATTTACTGCAACGACAAAATGGAAAAAAAAGTCAGGCAAGAATGGCGTTAAATTCTATGGGTTTGTTGGTTTTGTATTAAGAGATTGTTAAATACAAAATTATTACATTGTGCTTTATATACCTCTCTTCAGTACATTGAGTAAATCAAGTGATCTGATCGGTCGAAATTGGAGTCGTGGTTTTAGCCATGCCCGCCTACCGGTCAATAGTTTTTTTAATGTGCTGTTTCATGTGTCAGTACTTACGTTTAGACTGAGGGGTGGCCATCTCTTCACCGTCACCAATACCAGAACAAGGAGAAACGATATCTTGTCCTGGGTCCTCAGCTACAAGATAAAATTATCCAATGGCAAACACAGTCAATATAATATCATTGAAAAACAGGAAAATCTACTGCATTTTGAAAAATGGGTATCAAGTTTACCCTTACAAATTATCATCAAACTTTTCAAGGCTTAAAACTGTGTAAAAGAAAGTAAGGTAAAATGTCATAAAACGGTCTTAAATCTGAGGCTGGGATACAACTTTACTCTACAATATTAGATCTGATGCTCACATAAATAATCAACCACTCAATAAAAAATCCCACTTGCAGTTGTAAAAATCGAATCGGCACTGTTGCTACAATGCTTCTTTTAGTTTGACTGTAGCGATGCTTTCATTAATTGCAGCTCACAAATGAAAAAGAGCATGCCAGTATGCATTCACCTTATATATGTCCAATGTCTTTACGTCATTTGTATTTGCAAAAATTGTAAAATAGAACGTTCTAGACTGAGTGTGTTTACGTATATCATTTGGGAAAACCCCCCACTAATGGGGAAAACCCACTTGAATATTGTGGGTCCTGTTTCATAAAAACTTATTGTCAATAACAAGTTACAATAGCTGTTGATTAATTAATTTGAATACATTTACTTATGTATGACAATATTTTTAAAGATTTTACATTTAAAAGAAAAATTGCCGTAAGCATGTCCTATATTCCCAAGGAAAAACTAATATCATGTACATGATCTTTGTCTCTACACGATCTCATGTATGTTATGTGTGACCACAAGCCTACTCTATGATATTTAACTTTGTTCAGTTGACAGAAACAAGGCTGGTCATGGTATGTATAAAAATTAGGAGCATACTGTAAACGTGGTAATATTATTGGTAAAATTTACCATTATGCGCTGTATCATGTGTCAGTACTTACGTTTAGACTGAGGGGTGGCCATCTCTTCACCGTCATCAATACCAGAACAAGGAGAAACGATATCTTGTCCTGTCCTGAAGTCGTCTTTCAACTCCTCAGCTACAAGATAAAATTATCCAATGACAAACACAGTCAATATAATATCATTGAAAAATAGGAAAATCTACTGCATTTTGAAAAAT